TGTTTTATCGATGGATATAATGTAGAGACAGGAAAAATGTAAGTACTGAAAAGGGTACAAGGATCTGTGTGAAATATTCTATGATGTTGATTATTCAGAAGATATTGATATATATACATATATTTTTTTTTCAATGAGATATATATATATATATTTCATTTATTCAATAAAAATATAAATAAGACTTTCTTATGTTTAACCCTTTGCACGTGAAATGATATTAAACATATTATTGTTAGAGATATCTTCATATCTATTTCATCTATTAAATGTGTGTTTAATATTAATTTAATATTTAATACTTGTGTTACTTTTTTTTATGTCTGAAATAATTCGAAAGTTTCTAAAATGTTTCTAAAATGTTTAATCTAAATGTTATTTCGAAATAAAAAAATATGAGCTAATAATATAATAATATAATATCGATATGAATTAATATAATAATGAATAAAAATTTTAAATAAAATATTGATACAAGTCAATATAACAAAATGTCCAAAAAGTATAATAATTATTTTAGTACAACATTTCATTATTTCCCTTCAAAATTTTTCTTTTCATAATTATATAACAAAGTTTTAAATGAAGTAACTCTCTCTAGAAATTAATATTTGCATTCTGTTTTTTCAATAGCTTTTATAATAATTTCTTATAGCATGACAATAATTAAAATGTATTAATTATTAATGACATTATTATAACGATTTTAAATGTAAGACGAAGAATTTCTCTAATGTTACCACATAATTGGCATTACAGTGCAAAAGGTTAAATCATTTATATCAATTATGATTAATATAAAGTGTCCGAGAATGTTCATTGAGGTTGGATTAAGCTGGAAAAATAACGCACCCCCAGGGAAAGGGATGAAATGTAAAAAATTTCCAATACTCACATATATCCTATAGCTACATTTTACGATTATTTAATAATCCGTATATAATACGAAAGATACATGATATTGCAAATGCAATAAATACGGCCGATTAAATTTATTATGTGAAAGGTCACGTTTCCGTTACTACGTTACGTGCCATATAGATATGCGATAATTAATGAATAACAAATATATGTAGTAATAAAAAGTATTTTTATCACTTTAATATTTTTAGAATAATAAACATTCATTATACGAAAGATCCGATACACACACACAAATTTCAACGGTATCTCACCAGCCCACTCCAACTCCACGTTACGCGCACGTAAATGTAAAAAAGGCATGCATACCTGTTTACTTGGAAAATGTAATCTGTTGCAGCTCGACGCAAATGGGCATCTCGGGGATAAGTCGTCTCCATTCCGCCTGTCCTCGGTTGCAAAGGATAAAACATTCGATCGTCGCTTGCTCGTTCGCTCGTTCGCTCGCCATTTCACGCAATTTTCCCCGAAAAACTTCGTCCTCGTCCTCGTCGTAAACACTCGGGCTGCAAAGGCAGCTTCAATGTTCGGTTATCTCCATTTTACCTCTGATCGATTATGACTATTTAACAAAAAAATGAAAACAATAATTTAAAAAATGACGAAACCTTTTTATTGCCTCTGAAATACAAAAAAAATAATATCAAATTCATCCTTAAATTTTATTAAATGTAAGCACTGTGCTTAATGCACAATTCTTGATTCAAATATTCGTTTGAATATGTCATATATGTAAAAAAAAATGTGTGCCCGTCTCACTTGAACTCACTTGAAGATGCCTGTAGCGTAGTTGATTAATGCGAAGACTACTCGGAAGATCTAAGTTCCCAACTCCCATCATATCATGACAGATTTTTATTGATCGTCCTTCCTTGGGAGGCAAGCTACACCGAGATGTTTCATCAAGAGAATCTTCTAAAAAAGAAGAAAGTATTTTTAAATACTTCTGGTGTTTCCGGAGTCCTCATCTAAAATTGTAGGTCCGTTATATGTATAATTTCCAATAAATGTAGAAGAGGAATCATTGTATTCTGACAAGAGTTATAATACTAATACTAATAATAATAATAATAATAATAATAATAATAATAATAATTAATAATAATAATAATAATAATAATATAATAATAATAATAATAATAATAATAATTAATAAATAATAATAATAATAATAATAAATAATAATAATAATAATTAATAATAATAATAATAATAATAATAATAATAATAATAATAATAATAATAATAATAATAATAATAATAATAATAATAGTACTCACTTAAGAAATTCTTGTAGCTCGATCAAAATTAGCGATGTCCGTGAGAAAAATTGCGAGCCTTTCACCAGCCGAATTATGACCCCATAGCTTCACCCTCTTCCCTTCTTCTCAATTTCATAAGGAATAAGACTTGTAGCAGGAACTATATCTCTTTTATCACACGATTTTGTTTACGATACTTTTTGTGCACCTAATTCTTCTCGAATCTTCGAACCAAAATGGCGTCTCGGCAACGCTCGGCTATCTTCGGTATGTCTCGGGTCGTACGACTACGTATCAAAAAAAGATCGAAACAACAATTAGAAAGAGACGAAATATTTTCATCGTCTCTAAAGAAACGCAAAAAGGATAGCGAATCTACCCTTCAATTTGTATGAAATATGAATATTTTTAATCACAACCGAAGTATAACTGAATATTTCTACATATTTCTAATATGTGCGAGAAAAAGACGCACACCCTTCTACTTATTGGCTTTTACAACTCAATGCGAATCAACAATTTTCACGATCGCGATTGTCAAACCGCGAGACTTCTCAAACTAAATAATGATATCACAGACTCACCTTCTCAATTCTCTTCGACTTAACAGGGAATAGAACTCGAACTGGACAATAAATTTGCATATTCAGCTGATTTTGATCGCGATATTTTTTGCGCGCCTATTCCTTCTCGAATCTTCGAACTAAAATGGCGTCTCGGCAACGTTCGACTATCTTCGGTATGCCTCGAGTCGTACGACTACGTATCAAAAAAAAGTTCGATAATTAGAAAATAATAAAATAAAAGACAATAATTAGAAAAAGACGGAATATTTTCATTGTCTCTAAAGAAATGCAAAAAGGATAGCAAATCTATCCTTCAATTTGAGTAAAATATGAATATTTTTAATTACAACCTAATTATATGTTTGAATGTCTCTACATGTTCTCAATATGTGCAAAAGAAGGACGCACGCATCTCTATTCACTCATTTTTACAACTCGATACGAATTAACGATTTCCTCGATCGCGATCGTCAAATCGCGAGATATCTCCGTGCCAAATTATAAATCTATAAACTCACCTTTCCAATCCCCTTCGACTTAACAAGGCATAGAACTCGAACTGGTCAATAAATTTGCAATTTTGTACGATTTTAACCGCAGCACTTTCATTTCGTCCCGTTGATTTAACTTCGAATGGCGTCTTACCAACATACAGTTAACTTCAGTTTAAATCTAGAAAGATTTCAATATTGATATATTGAACGATACATTGGCTGCGTTCAGCAGAACTGAGTGATCACTAAGCGCTCACTGATCACTTTGTTCTGCTGAACACAGCCATTGGCTATCTTTATGTCGTTTAAAATCGCATCGAGTATTGAAACTCATAAATTCTTTTTTAATGTCTTAAATAACCTCATAGGACTGGATTTCTAGGTCAAACAATAAGAATATTTTAAACGGTGTATATTAAACTGTGTTTCTATCCATTGCTTCAAAATTATTTCTGATTAATGTAAATCAAATTGACGCGAATTAAGACGAATTAGCTCGTATTTAATGAAAATCTTGTTCGATATATAAATATAATCATTAAGAATTTTCTATCATCTACTTTAAGATCTTTCAACTTTAAGGATACAAAGTTGTGTGGAAATATTTCAAATCAGCCCGAGTTCATAAAAAAATATAATTACTCTCGAATTATAAATATATTCTCAGATTTTAGGAATACAGATATAGGTTATATGGAAATATAACCTATATGGAAATATAACCTATATCATAAATTTCATCTTTCTTACTGACAAATGTTAGTAGGAAAGAATAGCAAGGAAGGATATAGTATATTTTATTTAGATGCACTTTTACTGTTTCTCTGCTTTTTCTCTCTTTTATGTTTGTATTACCTACATGTACATTTGTTTTGTTTGAAGTGCAAAAAACACTCGTGACCCTCTGTAAGATGACGTTTGATAAATCAAATCTTAAACTTGCAATTTAATTTCCATTTCATATTAATTTCGTATCACTGAAAGGTATAATTATCTACTGCTATATATGAGCTCGTACATACTTATAAATTCGTTACATCGATACAAATCCGTTTGTACACTTCAAGTCCGAATTTGAATGGCAGTTCTCGTATCGTTCGGCCACCTTCGGCGCCTTCCGGCAAACGAGCCTCCGCTCACAGAAGTTCCTACCCCGCGTGATTTAAAAATGTCGTTAAGGTAATCGCTCAGTTTTGATAGTACATTTTGACAAGAAACGAGAAATATGTTCACATAAAAAGAACGATAAGCTTGTAATAATTCTTTTGATATAGGAAATAAAAATATCTTATGCAACGACAGCCAATAATTTTAATTATGTCTCTATCTCTAAAAAAACAGACTATTTAGTTTATTATTCTTATAGTCAGGTATATTTAGATACATGTCAAAAACAAACTTGAAATAAATTAAAAAACCGATGGTAACTTTGCGGTAAAATCGTTACAACTTTCAGAAATTCACTGATAAGAGATTGAAAGTCAGGCTGAAATTCAGGTTATCGAATAGGCATGAAAATGAGTCTGAATATTAATCGTGAATATTAATAAAAACGATACAATTGAGATAAGATGAGATAAGATTCCTCAGTTAATATATCCATATTGTTCTTTCTTGCCGTTAAAATATCAAAGTTAAACTCAACGATAATATGAAAAGAATATTCGATGAATAATCAACAGGAATTTCTATCGTACGTAACGAATGAGAGCTTAAACTTCCCGCGGAAGGACACTTGCAAATACATCATGGCGCGGCAGCGCCGCTTGTAGGTGTAACGGGTGGACGCCGTAGGCAGGACAACATAGCCGATAAAAGGACTCGTTTCTCCGCCGGGATATATTTTGTTGCCTGTATAAATTTCATTTTATTGGACGCAATGAATCCTTGAGGACGTTAATCGAGACACAACGGGATACTTCATCTATTCAATACGAGAAAAGCCAAGGGCCATTTTGATCATTGCATAGGACATACTTCGGTGAAAAATGTCACAGGACGACGTTGGATTTTTGTACAAAACTATGAGTAAGTTGTAACATAATTTTCGAATAATTTGCGTTCTGCTAGAAGGTAATGAATGTTAAGCTATTTGAAGCAAAGGATTGCCTTAGTCAGTACTGTGAATTTTTGTCATTGCATAAAACCTTCATGAAAAATAATTTGCAAAAAATATACAGACAAATAAGTCTCTATTTTTTTTCCATTTTACCAGAGGTATTTAAACTCAAGAAAGTATTTTGTTTTACTGTGGAGCATTTGTATGTGAATTGTAAACAATATATATATAATCTGATAATAGGAAAATAAAATTAACAAGATTTATATGAGCTTTTTTCCAATGAATATTGACATATAAATTTTTTGTTTGTATAACATATTTCGCAAATGTAAATATTCTGAAAATTATCTAACAATAGTTATTTTTCAACTAAACATTTTTATGTTTAATATATACTTGTTTGTCATAGCTTAAGATTAAGTCATATATACTTGTTCTTCTATTATCACATTATTCTGATATCATTTAATACTATTATTATGCTTGTTATACAATTGCTGATAGAAATTATTAGTTAAATATCATAAATAACATTAGAGAACACATTCATTTAATATGCATATTAAATATACATTGTTAAATATACAACATTATGAAATATTTGCAACAAGTATATATATTACTTGTCTATTGTATTCCTCTATTATTGTATTCATGTATGCTTGTATATGTATGCATGTGCATGTAATATATGAGATTTATTAGTTTCTATCATTATTATTATTATTATTATTATTGTGCACAATCTATTATTACTAAGTTTATATGTACCAGCAACTGCTTTATGATAATAACAACCTGATTTGTTATTTGTGAATATACAGTAATAATCATAACTGACTAGTTTATTATTATTGCAACCTTGTTACTAACACGCGTAAAATTAACCTAACATATTACCGGTAACACGGTCGCGCGCGCGTGCTTGTGTGTATGTATACATATGTGTTTTATATGTGTGTTACAAGGGACAGTTTGATGCATGTAATAGGAAACTTAGATACTGTGAATCTATATGGTGTATCAAAGCAGAATTAAGGATCAGCAGTGATATGAACTACATAAAAACATTGATAATTTGTGCTATTGAGAATACTTGAACTTCAATCAAAGATACTGAGGAAATTGAAAATATCATGACTAGTCCATGTATGTGCAGGAGAATTAAGTGCAGACATAACCTATAACTGTTTATACACCACCTTTTGCACAGAAAGTTTAATCTAATATCTTTCATTTTGATAGTCAGCAATAAATATTATAATATATTGCTTATTTCTGTACAAATATGTGACAATAGTAAAAGTATTTTTTTTTTTCATGAAACACATAGACCGTGTATATATAAGAAATTAAATTATTACTTGCAGTTGAGAGGGATCCTAAAAAGAGGAAGGTGAAACCAGTTGAATCAGCGCAACAATCATTATTAGATTTTGACTTAGGTGAAAGCTCTGATGATAGTGATTTTAGAATTGAGGATCATTCTGAAGAATCAGATGATGATTCGGTAGATTCCAATGATGTGGGAAAAGGTGAGTTTATACTATAGAACTATATTAACAATTGTTAAATTGTTTTATGTACTGTACTAAAAATCTGTTTATAAATTTGCAAAATTTCAATATGTCAAAATATATATATTATAAGTTAATTTTGAATGAAGAGTTAAAGAAATTTTTTTATATCTTATATGAATGATAAAGAATTGTACCAAATATTCTTTATAGAAGAAGAAGGTGGATCTGAAGAATCTGATGATGATCTGCTTGAAGATCCATTATTAAGAGGAAAACACAATGCTAACTTGACTGTAGGAGATATCATGGAACAAGCACGTCAACAAGCTCTAAAGAGTGGTGTCTTTGAAGAGAAGCTAAACAAAATGCTAATTTGTTGTGGTTGTTTGGGAGACAGAAGTGATGATACAAACGAGATTGTTGAATGTGATGGTTGTGGAGTTAGCGTTCACGAAGGTACATGTCAAATTTCAAAATATAAATACTCATAATTTTTGCTATTTATATATTTATTAACAAATGTCAAATTTTGTAGGCTGCTATGGCGTATCTGATGTAGAAAGCTTCTCCAGTACAGACTCCTTATGTCAATCAGCACCATGGTTCTGTGAAGCTTGCAGTGCAGGTATTGAAGATCCATCATGTGAGCTCTGTCCAAACAAAGGTGGAATTTTCAAAGAGACAGATGTTGGAAAATGGGTGCATCTGGTATGCGCTCTTTACGTGCCTGGTGTTGCTTTTGGCGAAGTGAGTAAATTTCTTATAATATATCTTGTGTAATTATATTGTATTGTAATTTATGTATTACTGTGCACTTTAGGTAGATCGATTGACAAGTGTAACGCTATTCGAGATGCAATACACTAAATGGGGTGCAAAGCAATGTTCTTTGTGCGAGGATTCTCGCTATGCACGCACAGGCGTATGCATTGAGTGCGACGCTGGATTGTGTCATACGTATTTTCACGTGACTTGGTAATAATCACTAAAAATACATGTTGATACTCCTCATATTGTTATTATTTATTATTATTGTTTTGTAGCGCTCAAAGAGAAGGTTTACTATCCGAAGCGCACAGTGAAGAAGTCGACCAAGCCGACCCGTTCTATGCACATTGCAAGTTGCACTCTGACAAGTCCCTTGTTCGCAGGCGTAGACGTAACTTTTTAGCTTTTCAATTGCGAGTACAGCAACGGCAGCAAATGTTGAAGCAGCCTAATCATTTAGACACAGATGAACATCGCAGGATTGAAAGAAAATTAGGGAAACATAGGCATAAATATTTAGCACATAAAGCTTCGCGTCCACCTCCATGGGGTAAATTGATCTTTCTTCTTGAGCATGTTTGCATTGAGTAGATATAATAATTACTTTATAATAATATTGCATTCATTATTCCATATTCATTATACAGTACCTACGCAAAAGATGCCACGTTTACTGACTACGTCCGCATCTGCTTGTCGTCAACTAGCGCGGAAAGCCGAACTGATGGACGTAGACACAACTGCCTTGGAGGCGCAAGAAGCTCAAGTGGTGGCGTTGGTCGATGTTAGAAAAAAGTGGCATATCGCTCCAGCTTTCAGTGTAGAATTTATTGGTTATTACTTGGATCGCAACTTGCGCGTAACATCCATGAAAAGACGACTACAGGAGCTTCTCGATATAAATTCACAATTATTAAACGAAGAACAAAAGATGGAGCAAAAGTACAAAGAAGTGAAGAAGGACAAGGAAGAGCGGATTCAATTAAATGTAACGTTGAAAGAAAAGATAGAGATGTATCATCTGGTACTTAAAACCGCCGGTTACACGAAGCCTCTGCCGCTGCTGGCGGACCTGCTGACTAAGCCAAAAATAGCACCTACACTTGGTCAGTCGCATTTTTGACTTCACATATTTATCAAATATGATAAACGCTCAATAAATATGTTGTTAAACGCAACAAATATACTGTATTTTTCATAGGTACAGGAACAGGAGGTACATTAGGTGTGCCAACGGCAGCTGCCTTGAAAATGGGAGTCGGATTTCCACTGACTATGGGTAAGGGCGCCGAAGGTGCACGCGAAGGTAGAGTGTTGAGCAGCCAAGCGCAAGAACAAAATCACAAAGGCGAACTGACTTTGCGACACCAGTGTGGTATCTGCAGACGATCGACCAATCAACATCTTCTTGCCAAGTGCGACACGTGTCATTTGCATTATCATTTGTCTTGTTTGAGTCCACCTCTATCACGGATGCCCAAGAAAACGAGACTGATGGGATGGTACGTACAAAAATATAGATATTACACTCGACATTTCGAATACTCTATCGTTAATGTATATATATGCAACTGCTCTTAAAAAATGATCTCTATGTCGTTACATACTGTAACTTGCAGGCAATGCTCAGAGTGCGATAAGGAATCCTCAGGCTCGGAGGTGGAGCACGTAGACACCTCGGCACCGCGTAAATTAAGACACTGTAAGGATGACGCAAATATGACGCTTACACCGCCACAGGAAACACAAACAACGCCGAGCACACCTACTACATCGAAAAATTCGTCCATTACCAGCAGCGTGACAAACGTCGCCGTTCCCGACACGCTCACGACGCCAAAAGTACTCATTTTGTTATTTTCTAAAACAAAGCAACACACCATTTAATTTGATAGTATCAATATATGCAAGAATGTATCGTATCCACAGTTAACTATTAAACCAATGGGGCCGCAACCGTCAGTCGTAGAACCTGCACAGATAGCTGAATCGGCATACAACCAACAATCTGTTAATAACATTACCATAACAGCAAGAGCAGGTTCGCCGGAATATATGGTAGCTTCAGCAGACGGAACGGAATCCGTTTCGCAGAGAAGTGGGAAGAAAAGGAGGAGGTATATACTGAAGAATCCGAGTATATACAATCCATTCTATTGAACTAAAATATAAAATATATATGAACTTGCACCTTATAGGGAAAAACACAAGAGATACACACCGGACCCGATAACCGGGATCAAACAAAGGAAAAGGAAGCACAAAAGGAAAAGTTTGGATATCGAAAATCCAGAAGTTCAAAGCCAACCGGAAGTTCACAGGAGGATCACGATAAAGGTATCTGTATTCATTTCTTCTCTGTTTTATCGCATTGCTCATACTAATTCGAACATTGACTAAATCGTGTCATCGAACGCAGATAAAACCAATTCCACGACCGGAAGGCGACGTAGCCTCTGAATCAAGCCCGCAAATGTTTGTGGCTACTTCCACGAGTACCGAAATCACACTGCCGCCGCCGCTTCTGCCGCCACCGGTTGCAAACGCGCCGCTACCGGGGAACGTATCTGTGAATAGCAGTAGTCGTTGGACGACAGGAACTGCGAAGAAAGGGAAGGACACGGATCTTTTGACGCAATGCAACGTCTGTGATACTCCCGGTACCAATCAGAATCTCGTTATGTAAGTATTCTGAAACTATATGACGCAGAACTGTAGCTCAATATCTTAACGAACTTCTTCATATTGCGAGTTCATCACCTCTGTTCTAGGTGTGACGAATGTAAGAAGTGCTATCACTTCACTTGTTTAGATCCTCCTGTGAAAAAGTCTCCGAAAAGGAGAGGCTATTCGTGGCACTGTGCCGACTGCGATCCTAGTGTAAGTTCATAAATTTTTATTGCTCGTAAACGCCAATATTTTTCAATATTAGATTAATGTACTTTCTATTTTGTCTATATATCGATACATAGAAATCCACAATAAATAGCCGTACGATGTGAAGAGCTATTTTCTTAGATAGGCATTCCTTTTTGTCTTTCTACCTAGCATAGTTCTCGCACACGATATGAGTGCACACGATATATTGTGGTATCTGTAAGACAACGATATTTTCTAAGACACCAAACGATAAATAAATCAGGACAATTACACTTACACTGTCAACAGATGCTTGTAGACAATAAGTACAGATATGACAAAATGAAAAGTACTTTGATCTGAAACATGTATACGAATAACTGACTGATTTGGTTTCATATTGAGGTGGATTAAATAAGAAAATATATGACGTCATCTTAAGAGAACACCAAAAATTAATATTCTAGAGAAATGGGAACGGAAATTTTGTTTCTTTTTGTCTGATGCACAAATTAAATTATATTTATTTTTTTATGTGATTCTCTGCAGCAGACTAGAAAATAATACGTTGAAGTATTCTGAAGTCCGTTTTGAGTCTTCGAATTTAATATTGTCAATGGGGATATATATCACTGGCACATAAAACGTAATAAAAGAAAGAGATTTTCATGGTAAAAATCTTTCTTTCATTTCAGGCCTCTGAATCTGAGACTTAATATCAACAATTTTCTATCTGCAGCTACAATTCTACGTTTATATAAATAAGGCATTCACACATATACACAGAGTATCTCGTTACAGAGTTTTTCTTTTTATGGGATATATATGAAAGTATAAAGAGAACCCGTTTTTGTAGTTAGAAAGAAATGAATTTTGGAAGTTACTAAAAATTTGTCTTGAAAATAGGCTTTACTGGAGGTTTACGTTACATTATAACGTAGTTCGCGCTACTCGTTTTCTTTTTTTTTTTTTTTTTTTTTATGAATTCTTTTAACGACTTTTTCATCATAATGCTTTGTAGTTTCATATAACGCGCGCATTCTTACGTAAAGAATTACTAAGTAAATTGTAGAGTAAGAAATAAAAGAAGTGTACAAAAGAGAATATTTTTACATGAGGCAAGAAGACATACGATACTATTTTAAATGCAAAATTACAAAGCCTGAGATGAGCAAAATAATTTATCTACATCCGATGCTCAAGAAGGTATTAACACACGACAAGCAGCTTATTATTTTCACAGTGTGAAGTCACTGCGTCTCTATATTATATTTAGTACGTTCTAAGTCTAAAACTATTATAGTAAATAAAAGTTTAATGTAATTATCCGTTCCTGGTTGAAATTTTTATAGGTTTACAAAAGAATTTTACAGTGTCGAAGACAGAGGCAGCACTGTAAATTATATTATGTTACTCCGAAAAAATAGTTTCTTCATTTTGTCCTGCATAAATCCGTTTCTGAAGTCCGCCGCATTCATAGGCGGTCGACCAGATACTATCACCTTCTTTACCGAAATCCAACTTGGGCCTTTACATGTCACGATTAATGCATTACTTTTTTTATCAAATCGCACGAAACCTGGAAGAGTTTCTCACATTAATCACGCACTCTTATTCAGAAATAATTACATTTTCAGATAAATAATTTTTTTCCTAGGAATAAACTGAGGGTTTAAACAACGTTTCAATTGTTGGAATTAATTTAGTGCCACACTGAATCAGTACAGGGGTAAATGATAACGATCAATATCACCTGGTACATCATCGTCCTCCGGATTTGTTCCGTCAGTCGATTTCGACACCTGCCGAACGTCAAACAGTTTTATCACTGTATCACCGAACTTGGTCGTTAGCGGATACAATTCTAAGAGACCGCGGTGCAGATCATACACATTCTTCGCCGTCATTTCGTCCCACTTGACCAAAGAAATCTTTGATGTAACTTTAGGTGCTACAATGTGTATAATTGTCAAAAAATATTAATAAGAAAAAAATTCATATACTTTAAGTACTGATTAAATTGTGTTTTTGTAGTACTATAGTAAAAACAAGTTACCATATGTTATTCCTATCCTTTCCTGAGGTCTCAAGGATGATATTTCCGGTAGTTTTCTTACCACGTCAACTAGTACATCAGCTCCTATTTTTGCTAACTTTGCATACACTTCCGGTAATGTTTCATCTGCATGAATATCTGTTCTCTCCTGTGCTATTATCTCTCCTATATCAAACCTGAAATAACAGACCAATGCATATAAAGATCCATTTAAAGTTTCAATTTTAATAGTGTGATCCCAGATAATATCAGGATTATGATGTTCTTTTCATTTTAAGAGAAAATATAAAGTAATAAGATATCTTATACATCACACAACACAAGAGAATCCAATCTAATGTCACTAACCAACTTGTATAAATTTATTACTTGGCATCTCATCGTGTTTCTAAAAATTACATGCAGAAAAATAGGGATTTTAAAAAAGAAATTATACTTTTCTGGCATTATTTTCATGATTGTAATTCCTGTTTCTGTATCACCATTAATTAAGGAATAGATTATTGGGGCTGCTCCTCTCCATCGTGGCAGTAAACTAGCATGAACATTTATCATGCCACTGTAACAATAGACATATATTAAAATATTATCTACATTTGTGAAGATTAATAGAACAACTTACAATGGAAAAGACTTGATGATATTTAATGGTATCAAATGACCAAAGGAAACAACTATCCCAATATGAAAGTCCTGCGGGTTATTTTCAAGAGGCCATCTATTAACAACAATTTTTTTCTCCTCTGCGTATTTTATAATAGGATTCGTTTTCTTTTTGTATACCGACACAACTTCTAATCGCAATAGTTTCTTAGTTCTGCTATACAGAAAACAATTTCAGTTTAACATATAATAAATCCAAGAAAACACCATTATTTGTAGATAAAAAAATTCCAATGTTTAAAAAAAGGCTGATATTCTTGGAAAATATATCTTCTACAAGAATACAATAATTGGAATAAAAAATGAATTATGTCGATAGAATTAGTTACTAACTATTCATTGTACAAACTTCGTAGACTCTCGAGAGCGAAATTATCCGTCCCGAAAAATAATACTCTCCATTGTCCACGTGTTGCAGAAGAATGTAATAGTTCTTTTCGAATGTTATATGCAGTATACAAGGAGGTTATCTCACATGATTTCACATTTCTCTTGAATGTTGTGAGTAAGTATGAATATTTCTTTATTATACGAGTTGGTAAATTAATATTCAACATATCGTCGTATCCTCACATTGAGAATTTATAGATATTAACATAGCCACTATCGAAATGCCTAAACGTTCGTGTAGTTATTGGCATTACCTCATCATTCCTTATGTGCATCTATGTATGTGTACATACATATATACACACACACACATATATATATATATATATATAGTAGAACTATATCATTACCATATAAGCAAATACAAATGTTTATTCTATAATTTTAACGTTTCTTTATTCAAGATGAATATAATGAGAAAAAGTTGATAAGACATAGCAGCAAATATGGGAGTTATAAATAAAAAAAAATGTAATATTTTTTGTAATATCCTTTATTACATACATTTGTTTTAGACTTTACTTCGCATTGGTATGTAACGAATTAGTCATTGTTAATAATTACGTGAATTAGCATTCTTTTGTATAAATATTTTTGTGATGTTCCTTGTTTAGTATAATTGCTATAATCGACTAAATACAAATGTATTACAAAATAATCTGAATGACACTTTCTAGGCCAAACTTAAAATATTGCTCCTCAGAATATGTTTACCTGGATAATTGAAAAAGAAAACGTAATGTATAGTAATAAATATAGATAGAATGGCATTAAGACATTTTCTTTTCCAAAGACCAGGATGAATAAAATAACGATCAAATCATATCCACAAAGTAGATTATGACTAAGCGAATACTGTATAATTTTTCTTTCAACTATCTGCACTTATATGAACTATAAAACTAGTTTGAATTTTATAACAAATTTCCAGCAAAAATGTTGAAATTAAACAATAAACGATTTCTAGAAAAAATCAACGAATGACAAATTATTTTAGTTATTAATTTAGTTTAAAAATCATGTGTACAATAACTTTACAAGTTTCTCCAAATATATCTCTCATCATGCTAAACTCAATATATGAGTACAAAGAACTTAATACATAAAATACACAAATGATTTTCGATATATAGAAATTTATTTATATAAAACTATTTTTTTAATTCATTTTTTTTTTAACTGAGGACTTATAACACGAATAAAATTCAACTGAAGCCTAAAGATCTCACATTAAAATACTATCCATTGAACTTCTATAACATTGAACTATAATACACGATTCTTTTCTATAATTATTCTATTTTCTATAATTATAATTTTAACAGGAAATTTCAGTATATCGAAAATCATCTCCATGTCGGCGAAAAATTGAGATTGTCCTAATTAAAACATTGTAACATATATATAGCTGCCGGGATAATAATTTAGATTCTAAATATACGATCAATTAAATTTGCCTTTTCTAATAGCAATGCGGTTATACATTCTCCCAAGAGCGCTCTTACATATTCTTACATCGTTGAAATATTATATAATGAAAAAGATCCACATAAAAATATGAAGGAACATCCAATGTACATAATTTGTATTTTCGAGAACTTCAATTTGTAAAAAATATTGCTAATAATCAACGTTTTGATTAGATCAAAACAATTTACATGTAGATTGTCCAGATATACTGTAACAATTTCTGGCATAGTTCATACGAATAACGCGACATTATTGAACACGATTTGATATTACTTGAGCCTTACATTCTCTTGATCGATAGGAATTTGTGAGAATGTATCAATGAATCACACCTGTATAATTTTCTTTTCCAGCTATTCTCATTTGCACGTGTTCAAATGTGTTAAAAAAAGGGAATTACACGATTGAGATATCGAAAATGTGTATTACTTATCTGTATGTAAAGTATTGCACTAAAAACACCTGTGATTCGCTATGACATTATGGATTATAAGGTCTCTCTCGTCGGATTCGTCACTTCGTGACACACACATTGGCAGTTTATATATTAATGATATGCCGTTTAAAAGTAGATCTATCGTGACACGACGAATGATAGATACATCGAAATCTTATCTAATTGTAACCCACTCATTGGAAGTGCGAGCATAATTATATTCATCAAGCAGGTAATTAAATAGAAATATAAAATCTATCTGTTAATTCGTCCTTTACTGTACATACTCTATATTAACTTGGCACTTGTATAGCTATACGAAAATAAGTTATATCTGTAATCGATGTGTAAGGAAGAGGGGCTGTGTAAGATCACTTTGCGTGGTGCACAAGCTTCTTAAATCTCGCGGAAGCAAGCGTTCGCTGTATAAAGAATGGATAGACACGCCATTATGCTCTATATTATACTGCCGATGGATTCGTTTTTGTCTCGAGTGACGCGCAAAGTAGACCGAGCGGTGATCAGCGATTTTAATGCAGTACTTCACAGAAAAAAACATTTCGTTTCAGCAAGCACATGATATGCATCCCATTAATTTCGCGACGCTATTACCGAAAGCGTTGCCGAACATTATCTTTATACGAACAGCACAAGGACTCTCTCTCTCTCTCTCTCTCTAGATATTCATGTAAATTTCGCTCAAATAACCGATATCGGCGAGTTTTAACTCTGAAATCAACAAAAATATCATAAGACACAGTCCATTACGCAAAAATTGCATCAGTGAACTGTCGAAACCTCTCTCTCGTCCGCACTGCTTACGTATGTTGTAACTTAAAACATGTGATTCGGTCTTTCTTAAAAACTCGTAAAAGAAAGATAATCCTCAGGCGGATACTAAACGTACGATGTGTATCCTCGTATAAAATTAACCTTTTCCTAGGAATCTGATCGCTATACCAAATCAGATTCGGAAAGGCGTTTGTATAACAAGGCCTATTCGTTTAAGACACTTTTAAGGGAGCAGACGCACAGAAAGCATGTTCCGTTTGGGTTTCGTCGGTTCTGCTCTATGAAAAAATCTCGTTTATATTACATTAAAATAGATAAATTTTCTCAACTACTTAATTCCTTCATTTTATTCGTTCGCGTCCACTTTTATAAAAACCTATAAATGGCAACTTCTCTACTACTTTCACAGCAGCTGTAATACCTACTTTTTTGGCGAGTTCAGTAATCTTACTCTCTCCTTCTCCTCCTCGCTGACGAAGATTCTAGTAATTACTATATCACCAGTGCTAAGCGTTTGGCAGGCCACGCTAGTCACGGTAGCTGCCCGCGGGCTATCGGTCTTATCTTGACAGGAACAGACGCACTTAGTAGGAGATGCCTCTGTACTGTTGGCGGAAAGCTGATCAGTCGCAGAACTAGTGACTGCCGAGAGTATGGCTTCCAATTTCTCAATCTTCTCCAGCCTATCCATCCGACCATCCGAAAGTATCTCATCCACCATCTGCATCGATTCCGTCAAGCTTGGAGTATCGGTATTACGCGGTGACAATATGCCACCTGAAAAGCACAGTTTTAGAGTTAAACAGTGTTCTTTAGAACGCTGAATTAGCGAATCTCCTTGACGAAATAAATCCTTACTTAGAACGATTAACTACAGGAATGCTTGATAGACTTCAGACTTTTTCCTATATTTTAATTCTATAAGCACTAATGAGACGTTTCTTTTCGCAGCGTAATAACTATACCAGAATGAGAATTCTCCGAAGTGTAACTTTCCATGCTGGGATACTCCACGTCGTCCGTCTTATCCTCGTCGTCGTCGTCGCTACTGTCGCCTTTATCCTGGCCCATATTTTCTAACTTCTCTAATTTCTTCGCAACTTTGTAGCTCCCCTTAAGCTTCTCCTTTTCGTCCTCGGTAAGATCCAAGTAGCGAAGCAGTCGAATCTCACGATTGCTCAGCACGATATTTTTGCTCGTCGCTTCTTCCATTCTTTTCTTCAGATCTGCCACCTCGGTCTCGACCTTTCGCTGCTTCTTACGTGCTTTCACCTCCGCCGGTCTTATGTGCATCTGAATCTGTTCTTCGCACAATTCCGCAAACAGACCTTGTATCTCCGGCTTGATAAGTCTATCAGTAATACAGAAAGAATCATTATTAAAAATCTCGTAGTGCTCGTTGCTCAATTAGCAACTTTGCGAATATTTGTTAACAAAAGTACACGTACCTTGACATAGCATTATAAACTTGAGGTACAAGACTCAGGACGTCGCTGCTCGCATAAATCAGCATGTCGCGAGTCATCGGTCGCCGGGACCAGTAGCGTTGATCCTTACGGTAAATATTCTTCAATTGTTCCTTAAGCGGATTACATGGAGCACCATAATGATCGCACAGTGTATTGAGATTAACGTTTTTAACTTTGTACACAGGCTTCCCCGTTTCTTGAAACTGTAGTACTGCATGAGCAGCCTATATATGTAAGATATTATATCCTCATATATAACGATTCATGTACAATATATGAAATAAATATATGATAAATCAACATAATTACGAACAAACATGAAAAAACGAGGGATATTACCTGTGTATCAAAAACGTTCGTCAACATAATTTTAAATTGATTGTACAGATTGACACTGTCGTTCCTACAGTCATGAATCACCTGCAAGAACAAAAACGATTAAAATAATTGATAGAATATACAGAGTGTCCCAGGCTTTACCAAGCAACTTTAGCCCATTACAAAAACGAAAGTAAAGAGAGACAATGTCACTGTTATCTGTAGAAATTGAAAGAATGTTGGAATCTGAATAGTCTGTAAAAATCTTGTGACACTCATTTAAAATGTGTTACGTTACGATAACGATACGTTACCGTGATGTTATCGTGACATGTTATCGTTATGTAATGTTACCTTAACAACATTCTTATGTTCCAGCAGCTTCTGAAGACCTCCAGCTTGAACGAGACTCGGACACGTAAACAAATCGAACACGTACGCCTGACCGCTCATCGTACCGATCTGTACGAGAGTCAACTGTCCCTTGACGCCAAGATTGATGCCTTCGCAGTCGAAAGAGATGACCACCTTGCCGTCGAGAGGTGGCTTCCGAGGATTTATTATATCTTCTATGATCTGAAGACTGTCTCTCGGCGTCGCTATCACTCTGGTCTGCTGCAGCACCTTCAGTTTCCAGGCGTCTCCCATCTGTGCGGTTTGCAAGCTGCGGTCACGTTCTGTGTTGTCCGCCAGGGTTTTCATCACGAGTGTGTTGATCCTCTGCTTGAGAGTCTGCTGCTGCAAGCTCACCGGTGGTGAGTTATTATTGCTTTCGACAACAGGCGGCGGTGTGTACGCATTCTGCAACGAGTTCGGCTGAGCCGTGGCGTTGTTACAGACGTTCTCCGGCTGCGAAAATTGGATTTTGCTCGGTGGGATAATCGGCAGCGCGTTCATGTGCGGAGTCGAGCTGTTGTTGCTCTGACTGCGACCACTGCCGTTATTCAAAGTCTTCGTCTTTGCAGCTAAACCCGTTGCGGATTCCGGTGCTATAGAAGATTTCGACCGGCTTATCAACGTCACCAGGTTACTCTGCACGTGAAACGTGTCCGGGAACATTTTGATGAAGGTCGACAGATCTTGTGGTGTTTTAAATATGCACATCCAACTCTCGTGAGAAAACTTATCATTGACCATATTGTACAGCTGGTCAATTAAGATCGGACCCTTTTGCTCGATGCACATGCTGAAGAAGTCCAACAGTTTTGCCGTAACCTCCGGATCGATCGGAATATCTGGCTCTAACTCCAACAATCGCTCCAGCTTCATACCCTCGTATTGCTTCAGTATCACGTTATCTTCTGTGACAACGAACGCGTCGGGATATTTGAGGAGAAAGTCGCGGAATTCCTTGTAGTGTTGACCGGATATATGCCTGACCTCCGGTGAAGCCTGCGATCGATGACCCAGGAGGCTTTTAATAGGCACTTCGATGCCCATGCCGTATTGCACCAGTTTATTCGTAAAGTATTCTACAGCCTCGCGGGCATAATCGCGCTTATTCGCGTTCTTACTACCGCTCTCCTCCTCCACGACTGGTTGAAACGTATTGACAGACACGTAATCGCCGTCGATCAAGAAGAGAGCCGGATATTGCGATAGAAACTTCTTAAGGCCACTTTGTGAACCTCCTGCTATCTGCCGCATCTCCTTCGTAAAGCCCTTAGCCCCGAACTGACAGCTTAGATCGTGCAAAGTACGTGGGCCACCTTTGTCCATCAATCGCTCAAAGAAGAAAAGGAGCGTCATATTCCTGATCGTCTCGTACTCCGAGCTATCCATCTTTAATGAAATTGTACCGAAATTGTAAGAAATTTATATTTGTATAATCTCCTCAATGTCAAGATGCTTCCTGTAAAAAGAGAAGCAATTAACTTTAAACAATTGACTTAAGACGAAATAATTTATAAACATTAGATTGCCGCTTAATGTATTTTCCACGGGGGGAACGTGAATCGGCATTTTTCACTTATCAAACATTGAAAACAAAAGATGCGAATCGGCGTTATTCAGTTTTTAGACGTTTATATTTATTTGATGGTTTGAAGAGTCAGAAGAAGATCAAAGGTTGCAACCTAAACTTTTAGCTTTACTTTATGTGCCCCTTATTACGACCCACCAAGATAATTGTCCAGCAATACACGACAGTACATTTTAGAGAAAATTATTGGTAAAGGAAACTAAAAATATCCATGTTGGAAATGTCGCATGTATGCTCTAAATAAAAGAGAGAGAGAGAGAGAGAGAGAGAGAGAGAGAGAGAGAGAGAAAGAGAGAGAGAGAGAGAGAAAGAGAGAGAGAGAGAGAGAGAGAAAGAGCAAAACACGATATATATTTGTAAATTCTGCTTAGAATCCATGTTTTAATAATTACCATACTAAAAAATATTATTATTATTAATGTCATCAATAATTGTACCAACCAATTTTTAATAAAGGATTTCGTTTAATAAAATATTTACATAGTTTCGAATAGATGCGTGCATATTTCATACATATCCCAAAAATGTGCAGGAACTGAGACTTAATCCGTTTCACAATATACTGTCAACAATGTGTTAATATTTTATCCACAGATTTTAGAACATTCCATATATTTCATACATTATTCATGATTTATATATAACTTATAAAAAGCGAACATATTAAGTTTACTGTGAGCATATATTTGTTTTATGAAATATATACACCCATGAAAAATTTGATGATAAAGTATTAAGAAAACTTGTTATTATTTCCAGAATATGTGAAATGTACCTTACAATTAATAATGTACTTACAGTCATAGTAAAATTAAAATACCAAAGATAAAGGCACATTACTAGGCTAGGATCACCATCCCTTAGTCATGCCTTTACAAAAAATATATCGAGCATTTGTTGACGATTGATAGTTATGATACTATTGTTGAGATTGAGCGATTTCCAATTGAACTGAATTTTAATTGTGTAGCCAGCATAATGGAGGAAAAGGCAAATCTAGAAAAACATGATCTAATCGTAATTTTACATATAATCTAATCATATCTTACCATAATGGCTATCTTAAACCTATCTATATTGTCTTATTGCATAATTATTTTGAGAAACTTACTAAAGAATTAACATACCTTAGCTCCAATGTAGAAGTATTTTGATAATTATAATCTACCTTCAATCATTGTCAGTTGTTTCTACCAGAAACAATGCATTATAAGATCTTCCTCCTCCCCCACCTGTGGATAACAATGAATGTTGACAAAAAGAATTTAAATTAAAGAACAATTAAGAAAACTTCTAATGGCAATGGTCTGATGCAACAAATATGTACATCTTATTCCATAATTAATGATGAGAACGTTCATAGTTTAAGTTATAAATTTGATCATAAGGAAATTCTGAACATATTTCGCGAACAAGTGTCATATCGTGTTTCATATTTGGGACATGTGCGTTCACACGATCTTGATATCATGCGACAGCACTCTCTGTTACGGCGCAGTCCATCTAGACAGCTGGCCTTCAGGAATAACACTTGTAAATTTGCGTCTCATTAAGAGAAGACGACGGTCGTAAGAAACTTGTATTTCTCGAAAATGTGATTTTTATAGGTCACACGGTTCACGTTTCTTCTAATTGACGGAGAAGCGGAAAAAAGAACGGCACGAATTTTGCTATCAGTCGTCTAGAGGATCTGGGTGATCCTATGATCACATTTTCCTCACCGACTCGCCTTAACGACACTCCTCACAGAACAAATATCGCGGCGTACCTTGGCAGCAGAATCGTAGCTAACCCCAATGCGATCTACTTATTCTTTCATCCATAAAGGTATATCCAATGGATTTCTTCGCTTGGGAGAGACACCGTCAGAGGGATCTCTGTGTACAATTGACGTTAGCGACAAAAGAAAGAACCCTGCCCCAACAACACGTCACGCATCTCATTACGTCCTTAATTAGAGCGATCTTGCTTAACTAGGCGGATTTTTACTTCTTAACAATAGATACAAACCAAAGGCCACTTGAATCTCCATTCGATTATACAACAAACAAGTAAAAATTAGTCTGGTAAATTGTTCGATATTCTTTTAGGATATACATAAAACTAAAAAGTTCATTTTTGGTCAAAATAAATAAATTAAACAGGTAATGACTTAAGAAGAAATAATAATAACAAGATGGTTCCAAAAGTATTTTACAGATTAAAGTCTCTAATTTTTCTAAATATATTTGTTTAATTTCTACAAAAATGATTGTTCAGTATTCAACTGAAAGATGAGGTTCGAAATTGGGCGGACGCTATTCTTCATTTAACTTGCTGTAATTGGTGAAGAAAGACGAAACAATAAAGGCTCGTCTACAATAGCTGTAAGAGTAAGGCTGTAAGGCTGTAACGTAAGCTGTCAGCGAATGAAAATATTTCATTTCGTGCCTTGCAACCTTGGCTGCGTTCCGATATTCACTGCCAGCACTGAAATTCTATAGTATACGTGACACAAACTATGTATTTTCAGTACTGGCAGTGAATTTCGGAACACAGCCCTTACAGCCTTACTCTTACAGCTAATGTAGACAAGCCTTAAGACTTCTATTGTAGACGAGGTATTACGGCCATTGTAGGCCACGCTTTATTGTTCTGTTCTTTGTAGCTGCACTGTTGAACTGGTGCAATAAGTTAAAGTGAGACAAATATAAATTTTCTCACTCTAGCTTATTGCACCAGTTGAACAGTGCAGCTACAAAGAACAGATCAAATATTAAGCTAGTGGCACACGATGCTTGTGTTCATACTGGATTGCTTGTTGGATGAAAATACTGCATTCTGATTGATATATTTCCGAAAATGGATGGAAATGTACCAATCAGGATGCAGTATTTTCACCCAGCAAGCAATCCAGCACGAAAACAAGCACCGTATGCTGCTAGCTTTATTAATGGCTGCATTCCGATATTCACTGCCAGCACTGAAATTCTATAGTATACGTGACACAAACTATGTATTTTCAGTACTACGCAACCTAAAGATTCAAGCTACAAAGTGCTTTACAAAGTGTCACTTTTGTCAAAATATATTGAATTTCACCTATTTTCAAGATGTTTTAGGAACCTAGAAATTTTCTTTTCTATCCTAGAAATTTTCTATCTGACAATCGGGATGTCCGACAGGTTTGCCGTACGACACATGTAACATCAGGCCTGGTCTACAATAGGTGTTGTAAGCTGTAAGCCGTGAGAACTGACCAATTATAGCCGATTATTTTTGTAATAATCGACTGTGATTCGTCAATTCTTACGGCTTACAACTTACGACACGGTATTGTAGACCAGGCCGCAGTTTAGCGTGGATAGAAGCGCGTGGCAATTGTACATACACGCATGCGCTACCACGTACGATTGTGTGGCTGACACTTTGCCAACGAAACTCATTTGCGCATACTCCAGCCTGTTCCAGTTAGCTACAGTGCCTTTCGGAGTCAGGCAGTATTGTTGTTGTTATTGTATTGTCTGCAGTTGTGTACTGTACGGAGCTTTTATAATTACAATGTCGTCTGGCGGTTGGGAATTGGTCGGCAAGAAGAAAGACAGGACGAACGGCAAGGTGAATAAGCTCACAAAGGCTGAGAGGAAGAAATTCATTGAGAACGCGCCGAAACTCGAGGATTTCTGTAAGTCTGTGTCCCCTCATAACCTGCTATCTGTTGCCTTTCGTGAATTGCCTTAATTTCGCTCCGATTGTCACAACCTTATTGATTCGTTTACGGGACATCGTTATAAAAATAGCACGATCAAAGCGTCACTCGACCAGTCAATCGTGCGTGAAATTTTTAGAACGCGTGGGTCGCAATATGGTGCTGATGCATATTGTTCGCGAGCGATATTCATCTGCTGTCGCACTTTTTTACTATAAAATCAATTACAGATTTTATTGTGACATAAAACAAAATTACTTAAAGTTGCAATAATTTGAAATATCTCAGAGAATAGTATTTTGTACATTTATTAAGATAAAGCTTATAATCTCAATAGAATGTTGATGTTCACACAAATAAATATTTATTGTTATATTGAACAAATAAACTGACTGAATATGTGATTTTAGTGCCACTGAGTCAAGTAAAGACGCTGTATGATAATCTAGATGGTAACAAGGAGACCAAGAAATCTCCTAAAGCAAAGGAACATAAAATGAAAGAGAATGAAGAAAAGAAGAAGCAGCAGCAGCAGAAGCAACAGCAACAAGCTGAGAAGAAGAAGCAGGAGCCAAAGGAGAAACCACCGAAAAATATAAAGGATGCATTGAACGCAGTAAGGCTGCTGTCAAAATTTGGAATAAATCTTAGATTATGATAAAAATTCTCATAAATAATTATATATTACTTTGTGTACCATCTTTTATTAGTAAGTCATTTACAAAAATTTCCAGATTGATATAAAAGAACTCAATAATGTACTGGCTACTGCACAAGCCAGATATCCTGAAGCTCCATTGATCTGGCTGAAAGACCTCGCAGCATTCCTCAATGTTAAAGTACCCATTGACAAAGAAGACGCAATTTTCTCAGGGAAGCCCAAGGATTATCCATTGAGTTTAGTACCTAAGGCAATCTCTTCTACATTAGAACATGTAGTAGAAATGGCAGGCCAACAGTCCGCCCAGCATTTCTATGAGATTACTCTCACCTCCATGGCTACTGACATGGTCAAGGGAATCCCTGTGGTTGGTCACAAGATATTTTTGCAGCTATTGGCACACATAAATCCTGAGATGACCGCCGCAAACATTCCTAAGCTAATTACGATAAGAAGCTCTTACGAAAATAGGAAGAATGTTGGCTTGTCCCTGCTATGGGCTTGGTCCCAGGCTGGCAGGAAGAATCTGGCGGTCGGCCTGAAGATCTGGCACGAACTAATGTCGCCGATGCTGGACATGAAGGGCTATGCGAACTATGTCGTGCAGATCTTGAATGATTTAGTCTTCGGCCACGACAACGTCCGCGATCTCAGTCTAGATCTATACCTGGACATCATTGCAGAGACTTACTCAAACAAGTTCAGCAACCAACCGGCCAATTTAGCGGTAGAGATCAGTACGAGCATTGATAAGTTGAGAGTAAGTAATAAGCAGCAGGTACAAATCATTGCTGAACATATCTCGAGTGTCGCTTTGCGCATTCAAGCATCTCGTTTGCGAGAGCCACTCTCGACGCCTGTTCAAGCTCGACTCATCTCAATGCGACGGCTGGGCGTAAGTGCAGTAAAACTTCACGTCTTTTACAGTCGATAGTATTTAAAAGCAAGGACATAAGTTACACGAAATTGTTCGAAATGTTGCTCGGAAAAGTAACGCCGAAGTCATATACGGACTACAGATGTGAGATAATCAAGGCCCTCGCGGATTGCCTTGTCACGGAACCTCGTTGCTTCGCCATATGGGGTTCCATCTACCCCACGTACTTGTACCAATCCAGTCTTCTCTTGCAATATATTGGTGAGTATCCGCAATTCCTTGCGCACCGCAATTGCAAACTGAATCACACTGTATTCCACGCAGAATTGTTTTTGTAGATGCGAATTTACCTAGTCTGCAGCCGCAGCTCAGAACCAAGCATTTCAAGGAAACCCTCGCGATTTTCCAAAACAGTAACGAGAAATGGAAGAAAGTTAAAGACGAAAACCTCGCAAACACATGCAAGGTTACATCTCAGGTGAGTGTTCCCTCGCGCATTATCGCACGATTTTATCGGATTATAAGACACATTACGAGTCCAAATAATTTGATAAATCGGTTCAAGAAGTACTATGAAGTGTTTCTCGAAGCGATTTATCAAATTACTTAGTCCCGTGATGGTCAGATAAATTTACAAGTGAACCGCAAGAAGTGCAATGGCTTTAGGCAACATGCACATCATCATCATCTAACTTTGATTAACTAACTTATCACACCCGATAGTGTCGCATCTTATCTTTGTACACATCTTATCTTTGATCGTGATCTGCATTGTTCCGCAAGTTCACTGCAGTATGAACGTCCGTCCTGTGCGATACGCTTATCTTTTGCAGCTGATAAAAGAACAATTGGCGATACTCGTCCAATAACCGCATTGCGTCGACGTTTTTGGAAAGAAACTTTTTCGTCCGTTATCGCCTAAGAAATGCAAAGATAACCCGTCTGTCGAACTGGTGAACAGTCACGTTATTCTCTTTTGTGTTCACAACACGACTCCCAGTGGGTAAATGTATTCTTTTTTGCTTCGGCTGCAATATAAAGTATAGAAGAAAGTTTCAAACGCATAGTGCTTCGCATAAAAGTCGTGTTCGCTGTGCGGGCTATAAACGTGCAGTGAGATTGCAAGTGCGACGAGCGAAGATTGCCAGTCGCTATTAAATCCAGTTACGTCGTAAATCTCGGTACGTTGAATCCACCGCGGGGCTGTCCCCGGAGAAAGAGAGATCGGGTGTATAAATACACTTGTCCGTCACGCTTAATGTAACAAGCTCACGTGCCTGATGCACTTAACACAACTTGGCGTATCGGGCGATATGCTTAAATGAGCGCATGAACAAAATTTATTCGCCTCGATGAATAGATGGACAATTAAATCTAGAAAGCATCCCTCTCGCTGAATTTTCTTCATAGATCACGAAAGTTGCGCTTGTCATTCGAAAACTTTCAATTAAATCGTGGATTAAACTAGAACAAATAAAAAAAATTCCACACATTTAAACTTAAACTAAATATTATTTTTATATATATGCTGCCCGGGCAGTACAAAATATTTCTACAAAATGTTCTTTAAGACATTTGGAAGCTTACATTATCCAGATGTAATCTATCCAATGTAAACTTGGTTACACGAATCTGCATTTCATTTCTCTGGTATAAGAATTTCGTCAGAATAATTAAAAATTTTTCATCGATAAAAGTATACTTCGAAGGAATTTTAATCAAGGCAAATTCGGAATGCGAAGCAACTAGACGCGAACGCAGCTCAAAAAAAACTTCGCGCGGAAGTTCTGTTATTAATAGCCGAGATTGTACAATACTATTTGGCGAAAAGACAGTTTGACGAAGACAATCTCCGATAAGGAAAGCGCGTCGTAGTCACTCCATGTGATAACATCGTCGCAGATCAAATCCGTAATTATACCTGTTGCGATTTTCATTCGCACGTAACGAACTGGCGCGCTTAGTGCGCAGTACGTAGTCGCCTCTGAATCATATATCGTGATCGACAACAGAAATAATCACGTGATCCACGTAACGTCCTTAATCCTGTTATAAATTCTGTTTTTCTAAACCCGTCGCTGCTAATGTACCGCCGGTGTTCCTGTGAGATATTTGTGTGATAAACATCACGCGCTTCGTGGGCGCGAATGATTTGGCTGAATCGATCGAATTCGAATCGGTGAGATCTATCCAAAATTCATCGCCTCTATAGGTGTACAATCAGCAATAGGAAGGGTAACTTCACCATCCGTTCGCGCATACATGCATCTCGCGTTCGAGTCTCTCCCTCGTTCTTTCCTTCGGCATCCGCGAGGAAGAAAAAGCGAAAGAATTTAGCATTTTTGAAAAGAATTTGCGAGAGAGCAAATTCCTCAGCCGGTCTTTAACCAGCGGATAGCTAACGGAGGCTGTCATTAAACAGCTGCTGTGAGCTGTGAGGCGCGCAGCTCGGACGATTTCGTTGTTTTTCGGCGACGGGGGGCGGTCGCCGAGGCAGCGGCGCGCGCTTGATTCGAACGACGTGCACGCATGTACGCAGCGGTACGCTCGACAGGTTAGGTCGCTTGTGTCGGGAACGAAGCTACTGGAACGGTTAGACTATTGATCCGCGCGCGCTCATCGCCCCCCTCGCAACGCCCAGCCGTGAGCAACGACGACACGACATTAGCACCGTTCGTTCATCCGTTTGTGCGTTTTTCTTCTTTTTCGTCGCGGAGATCGACGGAAGCCAATAACGAGCGTGTCGCGTCTTCGGATTTCCACAGGTAAGATCTGGTGTTCCACGTGCGTATCCTGTGTTCGATCCGTAACCTGATCTACGTAGTAAACGTCGATCATACGCGCCGCGCGAATTATCTGTGAACGAATGACTGTGCGGAATTGATAATTCGTTAATTGCTCGACACGCGAATGGTACATACCCTTTCAGCGCGTCAACGACGACACAAGACGCGTCGTTGATCAACATGTCATCCAGTCGAATGATCTGAAATGCCTGTTGAACGATCACTGATGATTAGTTATTGCGCGTCAAGAATTTGTCCCAATTAAAATCGAAAGTCAAGATCTCTAACGCGAGCTATACACGATTTCTCTTTCACGTTATCTCATGTTAAGCCAAGATAAATCGATGTGTATGTTGCAACATTTCTATTGTGCACATCACAAATAATTTAAATGATAATAATTAGGACCAGTATCCTTGGAGGAAAAAACCAACACGACAAACACCAAGAATCTGACTCAATCCTTGTTATCTATTATCACAATTGTCTGTTATTCTTTTTGTGTTTATCATTGTTTTTCAGGCACTATTAAAGAAAATGACTTCTTCCACACGTCGTGGCTTTCCCTGGGGAATAGGTAGCCTGTCTCTCTTGCTACTTATCAGTGCTGTCATAATATATGATGTACAAAAACATGGCTCTTTTGAAGGTAAGAATCTCCTATAGTGGTATCAATTCACACACATCTGTAGTATCTGTTACTTATCTCTTGTGTCATGCTTGCTTGCTATCATATTTCTCTTCAAATTCTGTCACTTATAGTATTCGTTGTATGAATTAGTTAAATTGTTCAGAAGAGAAATAATTTTACTGAACACATTTGTACATTCATAATAGTGTGATTTAACAAACCATAATATATGATTGATGAAAATATTCATTGTTATCATATCTTCTCTCTGTACCATGTCTCTATATTGCTTTCATTGTTCAGTTTCTCATTCATTTTTTAACTGTTTAGAAATATAAATAATTTTTTTTTCGACTGTACATCATTATTATTTATATATTTATAGCATCCCAAATTGGAATATTTGTGAAAACTAGTGGAATCTCAAAGTATGTAGAGAAGGCATGGACTACAATACAGTCGTATTCATCTGCGGGACACCAGACAATTAAGAATAGTTCAGAATATTATAAAGCTGCAGTTGACTTGTGTGTGCCATATGTTAAATTAGCTGGTGATGTCTATCTTGTAGTAAAGAATATTTCAATTAAAATTTATAATAATGCTTTAGTATATATCGAGAAGAAAACACCTATGGTTTTGGATACAGTAAGTAGTGATAAGCATTAGGAATATTCTGCTGTAAGTGCAAGATGTAAAATATTTCGTAACAGTCTTGTCTCTTTCTTTTCTCATAGATTGAGCACTATTTCCCAGGAATTGTAGATCAGATTCAATCCCGAAGTCTTCAGGCATTAGAATTTGTGAAAGTTTCTTTCGCTCTGATTGGAGAGAAAGTCATTGAACATTCCAGTGCAGCAGTAGAATGGTTGGGTAAAAACGTCTTCGTGTAAGTCTTTTGAATCACATACAGGATCTCCATGTTGAATACAGTGACTATAAATTTGATTTATCACTTCAGAGGTAAACTTAGCCCTGAGAATCTCGGAGATTACGCTGTATGGACGATGCGCACGACACTATCATATGCGAGTGAAACGTACAACTGGGTGTATGAAAAAGTACAGACTCTCTCTCCATGTCATAAATATTAAATTCGTCAGTTGTTCTACGGCGATTGCGGTAATGAGACAGAAATCTGCCTCTTCCTTCATACGTCAGCATTTATTATTTATGACACCAGAGTCAAGGAGTTGCATTAAACCTTTTGAAGATCACGAATGCGTCGGCCATTTTACCTGTGATATTTATTAAAAACAAAAAGAGAAAAAAGAAGGAAAGAGATATATATTGTCTTTTGGTCTGTGGTCTTGACAAATTTCGTGAATTTCTAATAAATACGAATAATCGTAGACATTCTCTTTTATTAAGATACTTGTGACGTGGAAATTATTCAAGTAATCCAGATAATACGTGTTAGTCTCTGTGTACGGCAGACTAATATATTTTGTATTTTCGTTTATAATGAATTTTGAAAATAGTGATTAATATATTCAATGGCTGAGTTATTAATAAAAGTACCATTTTTCGTAACAAAACTTGTAGATACAATAAAGAAGGAATGACCGAAGGTGCAAACTTTTTATAACGATTAACGAAATAGTTTAACATCCGGTGAAATGGGTCGTAGCAATGACAACAGTGATATATATATTCATAGGAATAGCAGAATAATATTAATAAATATAGCAATAATAATAATAATAATTATGATAATGAGATGACAGTAATAATAGCGACAAAATACAATAGATGAACATGATTATGACAATGATAATATTTTAACAAGAATATATTAAAGTTTTACATGGGAAGAGATCTGTGGACAGTGACAGCCACCTCCATAAAGCTACGTCTGTAAAAATTAGTGTCATCTTCTCTTGCGACAGAGAGAGCGGCGGTATATTTTTTTTGACATTGGTTACGTTCAGCAAACACAGTGGTTGTCAACTTTCAATCAAGATCATCTGTGATTAGTATGTACTTATAGTCTGTTCTTTTTCAAAGAACTTCCTGAACTGGTACATAGTACAATAAGTTAGAATGAAATAAAATATATTTGTCTCATTCTAACTTACTGCACCAAGAAATACAGCATTCAAAAAATTCTTTAGAAAAGAACAAACTGTTGATTTCAATAAGATTTGCACTTTTTTTTTAGTGCAGTTTATGCAATTTTAATGCAATTAATTCGAAACACAGCTGGTGGTCTAATGAGAGAACTTGTTTTCGATTTATTCCCAGAAGTTAAATTCTCTTATTGAATTATTGATTACGTTCGAAACTATATAAATGGAAGTGTTCAAATTATATTGAAACAACATACAATATCGCAAATGTATATACTTTAAATCTACCAATCACAACTCTCAAAGTTGATCACTCAACCGCTATTCGCTGAACGCAGCCATTGACTGCCAGCAATTTTGTAACGGTTGTCAACTTTTGAGTAAAAATCCTGATTGGTGTATATTTTTAAATCCACCAATTAATTTCTCGATCATTGTATTCACTGAACAGAACCTTTATACAAGGTCACAGCTTTCATCCCTGATTGCTCTCACGGATGCGTTTATATTCGCGTTGTATTTCCGTTTGGCTATTTCCGCTTCGTACGAGATTATAGTTCATATGGGAAAAAGAGTTTCATCGTGTTCTTATAAATTTGATTGCACAGATATTCCTCTTCTTCGTCCCTGATTCGCGCCAGGACTTCCAATATCTGACTGTAAGCGAAAATCATAGAAACCCATATTCACAAAATATATAGATGTAGTTTTTAAGTACAAATATAGTTAATATCGCCATAAAAATTGTAAACATTAGTTAAAAACATCAATTTACGATTAGGAAAGGAAAGAATGTTAATCTGTTCTCTTTCTTTTTTTTTTTTCAAAGAACTTGATACATATAAATATAATAAATTAGAATCTACAATATGCTGTTTGCTTTTTGTTTCTTTGTCTTTATCTTTTTAACCTTAAACTTTATGTCTTAAACTAGAAAAAGATAACGAATAGGAAATAGCAGAAAGCATATTGTAAATCAGGCTTTATTTTAACTTACTACATCAGTATAGATCAGTTCAGAAGGTTCTTTGAGAAAGAACAAACCTGGTGTTCGAGATCATTTCTCAATTGTTGGATAATAGCCACATATACTTACACTATCGTACACGGCTCGTTCCGTCCTTTAACCATCCGGTCTGCTTGCCATTTCTCCCTTTTCATAGATGGAAAGTGCGTTATAACGTCTTTCGCAGACACGTGTGATGGCCGGATTTCGCACCACGGACAATCAGTCTCTATCATCAGTCTGTCCGAGGGGATGGTGGTGACTGCGAAGAGATTCTCCTCAGTCTTCAGAGAACTGAAACACGAGATAAAACATCTTATCGAGATTAGGTCTTTTTGTGATTTTTGATAGAGCTTGTATGTGTTGTGATGATCATACCATCCGTTAATTCCAATGTACAAGCCTAATTGCAGTATAGAATTAGCATCCTCTGGATTACCGTCAAACGAATGCACGACACCTGCCGTTAGTTTATCTTTATGTTTCCGCAAGATTCGCACGAAATCGTCGCTGGCATTACGACAGTGAAGGAACATCGGTAATTTTAGGGTGGAACATAGAGACAACTGCATTTCAAAGTACTTCTTCTGGATGTCTTTAGGACAAAACTGCAATCTGTCGTAATCTAGACCTATCTCGCCGATTGCGACAATTTTGTCTTTGTTGTTTAGTGCCAGATCTGACAGTGACTTGAGATATTCCTCTGGATCATCGCATCCCTCTAGCTCCTGGCAGCGGGTCGGATGGCACCCAACTGTTGAGTATAACCTTTCTGAAAGTTTTTGATCAACAATAATCAATTTATTATTCAGAAAAGAAGATGCACATAAGATTGCAAGATTTATGGTACATATGAAACATCAATATATAAAAACAAAGTTATTTTATATTACAAATTGAAAAATTTCCATATGTGGAAAGTATAATTAAATATAATGGACTATTAAATATAAACAAAAATAAATATAATCTCTCACATATATATTCCAGGATATATTTTTAAGACTTGCCATCAGTTCTCGCTATTTCAAGAGCCTTCTTGCTGTCTTCAATGTTACCAGCGGTAATAATAATCTTTGACACATTGTTGTTCCAACTTCGCTCCAATACTTTATCTAAATCAGGCTGATGTTTTTGTAACCCATGATAGATTCCTTGGTACACAGGATCTGTTAAATTGGCACCAATATCTGTAACATTTGAAGTAAAAGATCTATATTTTTCAAGACCATTTTAGACAAATTACACAGATATTTCTGCTACAAATTTCGCCTAACGATAAAATATCGTTAGAGCATCGTTCTAATCACAGCGAAAGAACGTCTAATTATTTGTAGTTTCATAAAATACTTGAAATGTACCGAAAATTCAACAAGCTGCTCATCGAAAAATGTTGAAAAAACGTGCATGCTTGCTACATCCATCACCGACGAGATCTACAAGGAATTTAATGTTCTTTCTTTTTGTTCCAGGACATGCAAGAACGCAAAATCTGCAGAGCTATCGATCAGAAGCGATTTTAGCAACTCTTAATCGTGTAACCTCTCGCGCACGCAAGAGTATACGCGACGAGGTTACAACAACGTCGAAGTCAGGTACATAGATAACACGTCATGTTTACCTATGAATTTCCGTAAATTGGTCATTCTAGCTCCAAGCATGAAACGCTCCTATACAAGTTATGGGCAAATACTGACCCAAGAAAGAACAAAAGGAGTGACAGGAGAGGTTAGGCAGATGTTCTTAGTTTGACCGGCTCGATAGATTGACACATGGGTGAGAACTGGCGTCCCGTTTTCATGTGCCAAAGTAATCGCCTCAACGCGATTCTTAGCGTTATAATATCATCGATCCAATTCCCGTGCCTTGATTGAATTCTATGCAATAAAAGATTTATTTCCGGTTATTAAACGAGTTGCGTTATACCATGCGCTAGTTCTTTTTTTTTTTTTTTCGAAAATAACTGTATATTTATTTATCTCTATTTAAATTATGAAAACGTATAATCTTATTTTTTCTTCATTATTATCGCGACACTGTAATTGTAATTTTGTAATTATAATATACGGAACCATGTATAATTGTATTAGATATGTGATGATGTAACATTTATCTTAAATTTATATTTAATAGTTACAGGTGTCAACACACACTATATCACATAACTTCTTATAACTTAATTTACTTTCAAATTAGGACCTGAGATGCAATATTGTTGCGAAAATGTCCAAATATTTATTACAAAATAATACATATATATTCTACTGTCTTACTAACAAATGTTTTACTCAACTCAGATTGTTAGAAAGTAATTATAGCACATAAAGGTGTTTATTTTTTTTTCTACATATTTATTATAAATCTTAACTTATGATACAGATAAGTTTCCTCATGGTGCAACGCGCATTAAATGCATAGTATGCCTTGTTTAACTTGTCCACTCATATTCGTGAGTGAAATTAACATTGCTGTGAAACACGACAACTGGATGTTGCTATATCACAAATGCACCGTGGGAGGTACCCCTCTTTTTTTTCTCTATTCTATCGAGTCTCCTCTGACTCGCAAGAATGCGATTATTGCAACGACTTCACGATCGCGTTGATCTTCTCAGCGCATTCCTCCTTCTTCTTTCCGATCGCCGACTCCGCCTCGACAAACTGTTGCCGACTGATCTTGCCCGGTACTAGTTTATCCACGTACAACGCCTGTTGCTGATTGTAGAGCTCTTTCAATGACCGGTCACACCTTTGCAGTTCCTGTACACGCTCATATACATCACCGGATTCACCCTTTAACTTCTGCGAAATCTCATTGAGTGCGCTGGTAGCAGCCTTGTATTCTTGGTTGATGACCTTCACTGCGGCGAGAAACGCATTGGTATCCTTATTGGCCTTCAAGCATACCAGCTGATCGTCCAGTTCGTTGTACGAGTTGATCCGGCGATCCTGCGCAGCCAATATCTTCTCACACTGGCCGGCAATCCGCAGTTTGCTCTCCGATGCTTCGTCCTTATCAATGGAGAAATCCCACCTAACATATGTAATTACTAATAGGAACAATAAGTATAGCGCTAATGCAACCAACAATGGTTCCTGCAACATCAGCAAACGTGGGAATGTATACTTGAATCTGAAGCTCTGGATATGATTCTCCACCAAATTCTTCTTGGTCACAGACACCACAGGACGACCAGTGACATCTAGATACGTGTAATGCAAGGAATCCGGCAGGCGAGTCGCCGGATACGGCAATTCCAGCTGCATGTTCCGCGCTCCTTCTGGCAGGATAATCTTCAGCACCATTTCGTCCACGACCATGTCGTCGAAGATGTGATCCAACAGTCTCATCTCCAGAGTGTACTCATCACCAGAGTGGAATAAGTACTCATAACTGGGCACATTGTAGCCAATCGTATAGCGAGTCTTCCAGCCGCCGAATAATGGGAATCTAGGCCTCAGGTTCAGCTCCACCGAGTCCTTCTTGATGCGGGTATGCGATGTGGAGATGTTGCCGATCTCGTCCCGATAATAGATGTCAGAAGCTGCCGCTGGCAAAATAGTGTCGAAACTCTGGATACTAGCCTGGCCAGACTTTGATTCTCGTGCATATTCATAACGCGAAAAGGATCCCTTCAACAAGGCCCCAGTATGTAGAAGATCAATGTGCTCCTCGACAGCGATGTTACCCCAGTGAGAAATCTCAATGGTCCTCTCAAGCCTAGTTACAGTGAGGAACTTGTTGTTATTTTCAAAGTGCACCGTCAGCTCCTCGTGAACATACGGCGGCTGCTTCTCAAACGGACCGTAGACTATCCCCGAGCCAGTCTGTGAGACTGGTTTGATCTTGGTGTAGCTCTCAATGTTGCGCGATGGCAGTCCTACAAAGGTGGTTTGCTTGGCGACCGCGTACGGCAGATAAGCATATACATTGCCAGTATACTTAACCAGTTGCTTCTCCTGCTGAGCAATCTGCTTAGGATGTGGCACCAACTCATGCGTAAGGATCATCTCTACTTCAATAGTGAGCGTGCGACGAGGCGCCAAGTGATTGGCAAGATCGATCGAGAAGAAGGCTTTATCACGGTGCGCCTCCACCTTGGTCTCCGTCACCTTGAGCTGCAGCTTACCAGGTTCCACACGAGCCGTTATGTAGCTCAGGGACTTTCTCTGCACGCCGTCCAAGCAGAAGAGGAAGCTCTGCGTGGCGCGGTCCTTGCTGTTGTTGTCCAGCACCACGCGATTCGTAATCTTCGTCAGCTGTGACTGTAGGTCAATATGCCGCTCGACATTCCTCACCACCAGGTCCGGATCCACGAGGTTCCCATCGACGGCGGTGTGAACATGCGAACATACGCAAAGCAAGAAGATGCTTATCAGCGCGCTCGCACGCAACCGAGACATCTTCGGCATTCCTGCGGTTACTCCTGATCAGGATACTGACAACAGTATGTTCTTTGTCGCTACCGGCTTGCAAGGTACGTTGACAACGGACAATCTACGGCAAAGAGAAATATGTATATATATATATGGCGCCCGCCGGCATATCGATACAGACGTGGCCGGCAAAATGGTGCCTATCGCATTGCCACGAATTTCACTAAGCATTTACAACGTCGATAATAATCTCGTGAAACGATAATGGCTGCGTTCTGATATTCGCTGCCAGTGCTAAACATTTATAGTTTATGTGACAAAAATTATGTATTTTCAATATTGGCAGTGAATATTGGAACACGGCCAATGTTGAGTTTGTCCAAATTTTGATCAAGTTCTCCCTAGACGTCGTAATCTCTAAATTTTAGATTCGACACGCAATGAATGTGGCAAGACATCAACTTTCCCGTCAAAACCGCAACGTTGACTCAAAGATTGATTCGATGTCGATGAGAGTTGAATTAACGTTGATTCATCGACTATTTCAACGTCAAGTCAACGTCGAATCAACATTATAGTTCCGACTTGGTTTTTGCTGTGACATGACAAATGGATTCAACAAATGAAAATAACAGGTTATTCACGGTTTATTCGAGTAAACTTAGGTCCATTAGGTCGAACATGAATACCTGGTGATACCTGATATCTGCAGTCATATTAGGGTCTTACGGGTCCTCGTCCTTTTTGACCTGCTATTCAATGCTTATTGTGGGTTTTCAACATCTTGAATGTTTTCAAGTTTGCGACAAATCCAAGGGATAGCACGTTTGAATATGTGGCTTCATTCAACAAAAGAATGATTCATACTTCTTGGGCCCATAAAGGATTTAACAGTACGCTTTAGCCACAGTGACAATTACTAAGCAATCGAGCGGTTTGCTTTGCTAAACACAAACGATAGAAAGCAAGCAGTAATCCATACCTGTCGTACGCGTGAAAAAGAAATTTACTTCGCTTTTTCAGAATTGCCTTCAGGCTGTTTAATGGTTCAAAATATTCACGAACACTTTGAATGTTTGACATGGGGGACGGCTATTGCTATTATTTCTACTGTAATCGGATATTTTAAGCTTTGGAAGGGAAGACCTTTTCACGTAAAAAGGCTTCTTTTTGCGCGTTTTCACTTCTATGAATATAGGTTAACGATGTTTTCACTAACAATGCATTATACCGTTTATTGCGACAGTTTTGTGAATCCATTTGTGTCCGTTTATTCCTTTTGTAATGATTCATATACATTAATTTGGCTAATACGCGTATTAGCCAAATTAATAATTGCTGCGAGATTGAACTTGTATCATTTTCAAAATATGCGCTCACATATGTGTGATGCATAGTTTGTTCTTCTACTTGAAGCAGTGCTGCGCTAGAACTTTTCGTTCCTTTTCGCTTCAACGTTCTTTTGTGTACTTGTTGCACTTTGATGGTAAAAAGTGCACTCTAATTCAGTCAAAAAGTACAGATCCGATGAGTGACCAACGAAACGATTCCACGGCAAGAATAAGTTGCGCTAATGGAAAATACAAGATATAACATATTCTCTTTAGAATATTAACGCATCTTATACTACGTAATGTTAATGAATCTCCACATTTGCAGGGACGTTCGTGTACGCGTTAGTACTAGACCACTATGTCATTACGGAAATAAGATGAATCTGAAGATTTTATCGATGCAGTCAAGATTTGATGAATTTAGGAAACTATCCCTTTCTTCTTCCGTTATCAGGAGAATAAGGTAGTCAAATTACTTTCTATATTTAGTCACGAGAGACGATTAATGTCGACTCATAGCGCGTATTAGAATGAAATATATATTCATTAATATTATACAAATGATGATATATTCGTAATCCATATAGGAAATTTAATGAATCCTCGGGATGTTCATAGTCGTTGCTGTAACGGGATCGATGGGGCATTAAAGTGCTCTATTTCAACAAACGACGGAAACATCGGATTCGCTATTTTCGTTCATTGAATGGTAAAATTCATATCCGTTTAAACGGAGGAATGATACAAAACGATACAAAAGCATCGGCGGTTCATTGATTTACAAAGAAATGTTTCGTCTAACAGCATTCGAACGTAAAATATTTTTCATTGCAGAAGTGGAATAATACGAATGCTTACGAATGTGCGATCGTCTATCAAGAATCATCTCCCGCAGCATCCTTTCTTTGAAAACAGCGGCTTATGATATCTGAGTCCAAAATAGCGATCGATGAGTTGTCCTCCAATCCCGATTAATCGAGCCCGAAGTTGCACTCGCGAATTGGTCGCGAACGAATTGGTCACGATCGTCGCCAACGTATGAGCCAATGGACGAAGTTCGCATATCTCAGGCGCAAGTCTCCATTCGACGAGTATACCGGAAGTAGAGAGGTGGCGTTATAGTTTGTGGCGGCTGGTAAATCTGCCTTTTCATAGTCAATGCTCGTTTGTACCGTCCGATCCCGAGTGTCGGTCCGAGTTTTTCCACGGAAAACACTACTTCCCGCGATCGCATCGTCACCGTACGTGTAGTCAGCTTGCGCACCGTTGCCTAAATTAGTAGCAGTCCTGCACAGTACATCAGGTAAGAAATCAGCAAGTTCTTCCGCGGGTTCTACGACACGGCACGCGGTACGAGTCGGCTGCGCCGCCGCCGGAGAGAGAGCGGCGGTTTTCCGCTCTCACTCACGGGAGCCGTACTGGGTTCTGGCACGTGGTCCTTTTTCGCCTTTGCGTTCTGCACGGATCCCTCCGTGGCGACACACGCCGTTGTTCGGACATTGTGGCGAGCCACAACGGAAAATCGAGAAAGCACGCCGCCACGGCCACCGCGATGGGACGTACGACCCCGGCGGACGGGCGGCCGCAAGGGCGCGCGCGGTCGTGGCGTCCCGGCTGCAGCTGTATATCGTTGATCGCCATCGGGCGATCTCTCCTCCGTGCCCGGCACAAAAAAAAGCGCAGCGCGCGCGCGGCGTCAGTCTTGGATGCCATCTTCGCGCCGCGCAGCGTACGTACATTTCGTGCGTGTATGTACGTACGTGCGTCGTATATAGCCTATATACATACATTCGCGCACTCATACACAAAATCGGCGCAAAGTGGGGGCGAGCACGGAGAAAGAGAAAGAAAGAGCGAGGGAGAGGAAGAGAACGACCGTGTGAGCGAGCGAGCGGATCGAGCAGCCACGTTGGTGGTACGGCGCCGTGGAATCGGACGGAGTATCGTCGAACGAACGAACGCACGTACGCACGCACGCGTCACGGTAAAATCCGCCGGAAATTCGCATCACCATCGTCATCGTCAGTGGCGGTAATAGAATACGGCGCGACATCGCGTCGCGTCTCGTCCGGTCGTCTCTCACGTACGTCGTCGATGCCGTCGATGTTCTCTCTCTCTCTCTCTCTTTCTCTCTCTCCTCTCTCTTCTCTCTCGTGCACGCGCTCTCGCCCGCTGTCGACTCTCTTTTTCGCCGTCTTGGCGCGCACCGGACGCATCTGCAACGTAGAAACACGTGCACGCCTCGTTACCACGGCTATACGTGACAATGCTACCGTGCGTGATCACGAACAAAGTCGTGTCCTTTGCGACGGAAAAGAGAGGGAGACGGAGATGCCATTTTATTAATGCACCGCATTCGCGCCGCTTCGATCGCGCGGATCCGGCCGGCGCGGCGGAGCGCCACAGCCGCGACATGTCCGCACCTTCGCCACTTTGTTCCGACGGAAGTTTCCTGCGGCCGCGAGAGAGAGAGAGAGAGAGAGAGAGAAAGAGAGAGAGCACATTCTTGGATCTCTCGCCGATAAAATGCACGTTCACCTGCCTCTCTCCTCCCACCGACGTGCCGTGTCGCCCGCGTAGCCCGCGTTCAAGAGACATCTGTGTGCAGGACGCGCGTGCGTTGATACGTGAGCTCCGCCGCCGCCGTCGTTGTCGTCGTCGTCGTCTCGTCGGGTGCTTTGGCCTCAGACCACTCGCAAAATCAGCTCGCGACCTTTTGTTTTACAGCCGACGGTGGTTATATAATTATATTTTCGACGTTATCGATACATCGATTCCGATAGTGGCGTGCGTAGAAGTAGAGCCGAGAGGAGGACCCGTCGTAGCTGCTCGAGAGCTTGAGTGACAGATAAGCTGGTGTGAGCTCGCGCTCGGAACTTTGTTCCGTGTGAATGACACGAAAACTTACGGGTCTGCTTGAAAAGTCGGAGCATAATTGTCGAGTATGGGTTGTAGCATATGTTGCGATAAGTAGAGACAAAGACTGGCTCGTCAAGCTGAGTCTGATATAAGGGAGCGACATGACACTTGACGATATTTGAGCAAACACGTTATATTATTAGGAGAAAGATCTCACCATGGTTTATTGAAAGCAAATACTACTGTTGGCAGATAGTGTTGTCAGAGAGAAAGAGGGAGGGAGAAAGAGAGCTCTTGCTCAAGCTGTGTTCGAGAGTTCAATGGTTTCTAATAGAATAACATAATAATATATACATGTGTACAATTGCAGATTCGATTAAAATGAGTTCAAGTGCATGTTACAAATGTAACCGCATGGGCCACTTTGCACGGGAATGCCCACAAGGAGGTGGAGGTGGAGGTAGAGGAGACCGCGGCCGTGACAGGGATGGTTTCGGCCGTGGACGAGAGAAATGCTTCAAGTGCAACCAATTTGGACACTTTGCGCGCGAGTGCAAAGAGGATCAAGATCTTTGCTACCGCTGCAATGGTGTCGGACACATTGCGAAAGACTGTCAGCAGGTCAGTGTCCGTGTCTGCTTCTCATCTTCCTTTCCTTCTTGGTTTTTTCTTTTTTTCTTTTTTCTTTTTCTCCTTTCGGTACTTTCGTCCTCATTGTCAGGATCGAGAAGGAGTTCGCGCATGGCGCAGCAGCGATAATTTTCAGCCAAGTCGCACGACCAATATTCTTTCTCAATAGGGGCCGGAGTTGAGTTGTTACAATTGCAACAAGACTGGTCACATGGCGCGTAGCTGCCCGGAGGGCGGCAACGATTCCGGTCGCTTTGCCATGCAAAGCTGCTACAACTGCAACAAGACGGGTCATATCGCTCGCAACTGCACCGAGGCTGGTGGCAAGACTTGCTACATTTGCGGCAAGACCGGTCACATAAGCCGTGAGTGCGACCAGGACGACAGGAAGTAGGAGATAACTGAAATCCGTGCCGCTCGCTTAACGATAACGATAAGCTGTTTACCGTCACGCTCATTGCTACCGAGAATTACAACTAGGTAGGGATGTGCAGACCTATGTCTCGTTGACGCGTATAATGTGCGGATGACATGTGCCGTCGTCGTCGTCGTCGTCGTCGTCTTCTTTCAGCCGCTGTCGTCTCTCTTCAGCCACTATGAACGTCGACGTCGCCGTCGGCACTCATCCTCGTCGTCGTCGTAGTCGTTCGGATTTCCATCTCTCCATGCTCCAAACTCCCGGAGGCCATCCAAGCCCTCCTCCCCCTTATCCCCAATCTCCTTACCTTCTCTACCCACCGTTGTTCTCTTCGCAAGGGTTTTTCTTTTTTCTTAATGATGTCTTTAAGTTTTTATTGCTGTTACACTGACACACACACACACACAAACACATATATACACACATACACGCGTACTGTGCGCGTGTTACACACATTTGACATATGATTATTACTCCTCTTCTACTACATACGTGTGCGTGAACGCAGGGTAATACGTCCGACGTTTTTACCACGTTACACGTTCATGGTATACACAATGGTATACAGACACATACAATCACACGCATTATTATACATACACGTATGTAATAATATTATAAACATTCGATTGAATTAGAGTAGAGACATGAGTCCTCTGTCCCCTGACTTTCGAACTGTCTCGTACGCGCATTGTTTTCCGATGCAAGATGTATGGATACTCGGGAAGCTCACACGTGGTCTCGCGAGGTGTCGGCGCATATTTGCGCGGTGTAAGCCGCGTCACTTCCTTCGTACACGCGCTCCCTCGGCGACTCTCGCATTTGTACAATGAACAAGTTTTAAATTTTGAATAACTGAGTAGATTGACAACATGACAAAAGGATACCAAAAAAAAATGGGATAGGCTGCTGCTAGTTAGCGCCCGTTGAGAGAGGGACGTCTCGCTATTGACACTGGCACAGTGTGACTCACGTCGCATCACTTTTCGCATCCACGCATCTTGTATTCTCCGGTCCTCCCTCTCGAACTCTCTAGCCGACACTCACAAAGAAAAAAAGAAGTAATTCGAAAGCGAAAGCGGGAATGGAAAGAGAAAGCGAGAACACATGCCGGCCCTGAATGCATAAAAATAAGATTTAGTAACGCTAATTTTTAATGTGTAAGGATGTAATGAGGATCTTGCCGAGCTGTTACTACGTCATTTTTCTTTCAGTTTCTTATATTTCCATTTACTTTTATCATTTTACTTACACCAGACTCGTTCAATTCCGTCGTACGCGGACGGACGAACGGACGTACGGACAAGAAAGCGAAACATAGTTGTAGGATTGTCAGTGTTTACGGGTTTATATACAGTTGTACTGGGTCGTGTCCCCTGACTTCGACGAAGTAGGGCGAGGAAGAGAAAGAGAGAAATAGATACACGCGCTTTCTCTAAACACTAAACGGAAAGGAAGCATCGAGATTTATAACCAGTATAAGTACGTTTGAAAAGAACGATTATTACATCGATATGTATGTATATATACATATAAACACCGTGGTCTGTACAAGAGTTGGCACATTTTGTACGTACAATCATATAATTGTTAATAACGCGACTATAGTTCATATAGTTCATACCGTCGCCCGACTGTTGACGGACTTGAGATGAGAGGAGCCCACACTGGATTGTACCAACCTTACTATATCCTTACATGTTGCTGAAAATACTTCGTTACTAGGTATATGTATATATATATGCGCATATGTGTATACATATATTTATGCATATGTGCTGGAGCTGTATTTTGTACTGTAAAAAGCTAGCTATACTCTGGTCGTTGCTGGTGGCTAATTCCGATGTTATTCTATATTGTACACGCGAGATTATATTTTTCATTCATGTGTAGATACTACATGCTGGTGAGTCAGACTTTTTTATTTTTTTTTTTTTTTTTTAATATTACTATTTCTTGCTCGTGTAACTTATATGTTGTAAGAGCAAAATTTGTAGATACGGCAAAAGAGACAATGAACGAAGGAAGAAAAATACTGACAAAAAAATTGATGATTGATGGAGAAATGACATGGCAAACTACAAATTTGTCTATTCCCTGCCAAGGCAGGGACGACCATTTATGTTTGACGCGAGTACAAAGCGAAATTTTTCCTAAAAGAGAACATCAAGAGGTGTAAGAGAAACGCGAGCGCGTGTATAGCCACGCGATGAAATCACGTTGGCCAGGCCGCGACTCAAGTTCGATCGCAGCGTGCAGTGTTCATAAAAATTAAAAGAAAAAAAAGATTCAACGCGAGCAACGTAATTAGGGTAAGAGAAGCGTTTTTAGAATTCTGACTACTTTCAAAATATACCGGACCATACTCACGCTAACACAACGCGACACATTACAGTATCCTCGACATCTTCGCAAATAAACGGCGAGTCTTTGTTTAGTCCGAAAGATGAACACGTGGACGGATTGTGCGTGCGCGTGCGAATCACCTCGATGATTCTGAAGAAGATTATGAGGAAGAAGTATAAGAACTCGCGAAGAATCCTCGCACGATTCGTCCGCGTGCGAGCTCAAAGGTGGTTTTACCAGCAGCGACAATTGTGTATTTAACGTTCAGAAGCCAGGCGTGCCTGACTATCTCGGTGGAAGGAAGACCCGGGTCGACGCGGCCCGTGGTGTAATTTCGCGGTAACCCAGGTGTCCTGCAAAAGTAACAATTTTATACACTTAATTACACACTCTGTTCGAGACTTAATGCCGGATCTCATTGCGTAGTTTCGGTGTGCTAGTACTCACGACGAGACTTGGAGAGGATCAAATAAATTGTACTTCGCGCTATATCGGACTGCGACGTTTCTCTGGTGCTACCAGTGCGTGGACTTGTGTGTCTTTGTGCATCAAATTCAGCAGAAATCGAGTGTCTGCAAGACATACATGAAAGATTAGGACGTCTTTCGGACCAGCATGTACCACGTTCAATCATCTAGATATTTTTTATCGCGAATAGAAATTAATCTAAGTCTTCGTGTAATTAAAATTCGCTGCTTTTCGCTGGAATCGAAGAAAGTTAGAGAAAAATAAGTTTGTATCATAATTTTGTAATCCCGTACGATAGGCGTCCTAATTTCTTCTCGGACTTCTCTTCTCGAGATCTTCGATCTTTCCGGAGGATACATTTCATATTGAGGATATGCTGTAAAGTACTTGACCCTTTATTTCTAAGTCTTAGCATTAGGAGAGACAATTTGTAGATTAAATTGAGATTGAAGATACATTTTTCGAATGCTACCTTCTCAGACGTTTTTTCGTGTTGTCTGGCTGGGAACGTTTGTTAGTGAAAACGTTTGTCGAAGGGTGTGAACGTCGTGTCATTTCTGTGTAAATGCATGATGTATATTTACTGAACGATATATAATAAGCCTGATTATATCACAGGCGCATGATCGTTTGCCTTTCGCGATCACAGTCCGGTTACACCGGCAGCACCAGAGATTCAAAAAAAAAAACGAGCATAAATAATTATATGAAAAATATGAAAAAGGAGTGCGATTAGGGCACCTGCGCTTTTGTCTCTGCTACAAGACTTACGTACGAATATTGTAAAGAATACGACTGTTACACAGTGTATGAATTTAATTCGACCGGCGGCGCACGCCGGGTCCACGACTCGACTTATATATTAAACTAATCTATTAATACTTAAAAAAACAAACGAGAGAGAGTGAGAGAGAGCGAGAAAGAAAGAAGGAAGAAGACAAGGAGGATGAAGAGGAAGAAGTGAAAAGGAAAAAAAAACAAATGAGCTACAAACTAATAAAAGGATTGTGAAGTATTCGAAGTTATGTTTTTAAACTGAATTTTTGAAATAGAATGTGTATGGAGAGGCAAACGAGTTTTCTTTTCGTTCCCTTGATGGATACTGCGATGCGGATGTCCTCGTCGTTCAAGTTGTGACCGCACGCGTCTTTGATGAGTCAACAGAGAAGCGGCACGTGAATTATAATTCTTATACAGAAATTTAGTACGAATATTAAGAAACGAGAGAATGGTAATTTAATTATAATTATAATAGTTATATATAATTATTTTTACACATGTACTTTCCACCTATACCATACATTTGTAATTAAAATATTTCGTTGGATTTAGTTTTTCATGCTGACAACGTAACACGAAAGTGATCTCTATTCGTGCTAATAAAGCGACAAAATTCACGCACGATGTATTTGTTTTATGCTTGCAACGTCGAAAATTGAACTATATTTACGAAATTTACATCGGTCCGGCTGATTCCATTAAACGGAATTAATACGTAATGACTCGACGAAAAATCCGAAAGTTGGTCGCTGTGATGAGTTCGCAACTAATGATTCACACAATCACATCGGTGATATACGATGTATATATGGGCTCGTGTGTGCATGTATAGATCGCCGGCTAGAAATGAATTACGTAATGTCGTCGCCAATGCACGCATGCTCCAATGTCGCATCTACGCAATTCGGTGTGTCATCGTAAATGCGTAGTGGACCTGCTGAATATTAGCAAATGTCCACGTATCGTCTCCAGTCTGTACCTTTTGACCTCGCGCTCACTCAAATTTGTGTACACCGCTTACACAGCGAATGTAATTCCGAGTATGCTCCCAACGCGCAATCTATAGTTTTGTAAATCACATTGTAATTTTATATCGTTTTCCATAGTTCGCGTCAAAAGAATTATAAATAACCGCATGACACAACGGCGCACGAGTGTCGATATCCGCGTGTCTCGACGGACCGACTTTCCGTGGGTACGATATAAATATCGTTGGATATACATGGCATACGATACTCCGCTATATTCGCGCGTTGCTATAAACGGTATCATATTGCATAATTTTTTAACTAGGAATCGAAGAACTCGCGCCATATACGGTACAGAGTTTCAACCCTTCACCTCCTTTGACATTTAAACACCTGCGAAATAAGTAATGTTCTCCACTGAGATAAATCTCACTGAAAAAAAACTACAACGAGAGGCGCATTTATGCGTGCTCGAAAGTCAAGAGGTTGAATGATAACTTTGCATTGCTTCGTACATAAAAACGTTTCTTCGCTATTAATAATTCACAAGCTGACTTCATGGAGGACATTCACGAGTACCTCCTAAAAGAGAAAGAGTTTCTTATTTGAAACAAATACCGGTAATTAATGCTCTCACGAAGGTTAACGCTTCAATCGTCGCATTAATTCGTCGAACGAAGCAAGTCTATGCGACTTGACGTATGAATTGGAGGAAGAGAAACTATCTCGTTTTATTAACTTTTTCTAAATATATATAATAATTGCAAAATTTATTCTCACGAGCACGGGTACCCTGACCTAGCAATGCCGGCACTGAAGCGCGTCTGGACGAGCGGAATACCGAAACGGGTTAAAAGGCCGCGCCGACGACGGACCGCGGACGTGAACGCGGAACATGCATCCGGTTGTTCGCACGATCTCGTCCGCGTCCCCGCCGTCCACCGCGCGCTCCATCGTGGCCGCCGAGTCGTCGTCGTCGCGCGTCTGTCAAAATCGGCGAGTGGCTCGCGGCGGTGGATCGCACGCGGGGAGAATGTGAGAAGGAGCAGGTGGAGGTAGAGCCGAGGAGAGAAGAGATAAGCGGACGCGAGAGCTCGTGCTGCGGCTGTCCTATCGCGGGGAACTGATCGACGCGCCTGATCGACGATTACCGGAGGATGCGTCCGCGCTCGAGAGGCGCAACCACGGCGACCGGCGTCTGTACATTCTACTCGTGATAACGACGAGTTGCTGGAGCTGGTGCAACAGACGGACGAGGAGGAGGAGGAGGAGGAGGAGGAGGAGGAGAAGGAAGAGGAGCACCACAAGAGGTAACAACGTTTAGAGAAAGAGGGACATCGTCGTCCTCGTCGTTGTCGTTGCCGTCATCCCCGTTGTACACTCGACACAAGCAGCAATGGCCGCCGCCGTCAACGGGGTCGGGCTCGAGGAGCTGAGGACCGAAATCGAGCGGTTGTCGCGCGAGCTCGATTTAGCTTCTACCGAGAAGATACAGTCGGCGCAGTATGGGCTCGCGTTGCTCGAGGAGAAGTCGGCTCTGCAGCAACGATGCAACGACCTCGAGGCCCTCTACGAAAACACGAAGCACGAGCTGGAGATCACGCAGGAGGTTAGTGCGATGAGATTTTTCGGATCGGAGCGCAGCTGTGTCTATTCGGACACGCGTGTTTGCCTCGACACGCCCGCCTACGCGGCGTGAACGAAGGAGAGAAAATTTATTCTGTCCTTGCGACAGTTCTCTTGGGAGCGTTAATTAATGCTTCATAGAGCTGCATATAAGGCATAGGCGAATTCGGAGCAGAGGGGTAGTGGAGCAAAGTATGAAGTAGAAAGTTAGAAGAAAGTACTCGCTTGTTCATTCAGATTAGAATTTAATTTAGGATTTTGCCGAAATGGGTGCAAAATCGACTGCATAACTTGCCCCCAACAAATGTATCAAATGAACATGAATTAAGAGAGTGTAAGCAGTAGAGTGACTTATTTGTTGCATCTGTTTCAGCTATTCAATTCATTCGCTTGTAGTTGTACGATTGTATTTAGTTGTTTCACTAAGAAACTCACAATGAAAATTTAGTGAAAGTGCATTTGTAATTGGATCTATCTGGAAAGCAAAATTCAAAAGAAGAATTTTTATGCTAAGCTAAACAAGCTCTAGTCTAATCTCTAATCTATTATTTGTTGCACAATTATACGAGCATACATTAAAATACATCTTGTCATTATTTTAGGCCCTTGCGAAATTCCAAACGACTACAAAACTGACCACAAAGAGCGGCATTGAGCAAGAAGAGAGTCTTCTCAATGAGAGTGCCGCTCGTGAAACATCTCTACAAACACAGATCATAGAGCTGGAGAATGAAACAAAACAGGTGTGCACCAACAGTTGGCTGCAATTGTCGATTTGCAGATCCTTTTCTGCAGATCCTCTTCTACAGGTCCTCTTTCTGACGTGATAAATTTCTTTTAGTTACGTCATGAATTGGAACGCGTGGAGGCGGAACGCGATCACGCGCTGCAAGAGCGTGAAGAGGTCGGCAAGGACCACCAGCAGGCAGAGACGGAGCGCAAGTCACTGCGGACGGAATTACGGGAGTGCAGATTCCGCGAGACTCGCCTACTCCAAGACTACTCCGAGCTGGAGGATGAAAACATCTCATTGCAGAAACAGGTGTCCGGCTTGCGGTCCAGTCAAGTAGAATTCGAAGGTGCCAAACATGAGATCCGCAGATTGACGGAAGACGTTGAGTTGCTTAACAGCCAGGTAGAAGAGCTGACGAACCTGAAGAAGATAGCGGAGAAGCAAATGGAGGAGGCTCTGGAATCTCTGCAGGCCGAGCGTGAAGCCAAATACGCCTTGAAGAAGGAGTTGGACCAGCGAATTAACAGCGAATCGATTTACAATCTCAGCAATCTCGCGCTCTCCATCCGAGGCATCACGGAAGATCAGACGATATGCAGCGACGGCGAGGACGATTCGCCCGCTTTGCGTAGAATCGAAGCGGACTTGAAAACACAAGAACCGGGCACGTCCGCGACCGACAAGCAGGTCGATCTGTTCTCTGAAATTCATCTGAACGAGCTGAAGAAACTGGAGAAGCAGCTGGAGCTCGCGGAGACCGAGAAGGCTCATCTGATGCAGAACCTACGCGAGTCGCAGTACGCGGTTGAGAAGAGTCAGGGCGAGTTGCAAACGTTCGTTGCGCGGATAGTGCAGCTAGCAGCGCATGTGCAATCGTTACATCATCTTCATTCCAAGTTGCCGGAGAAGCAGAGCGAAGAAACGACGCTGGATAAACTCAATCAGGTATATTCATGTGTATATTGCTCAAACGGTTTCTGAGATTGAGATATGAGAAGCATAGAGTTGTATTTTCTACAACTTGTATAAAATATTGCTCTAATGACGTTTGATTGTTTTTACAGGCCATTGTGCAATATCATCAGTGGAGCACCATGTCCGCTCGCGAAATTGCCCAATTGCAGAAGGACTTGGCGGAATTGGAAAACGGCTTGGCCGTGTCCGACTCGACGCAGCAATTGAGAACGGAGCTGACGAATCTTAGAAACAAGGTACGAATTTCACCGTATTTCACCACGCGATTTCTCGGAGATATACTAAAGCAACAATCGTCTGCGGCGGAAGAGCAAAGGCGTAAGTTAAAGCAGTCTGTTGTAAGATGTAGAGAGAAATGAAAGAAAGAGAAAGAAAGATCAAGAAAGTTCGGTAATGGCAAGAATATAAATGTGTGTATGCGATGCCGGCGCAGAATATCATGCAACATTCGGTTACCTTGAATAGAAATTGTGGCGTTTCAGATACCCGAGTCAGAGAAGAGCCTTCGAGAAAAGGTTGGAACGTGTGGTCCCCTTGACGTATTTACCAAATTATACAATAACAATTTGTCTTGTTGGCTCCTCTAATGATCCGTACAGATTCTCGCTTTTTCAGTGTCCTAACAACCCATACATATCGCTTCCTCTGATACTTCTTCATACATTTTTAACCGTACTTGTTTCCGAAGCTACTGACGAATTCACCATCGCTCCATTGAATGTGGATTCACGTGTGAGAATATCTCTCGGAGAGAGAGACAGCTTCCCGGACTCGTGCCTTTTTATTCTCACACGCGGATCGCCTTCTCGCATTAGCATCTGAACGAATGAACACGTCGTCATTATCAGTCGCTCGAAAGGAACGACGTACGGATCGTATAATATGCTATGCACCGTGGCTTTTTCTTTCAGAAATAGAATGCGCTTAGGAACAAGAAGTCTCTCAGAGAATTGATATCGCTCTCCTCTTGTTGTAAATTTCATGCGCATCTAACGTAGCATGTGTCGATCGGACTCGCTGAGCCTGTTTTGCACGATGCTCAGATAAGAGAAATCGTACACGACGTATGCCACATTCTCGCGGCGTCTATTCTAGTAGTACTCGCAAAACTGCGTACTTGATCCTAAAAAAATACTACTACTACTACTACTACTACTACTACCATCACCACCACCACCACGACCACCACCACCACCACCCGAGTTTTGCAAACTCGTCTCACGAACAAACTTCCGACAAACACGCAGTATCAAGCAAAGCGTACCTAGTGCATTTATTGCGATTGGTATCGCGCTCTCGGTCGCGCGACTAACGTTTCGCACCTTCGTTTCAGCTCTTGGACACGGAGCAGAGAAGCATGCAACTCGAATCGGATGTGTCCACTCTGTCGAAGCTTACCGCCGAGGCAGGCGGCTTTCTCGATTCCGCTCAGAACGATCTACAAAATCTTTCGGAGGAACTCGCGCAACTTTATCATCACGTGTGCACAGTCAACGGCGAGACTCCTTCGAGAGTGGTATTGGATCACGAGAAGATCGTACCCGAGAAGGAAGAGGAGAACAGCAAGATGGACTGGTGCCGAACCTTGTTTAAAACTGACATCAAGATCAAGGATCTGGAAAGCCTTAGCAAAGCGAAGGAGATTGCGAAACACATAGAGACGGCGATGGACCAAATAAAGCATCTCAGGAGCTCCGTGGAGCATACGATCGAGTTATCAAAAGTCAAAGGAATGCAGTCTAATGTCTGCAACGTTTGTGAGGGTGAGTATGCGCAATTTGTGTATATTTTGTTAAAGATTTTCTTTGTCCGGTTTTCTAGACGCAGACAGATGTTATTTTGTGATACCGTGATGTAGGTGATAGTTTATTCTCACGTCGACAATTTAATTTACGATAAACTCCTTTTGCTCTCGCAGCTTCCGTCAACGAAAACAAAGCAGAGGTAACAGACCTTCAAGAGCAAGTCATCAGATTAAAGGCCTTGTTGTCTGCTAAACGGGAACAGATTGCCACGTTGAGAACGGTACTCAAATCAAACAAGAACACAGCGGAGGTAGCGTTGACGAACCTGAAGAGCAAGTATGAGAACGAGAAGAGCATCGTGAACGAGACGATGCTGAAATTGAGAAATGAGCTTAGGATGCTGAAGGAAAATGCCGCGACGTTCTCAAGTGAGTATTTCATTTTCTCTGTATCTCTCTATTGTTCTGCCTTTGCCACAATCGGGATTCCTTGATATTTCGCAAAAAGCTACCTGTGAAAGAGAACAGACAGATTATATTGAGCTAGCCGTCAATCAATGAATCTTCATTGATTCATCTCCTTCTTGCAAAACGATTTTATAAAACTCACTCGTTTGTCAGTGAAATTCAATAATTTAACTCTGTTTTTTCCGTTTTGTTCTCCTAACACATGCCCACTAACATAATTAAAAATACTCTCGCCACCAGTTATTATGAGTGCTCTGCTGTTAATTCTCTGGGGTACCACGGTCGATTTTTCAAACGCCCTGGTTTTGTGCCATAATTATTGCATTGCATAAGAACGATCCGCGATATCTCATATTCTTATATATAAGTGTGACTAGTCGGGCATTATCGCCTTTCGGAACATGATGCATCAATATACCTGGTCCCGACCGTGTGCTTGGTGCGCGTTCCTTCTGCCATAACTTTACGCTGCACAGGTGCATCAAACATAAGACAGTGTCTAACAATTAATCACGACGCCTTTCCCGTTCCCGATCCTCTCTCCATGGGGAAGTACGATACGCTACTTGGTCATGCGCGTTGTCTGACTCTGTCGCTCGCTTATCTCTACATCGTGTTAAACCCTGCTAACCATACACTCTCCAGGTCTGCGTGCAATGTTCGCTGCACGCTGCGAAGAGTACGTGACGCAAGTCGATGAGCTTCAACGGCAGCTTGCCGTGGCGGAGGACGACCGGAAGACGCTGAACCAGCTGCTACGTTTGGCAGTGCAGCAGAAGCTCGGTCTTACCATGAAGCTGGAGGAACTGGAGGTTGACCGGGAGCTGCGCAATACCAGACGGCACGCCGCCGGGGCGAACGGTCGCGGTAGACCGCGACTGTCGCAACAGACGAACCGTCCCCACTTAGGCAGAGACTTCTTCTAGAAAATGATGAAGATGTGGAGCAAGATATTCTGAGAGAAGCAAGGATTTTGAAAACCTTTTCGAATTTTTCTACTGCTCGTTGCCGCGGCCGCGATTGTCGTGGGCTTTATTAGAAGACTCTAGTGAGTATCATTGACTTCTCTTTCGTTAGAAATGAGACGTGACGTCCGCGGTCTCGTAGATACGTGCGCTGTAATACCGAGAACGATAGCGTTCTCGCGAGACGTATTTTTGCAAAAGAGGCGGACGGGCGGACATGTTGAATGTTTAAGAAACATGAAAAAGAGACAGAGAGAGAGAGAGAGAGAGAGAAAGAGAAAGAAAGAAAAGAAAAGAAAATTATGACGCCGTCCTCACTATAATCAGGAGAGAATCGCGTTTGGTAAATCCAGGAAATTAAGGGAGGATAAGAAAGGATGTTTTGAAGGTTTGCGAAATGTTCGGTTTCATGCCCCGCGAATTTTGCTCCATATCATAGAGTCTCTTTCGGGGAGAGCTCTGCCTTGTGTTACCACTATTGTTAGTAGAGAAGTCTAAGAGGAGTATAGGATAAAAAAGAAAAAACCTTCGTTGAGGCGACCTTGCTGTCTACAGCATAAGTTCGCTACTCACGGTTTTTAACGAGTTGTACTACGTTCTCTGCGTATGAGACGCGCGTCAGCCGTGTTCTTCGCAATGCCGTTGAGTGCGAATCAACGTGCGATTGTTCGATCCGTTCTCGGTTTCCTTTTTATTCTACTGTACAGAGGCAACATACCCTCTGCGTTCGGATGTCGTGGACTTCGGGAAGCTCGTCCGAGCTTCTCCAGCTGTCGCCTTTAGCATGCTTAATTTATTAACGCTTCATGTATTCCCGAACGATTTCTCGTTGCCACGGCGACCGCCAGGATGTTCCGTTGATATATTCTGCGCCGCGTAGTAACCGTTCGTGGACCGGCGAGACGCTTTCACATACGTTAGAAGAAGAAGAGAGAAAGGAGAAGAAGGGAGACGCATGACGAAAAGAAAAACGTATACCGTTTGTAGGTAGATAGATAGGACGACGGTGAATTTTACATTGCATACCATAGAGACAATATCGATATCGCGCGCGCACACGCGACCGGTAGCGTTTATAATCAAAGTAGCAGAACAAAATGTCGTAGGCAAGTAGACTCAAAAAGAGTTTTATTAACCGGTAGCCGAATAACAGAACGTAGGGACCCATCTTCCAAGTAGAACCTCTCAGGTCAACCTCTTAATGAATGCCGACGCAAAACTACACTCGGACGCATCGAACGGTCCACCACTTATTTCACACTCGTTTATTTTTCCCGACGATCTTCATCGGGCATTTTGCAGAAACGGTTGTTTTGCGGTCAGTCCTCACGCGTTGTCGCTCACTCGCTTATCTTTTATCGTCGGGGATCTGTATACGTTTCTGCAATCTTGCTGTTTGACTGTTTTATTCGTGCCACTGAGGAGGAAGATCCGAATCGAGCTGAAGCGTTCGGATGCCATCCGCACAGGCACTCACGTTTGAAAAATATCACTAATACTTGTATTGACATATGCGAGATCAAGGCTCTCATGGGCTCCTGATTATGCTGATTATACTTTAATTTTGTATCTAGGAGCCTTTGCCATCCTTTCTTCGGATACCTCGTTCTTTCCTCCACGATCTAATCTGTGTAACGCGGCCTAAGTGGTCCACATCATTTCTATTGATGTGTAGTGGCAGCTAGTTAAATCTGCATGTCTTGTTTATTAGACTTGATTATTACAATGATAATTGCATGTATTAGAGATGCAGCTATTCTTGGTGCAGCTTTTATCATTTGTTACAATTATTTATCTAGATGTGTATGTGTTTTTATCGGCAATACGCCTCGCGAGGCATTTCGACTTTGCAATATTCATTGAAGCATAATGACCGCGCCGACCTTGCCTTCAACAGGTCGCGAGAAAAGATTTCTTAGTTTGAAAAGAGCGCACAAGAGGAGTTTCGATTATTTGCAGCTTTATCGGTTATCATTGTCTTGTACTTTTGTGGAAGTGTAAACGTGATATATATGCTCACGATGTATTACGCAGGTTGCTCTTTTACCTTGGTATTTTCTGTAGATATACACACGTATTTCTCTTTAATATTATATTCATATGTATAATTTATATAACTCGCCTTTTTGCAGAAAATAGTCATTCCAATCGAGATAATCACAGTGTAATCGATGCTTGATTTTTAATGATCATATCACCTTTATATATACGCCGATATTTTACGAATCATGTATTATTTATTGTTATTACCATTATTGGCGTTATCATTATTGTCGAAGTACGTTGAAGTATTTAAAATGCAATGAACGTAAAAGAGCGTCCTGCAAATGAATTTATACATTTATACAATTTAATCACGTCATAGATTGTCTTCAATCAAATTTGTTATTATGGCTGTATTATTATTATCCTTTTATTTTTATTACTATTATTATTATTATTATTATATTACTATTTTTATTATTATTATTAATATTGCCTGTCGACTTCGTCGCTCGTATTAAGACGAATATCTAAAGAGAATTTATCGATCGTTCATCAATCAATGTATAAATTGATTGATCAGTTGTCGCTATTATTATATCTACATCGTGTAATTATAGCATCGTCTGTGTCTAAAACGCGTGCCGCGAATAGGAATCCTCTGTTCCCCATTTTATACGACCCAACCGTGGGATTACGTTCTATTCGCATTTAGAATAAAGCGATGTGTTCTCTAATCCTCCGCTTAAGTTTACGTTTAATTTCCTGTATCGGATTTCGCAATTACGTCACATTGATGCAATCGCGTCTTCGAATAGTAGATTATAATTCATTTGATATAATCTTAAGTATGAACTACATCGAGACGCAAGAAAAATCAGCAGGGAATTCCGCAAGATTCGCACGCACTTTAATGTTAGACACAGGTCGAGCTAATTTGTGTCCACAAACCGAGCCAGTCTCAGACCACCGTCCCTTCCCTTCTCACCACGCACCAGCGTCGGGAATGAGCCGGGCAATGAAAGATTCTTCCGTTAACTCAAGGAACTATCCTCATGTATTTTTCACGAGAAACTTCGTCCTCGACTCTTACCTAGCCGTCCGCGCCGCTCGACGCGACTGGAAAGACGCCGATAGATTAGAGATCAATCGGGGAAGGAATCGTCATTGCGTAATTAACGACGGCGACGACAGAGTGGATAATTGTAATTCAGAGACTGCGCGCGATTGTCGACATTCGATGATAATGTATGCGTGTGTGTGAGACTATGTAAAATCGTATGGCGTCTCGATAGATTTTTAAAAACTGTGAGATCGTTTCGTCACGATTGGACGATTTCTACGCTCGTTGAGATTTGTTAATATGTTTCTCTTGTTAAACGACTTGGCGAAGGATCGCGACGACGGCGCACAGTCTCGGAAACTCGTCGCCGTCACAGGTCGGCGAATCGCGCGCGCATACATGTATAGTCCAGTCGCGGAGGCGCACAGCTCTTCGACAACTTCTGCCAAAGATATTCTGTCCTTTCGAAGGACCGACATGACCGGTTCCTTCTATACATTTAGCGTCCTTCACAAAGTTCCTTCGCGCTCGTAAGAGGTTGCGTATCGGCGCCGTGAATTTCTATTTACGCCATCTCGCCGACTATCGTCCTGAATGCTCCTCCGGAAGAGGATTCTTCCTTCCTCTCCCGCGCCTTGAAATCCTCACCTCTTGCATGTCGTCAAGATCGCTCGATGATTTCGCGTTTTTTATACCGATTGTTTCAATCAGCCCGGCTGGCGTCTGAGCCATTCGCCAAATCTCCTGACATGAATTGTATTTTTTGAGGAGGAGACCGTCTCAGAGAGGATTGGGAGAGCGTTCAGTCCTTGTGTACCGAATCACTTATCGAGCATGCGTTTAAGAAGCTAGAGTGTGTTTGTAAGCTGGAGAGAAAGGAGAGCGACTTCGAGACCGTATTGAGAAAACGATCTCGAGAGGAAAACGGCGGGTGTTGCGCACTTTGTGAACAATAATATTCGGGATCTGCCCGTCGCATGAATTGCTAAACAAGGGTCAGAATGGCGGGCAGATTTGCTCAAGGCTTCCACAAAAAACTCTCATTGCGTCCCGCCCGGTAATGTTCCCGACGTTGGTGCGCTTAGATCACAATACGTGAGACTAGGAGTTAAAAAGAAAAAAGAGATAAGGTGAGACTCGAGTGACGAGTCGATTAGTTGTAAACGGCGTAGGCTAAGAGATACGTTTGACTGCGTAATATGCGTGCTGGGAAATTAATTGGTCCAGGAGGAGGAGGAGGAAGAGGAGCGAGGAAACTCGATGTAATTTGCAATGTGAGACGTTCCGAAGATGACGTTGCGTGTACTGCGCTTCGACCGGGTCCATGTCGCACCTTGTACGCGAGATATTTTTACACTTTGTCGTTTACACTCAGTCATCACAAATCATGTTAAGAAATAACGTTCTTATTTCTTTTCGTATCAGCGGTGATAATCGGGACGACGAACGGACTATGTCGTTACTTTGCGAATTTGCGCACGTACAACGACGAACGACTTGGAACAAGCAGTTGCTAATTGGTAATTGGTAATATATTGTTGGTCGCTGAAAATTATTTGCTCAATCAAATATACAGCACGAGAGAGCTGTTAGATGTTAGCAATTTGAACGGATTCGCAAGATGATGTGACCTCGCAGTCGTCGTTTCGATTATAGGAAATCCGTTAAATAAAATCACTTCGTTGGGAGCAATATCGATTCTTCAGCGTACGTAACGCTTTATATTAGGTATTATTAATTGCGTATTATTCAGTACTCTTGATGCAGAACACATATAGGTCAATTATAACTCGACACTCCGTTGGAAACGTTGGAATCACTTTCCTCATCTGTTTTCCTGGATTAGATGTAATCTTACGCAGTTGTATTATATTTACTATAGACTTATACGATCATTTTATAATATAAACACACACACATACACACACACACATATATATATATATAGCGTTTGACATTCGATGTTGAGTAATAATATTATCAACCAGCATAGCGAGATATATTTGATGAATTACTGACGACACATCTTTTAAGTTTAGTAACTCTCATACGTTATGTCTCCAACTTAAAAAAAAAAGAAAAAAACAAACAGAAGCCTTTATCACACAAAGCGAGATCTAACGACTTGGCTTTGCCTCGTGCTCGAGCATGGACCCAGAAAATTGTACATATTGTAAATGCACTTCTAGCGTTACGGCATTATACATACATTATGTAAAACGTACCAATTACATCGCGGAGATTAGCGAACGGTTTATAACTATATATATATATATATGTATATATATATGTGTGTATATATATATATATATATATATATATATAGATATACATAGATATATTATACGAACGTCAACGAGCGTATTATATTTTCTCTGTAACCGCATAGATCATTAATCGTTAGTGTAGAAGAGAAAGAAAAAACCCGGAAACCAGCCGCCGTTCATAGCAACCTTGTGAGATTTTTCTGCGTTTATTGAAAATTAATTAATCGGAGCAGAGGCGCGCAGCCAGTCGTATTAAATTAGGTCGGACGTAGCAGTTAACTAGATAGTCGGTCAGTGATACATTATTTGCAAAGAAATATTTAAAAAAAGAATGAAAAAGGATAAAAAAATGAGAGGAAGAGAAAATAAGGTGCGTATTCAAACCACACTCGTGGTACCTGGCGTTGACGTTATTAAACGATGATACACTATACGTAGTAGAGATTCTTTTTGTAACATAAAGCGAAATATAATCATTTGTAACAGGATAGCGATCACGAATCAATTTTTTCTATGTTTGTTAACTATTAATTAGGTCTTTAAATAAGTTTTGCGGATTTTTCGCTTAAAAAACATTTATTAAAATGAAATAGCTACTAACATTTTTTAATCAAAATAATTGCTGCTAGCTTTTATGATTTTTTTTAGAATGATGACTCCTTGGAGCAAAAGAATCGGGTTCGCATCTTTGCTAAACTAAATGTTCTATATTATCGGTCGTGTCAACACTGGCCAACCGTTCCGTGGTATTCAAAACAAGTTACTCAATAATAAGATTTTTATTCTTTGATAAAGTGATACGTGAAGATATTTTATGAAATGCTTTATAGATTATTTTTTGTGAAATATGCTTCTGTACTTATTACTGATTATTAATGTTTTTGCAGTATTAAGTAGACATTATTGGTGCACACATAACCTCTGATTCTAGTTATCGTAATTTGACTATTTTACTTTGATTTATATAACTGATGCAATGATCATTATAATTGCAAAACTTAATAAACAAATTGCTAATTGACATTATCAGTTAATACTGATTGATCTCTAAGATATACTAAACTTTCATGTTATTCTTTCAACTTTATCAATTGTGTAATATCAATTTACATCATGACAATTGTTGATTATATACAAACTCTATCCGATAATCCATATTTTGGCGCTGGCTTTGGCCTCTTTGGCCTTGGTGCCACTGCTGCTTTATTGAGAAAAAGTGCACAATTTGGGGCTGTATTATTCAGGTATCTTTTGATATAAAAATGTACCATAGCAATTTGCCATAGTCCATTTGCATAGCAAGATATTAATGTTATCTTTTTATTCCTAGACGGCATTATATGATCACTTTGGAAGTACCATGCCGTGACAAAAGTTATCAATGGCTTCTACAATGGATCACACACAAAGGTGCTCGTAAGACTCAACATCTCTCTGTGGAGACTAGCTTTGAACAGAAAGAAACTGGTCATGTGAAAACAAAATATGATTTTATTCCCAGTATAGGAACTCATTTCTTCAGGTCAGACTGTTGCCAGGTTTCTTTTTCAAATGTCATTCTTTTTATATATTAGAATTTTCTGTGATCTTTTTTCTTTATTGATATGTATATATATATATATATATATATATATATTGATCTCAAGTGTATTTGGTATTGATTAAAATTTTTCTCAACAAGCTTATTCTAACATCTTTCCTTATTTTTGCAGGTATAAGGGGAATTGGATAAAAGTTGAAAGAACAAGAGAACAACAGACTTTAGACTTACATATGGGTATACCATGGGAGACTGTGCAGTTAACAGCCTTTGGCAAGGACAGAAGCATATATTTCAACATCCTTGAAGAAGGTTGAGTTTATATTACAAATATTTATGAAATTTATTTATTATCAAGAAATTAAAGAAAATTCTTCATTTTTGTAGCCAGACAAATGGCATTGAAAGAGCATGAGGGAAAAACTATAATGTATACTGCTATGGGAAGCGAATGGCGACAGTTTGGTCATCCTAAGAAAAAACGACCATTGGAGTCGGTAGTTTTAGATACTGGTGTGTCTGAAAGAATAGTCAATGACTGCCGAGAATTTATCAATAATCCTTCGTGGTACAGCGAAAGAGGTATCCTATCAACAATTTAAATCCATACTTTTTTAATTTTATTTGAAAAATTTGCTATCAACTGCCTAGTCAGTAAGAGAAGAATCTCCTTACTTCTCCATCTCTACATTACATTACTTTTTTGAAGAGTCAACATTATTTTATTTTTTGATCCTTTTCTCTAAATCATATTCTTTTAGGAATTCCGTATCGCCGAGGCTATTTATTGTATGGGCCTCCAGGATGCGGAAAGTCATCATATATTACTGCCTTGGCTGGAGAACTAGAGCGCGGCATTTGTGTCTTAAATTTATCTGAAAGAGGTCTGACGGACGACAGACTGAATCACTTATTAGCAGTAGCTCCGCAGCAAACCATTATCCTTCTCGAAGATATCGACGCTGCTTTTACCAGCAGGCAGGAATCTAAAGAAGGTGAGATTTCTCAGAAATCGGACATATTAATGAAACAACCAATTATTCATGTTACTTGTATCATTTTCAATTTTAGTCAAAGCAGCGTACGAGGGTCTGAACAGAGTTACGTTTAGCGGTTTGTTAAACTGCCTGGATGGCGTAGCATCTGCAGAAGCTAGGATATTATTTATGACGACTAATTATCTGGAAAGATTGGACCCTGCACTCGTTAGACCAGGCAGAGTCGATGTTAAGGAATATATTGGTACGTATATGGAAATATAATGAAGAAATAATAGTAGAGATTAAAAACGATAATTAAAAAACTATACAGTCATCATGATATTTCATTTCTTTCAGGATGGTGCAGCGAGAATCAGGTTGAGCAAATGTTCCGAAGATTCTACAGAGAACCGGGCAAGGATCCTGATGTACTCGCGAGAAAATTTGCAGATAACGTTATTTCCTACAAAAGAAACGTCAGTCCTGCGCAAATTCAAGGATACTTCATGTTTCATAAAAACAATCCAGATGCGGTGATAAATAATGTTGCACAAATCTGGGAACTCACGTGATGAAAAGTGAAATCTAGTATAATCTGAAGCAGGACTATTTATATTAGCATCGATGACCATGCGAAGTGACTATAGTACATACACATATACACACATTCTTGTGTTTTATATAAAGATACTTTATTATTCTGAAGAGAGATCAATCTATACAGAGTACAGAGTGAGTAATCATTATTTCCATTTTACTTGCGCGAATATAAAACAGAGAATGAACACTTGAGTAAAAACGAATATAATTAAAAATATCTTGGTATTACATAATGTACAACTGTTGAGATATTGTCACGTGGTAGAAAATACAAAGATATTAATGCGAAGTGAAAACGAAAATGAAAATCCGACAAAATTCTTCTACATCTGATATTTTGTTTCTCGTAACTAGTGCGCTATTTTGCATTTGTACCACCGGCAATTGTATATGGACGAGATATATGAATACTGCTTTGTTCAAACGAAAAGACTTCCTCAAGTATTATAACAAAAAATAATTTTACCAATGTAAATATCAATCCTTAGCTGGACACTACGGTCAGAAAATATGGTGTGTATAAAACAGTAACAGTCTTACAGTAGTAACGTCAACGTTGCATTAATTTAAGAAAATTGTATATATATATATATATGAGGGTATGGTAGAAAAAAGGCAGTTTTCCTATACTAAATGTAACTACTTTGGCAGCCTGCTTGAAGTCGACCCACTACACAGTTTTCTAACTGGAACATGCCAATTTGTACTATGTTGTTTCAAAGCAGATTCATATAATAATTAAATATATCGTACACATATTATATTCGCAAGTATTTTCACGAATATACGCTCACAGAAAGTCGAATATCTGTATATATTGAAAATAGATCTATCACTGAATTCACTAAGAAGTCCCTTGGGCTCTCTATCCTACACAACTATCAATAAAGAATAGTTGACAGTAGACACCCGCGATATTTCTATTGAATTCGTTTGATATTCAGATTTTGTTTTGTTTTTCACTTTCTCTCTTTTTCTTTCTCTCCTTCTCGATCATTAGAAATAATATTTACAACATAAACATTCGAGACCTCTTAATTTAATGAAGTCCGACCATGCCGTATAAAAATCAATTTTCAATATACAATACAACTTCAGATTACGACTCCACATTATTTAAAGAGATGATATATCGTAGCAAAATAAACATATGATGTATGTCTACTCTATGTACGATTCTCTATTTACACATTGTAGTCTTTATCTTCTCAATTCACTCAAATTTGCCTAACCAATTACAGGGAATCACAATGAAATGCTGCATTATTGCGACCGTAAAAGTCTTCGAAAGTTAATGCAACTTTTCTCAAACGTAACAGTCGGAGAATCATCGAGTTTTTTTGCACATATACAATTATCTTCTAATATTGCCATTTACGCGTAAGTCAGATCACACAAGAATCATGATGTGAAACAGTTCATACTGTCTGCACGAGACGATATGTCGTTCTAATCGACATTTAGAAACTCCAGATGTACGGTTCATAGTTGAGCGGGTCCGTCTGTTCCATGTGACCGGTGTGACCGCTGTTCCCAACCATGCACGACGGATAGGCGACTCCGGAATTGCTAGGACCTGATACTGGTGGAACTATACTCTGCGCTAGTCTGCAGTCCGGCCTCTGCTGCATCATCGGACCCATCGGCTGCATCGGCTGCGGCGCCGGTGGCGGAGGTGGTTGCGGTTGCGGCAGTGTTGGCGGCGGTGCGCTGAGATTGTGCACCGGCTGCATTATGTTAGGACCGGAGACGTAATTCGTCACTGGGAAGCAATATTTTACAGGTAATTTTCTCTGAATCAGATAATATGTGTATCATAAAAAATATATGTGCTACAGTTTCTCTATGACGCTTACTGGTTCCAGGATTATGGAATGACAACGTGGGCTGTTCTGGCATCATGTTTGCCGGAGGTGGAGTCGTCTTTAGCGGTGCTGAATCGTTTTTCTTTTTCCGCACAATACGTTGTTTTTGACCGCTGTTCGTCGTCGAATCGCGTTTCTTACCGCCGGTGCCCTTCTTCTTCTTGTCTCCGGGCATTTTCGGCTTGTTGGGTCGGTTCCCGCTCGGCTGCCACAGGTGAACAGTGTGGACTGCATTTCCTTCCCTAAAATGCACAAATATCATATTCATTGCACGTATATTTTGCCTCTGTTAGAAGTGATGTTTCAGCATTACAAGGGCATTTTGAGTTTAAATGCAGATTCCTTGATGATGAGGTTGCGGCTGTTGGTAACGTTTGAGGGAAGAATTTTCGATAGTCTAAGGTAATACCTTACGTGGCAGAAAATATGATAATTTATCTAACCCTTGTTTCTTTCCTAATTTCCAGCTGTGTATGCCGGCCTTGTGAAGCCTCTCTCTAATCGTATCCACGCTGCACTTCAAACCTAGCGCGGGCGCTACGTATTTCGCCGCAGTGAGAGGATGCTGCGTCGCCATCGCAACGATTGCCTCATCCTGCTCCTTGGTGGTGATTCGACGTCGGCCTTTTCGTTCCTTCGTCTGTACATTGCCTTCCTTATGCCAACGTTCTAGCCATCTTTTAACAGTACGTTCCTGATTAATTTAAAATCACGTCCATATAAGTCTCCTGCGACGACTTTCTCGTGTTTCGTAAATTCACATCTGCTCGCACGATATTACGCATTTCGGTGCGTAATTATGCGTAATTTGACACACAGTGTGCAAAGCAGGAGCGGTGGCATTACATACATACCGATCTATCTATCGCCAGCGCGATGGACAAGGTGGACAGTCCGGCCTCTGACATTCCGATCATGCGATTCCTGATCTCCACGCTGGTCTCTAGCGTCCCCTTCGCCTTGCCGCCTTTTTTTTTCTTTTTCTGCCGTTCCGTCTCCGATTTGCCGCCTCTGATCTTCCTCGACGACGATCCCTTGCTCTGCTGTCCCTCACAGGACGATTGGCTGTTCTCATTGGAACTGCAAGTATTCGAATTCTCCGAACCTATGTTCGCGCTCGCCTCCGGACTAGGTATGTTAGACTGCAAGTGCGACTGCTGCTGCTGCTGCTGCTGCTGTTGCACCTGATGCTCCACCGCTTGCAGCTGCGTTTGGTCAAGATTGTGATGGTGAGACTGAGTATTCTGCTGATGCGGCTGGCTCTGCAAACGCGATTGCACCTGCGTCTGTACGTGCTGCTGGACTTGTTGCTGCACTTGCTGTGCATGATGCTGCTGTTGTTGCTGTTGCTGTTGCTGCTGCTGCTCTTGCTGCGTGTGCAACTCCTGCAGCTGCTGTTGCGGCGGAGGTTGTTCGTGAGGTATCGGATTTGGTTGTCCCTATACGTATAAAGTGTACAACTTAAGATATGTACAATACTTTCTTCGAATTTACCGTTATGCACAATAACCAAACCTGTGGGTAATGATGACTGCCTTGCACTAGGTCCAGCGGCCAGTTCTGTACAATATTCAGCCCCGGATGTTGGTAGATGGGCTGTGGTTGCTGCACTAAACTCAACGCGTTACCGAACTCCGTCTGGGTCGTCGGCAGTGGCTGTGTGGGCGGCTGCATCTCCGCCTGAGGAGCGGGAGGAGGTGGAGGGAGATTCTGCTGAGGAAATACGAAACTTTGCGGTTGTTGCTGATGTTGCTGTTGTTGTTGTTGCTGCTGCTGCTGCTCAGCGTTCTGATTAGACTTTAGACTATCAGCCGGAGCGCCGTCACCGACGTACAGGTCTCGAACTCTGACTTTCTTTGGTGGATTCTTCTTCTTAACCACGGCACTGTTTTTCTCTGACTTGTTCGAGTCCTTCGGGGTTTTCTTCTTGCCTAACTGAGTGCCAGTCGGCCGCCAAACTGCCTGCTGAATCGCTGCGCCATCGGCATCACTGCTAGAAGGTAGACGTGCAACCAGACAGCACATTAAAGACAAACTTTTAAGAAGACGACGGAGAGAGCTCTACGTTTCAGAATAAAAAAATCTGTAATGCGGAATTTTTTGCTTAGGTGTACCAACCCCAGCGGAATCCTCTGCATGTATTTGCGTGAAGGACTCCAGTTGTGAATCCCGGCTTTATGCAGCCTCTCTCTTACAGTATCCACCGAACAGGTGAGTCCTAGTGCAGGAAGCACTGCTTTAGCTGCTGTTATAGGCGTTTGTGTAGCGAGACGAATGATCGCCTCATCCTGTTCTGTGGTAGTGGCTCTTTTGCGACCACACCGCTCCCGTGTCTCCACAGTGCCTTCCTTATCGAATCTATTCAGCCACCTTTTCACTGTGCGTTGCTGAAAAAATTATAATCAGTGAGTGAACTGTGACTTTATTAGAAAACGCGCGTTTATAATTTCAATTGTCTTCATGATGATGACAGAGAAATTTTAAGTATCAACAGATGACAAAAGCACATGTCAAATCTCTTGTCATTTTGAGAATAATGTTTACAAAAAATCAATAAGATGCCAAGAAATATACTTGCATTTAAAATTGTAGAGATTAAATTTCGCATTTTTACGAAAAATTTGGATTATTCGACATACTAATTATACCAGTTCAATCATCGGCAAAATATACTAAGCAACTGAACGCATTTCAGCATGTTCCCGTTCAGGCTTTACTTACCGAACAATTGACGGCAGCGGCGATTTCTCGCAGACCCAGACCCGCCTCATACATTCCCACCATCCGGTTCCTCAACTCCGGAGTAGTCTCGTGCACGCCTCTCGTCTTGCCCATTTTCACGACGACGGCAATTCCGGATCTCGACACGGAGATTTAAATCGCACGCGACAAGTGACGTACGCGAAAGAACGCAGATCACGTGACGACGAGAGCCGACCGATCGTCGCCCCTCAGTCGGGCTGGAAGTTTTTTTTATTCGAAACTCAGAAGCCAACGGAGCGGCGCGCGGCCACTCGCCGGCGTCCTGACGAGAGAAGCAGCACGTCCCGCAGGAGATCCTCCACGTTGAATTCTCGTCGATGTGATCAATCGGACCGTGAACGTCGTCGTTTCCTGGCCGTCGACATCGTAGCGCTTGATACTGAGCGTCGCCGTAGCGGCGGCGGCAGCTCACTGATCACCGTCAAAGCATCCGTCAATTCTCACGGAAATACGGCCGACGCGGAGACTCGTCGTCCGCGTCGGCTTTATCACACTCTTGCACCACACGCGGCGACACGTTGCGGTACTTCTCCTCGCCGAGAGACGCGGCTCTCGCTCGCACCGCGCGAGGAACCCCGAGGAACACGCGTCGCGGTCAATACAACTGCCGCCGCCACCGCCGCCGCCAAGTACAGTCCGTTGAGATTCTTTTGTCCCCGTTCGATGTGCTTTGTCGTCGCGACCACGACGCTAATGACATCGCGACGTTGGCATCGAAGCGAGAAAAGCGACGTAGACGTGTCGTCGAGCTCCCTCCGTGAGGATCCTCGTTCTCTCGATCCTCCTGTGAGCCGTAGATCCGCCAAGACTTAAAGCGCGTTGTCAATTACAGTTCTGCGGACTGTACCGACAACGGCGCGGTACAGTCGACGATAATCGATGTAAACGACATGTTTATCGCTTCCAATGGGATTTTTCAAATTTCGGTCCTCCTCGAAGCGATAGACGTGTCTTTCATTGTTAATTTCGATGTCTTCCGGTTACATGAAGTCGCTGAGAGATCGCGCGCAATATAGCCGTAGGATAGTCAATACTTGTTCGAATAAAAGGAGTCAATACTTATTCCGTGGACTGTACGCGCGGGAAAAGTACAGTCGGTGGAAGGGTTACGTCTCCGAGAACGAACATGGTTTTCTTTTTTCTTTTATTGAAATAGTATTAAAATATTAAATTATGGTTTATTGATGTATAGTTTATTTAAGCGCGAGCCAGTCGCACGAGTGGCGGCGCGTTTCGTTCGGTCTCTATTGTATCGGCTGAATGCAATTATAAGTCGTTGAAGATGATGTGCCAGGAACGAGCGCGCGGCCGTTGGTCAATAATTCCACAGGCGACTGTACCCGGAGCGAGGTTCCTCGGGCCCCGCTCGGGCTTGCTCGCGCACCTCCGCCGGAATTGTATTGACCCACAAAACGCGCCCTCCGCGTAATCCACGTGTCAGTTGCACCTTTACGTGATGCGCATCGATGCGCGCGGTGCGTATCACGTGAGGAAATCGCAGTCGATCATTCTGAGCTGCGTATTTTTGCGTTGTCGTTGTATTCAAAAAGCAAATGACCGAATTACAACACGAAGGAAACGAGCATAAAAAATCCAGTCGAGGGGAACGAAAATGTAATCGGCGTCGAGCGCGATCTTGCACTTTTGTAAACTCTTATTTTTGTCTCGCGAAACGCGCTCGATTTTTACCATGGACACATTGCGTGAGAGAGAAGCGAGCGTTTCTTTCATAGAAAGGCGACGTCGAGTAAATTGCTTTCAAGTATTTTATAAATTTATGTCCGCAAATCTATCATAAGCTCATCAGAGGTTTTTACTTGAATCAAAAATATTAAAGCAAAATGTGCGAGTCGCTTCCTACATAGAGAATATAAATTTTTTAATATTATTGAAGAAAGGAACTTTTTTTTCGAATACTCAATAATGAATTTTTCTAAAATTTACGAGGAATATATTTGAAGACTATTGATAAAAAAATATTCTTTCTTGAAAATAATCATTATACTTGAAAGAAAGAGAGTAAACTGAGTGGGTAATTGCTTTTCTTAAATAGATTTGTTCTTAAATAGACATTAAAGGGCAATCTCGACTGAGCAAATGTAAAGCCGCAGCTTCTTCACATGAACGAGTCTCTTTTCTGTACGTTCGTGTGTGATTTTGCGCGTTTTTATTTCGTAGCAAACGCGTGATATGCAAGTATATTCACGTTAGAACAATTCTAAAAAAAGCCGATGTACTACGCGCGAAGATGAAGAGACACGCAGAAAGAGAGACAGGAGTCGTATCAGTGTCGACGTCGTGTAGGATAGGAGAGATTACATAGGGTCGGATCGTAAACTGGTAACATCCGTCAATCAAATCCGCCTGTCTATATGTGTGACCTGGCCTAGAATCGAAAGCTCCTACGTCGAGGAGACAGTCATTTATCTTTGCGCGATGAAAAGAGCGCGGTATTATGCGATGTAGGACGTTTCGATGCGTGTTACGGAACGCGTGTGCGAGAATAATTCTTCCTTCGACAGAGAGAAACGCATTTCTTTACATAATTTCGATATTTCCCTCGTTAGACCGACGTTAGCGGCTCGTCGAATAAGAAGAATATTATTTGTTCTGAAAAAATATCGAACGCGATTCAGATTTACTTAGTAAACATTTAATAACAATAACATTGCATCAATGTTATAATTTCTCGCTCAACAATGTAACCGTTATACACAACATACGTTGAATGGGAAATTAGAACATTGATGTAATGTTACTCTCGATGATATCTCGCCCTTCTTCTCTCGCACAGCGCGCTTCTGAATTCTCACGAGGCTCCTCGCGAAATCTACGACGTTCAATTAAATTTTAGTGGAGTAGACGCGCTTATTATTGAACAGCTTGCATAGGAAATAACGCAAGGGCGGCGCATGAGGGAGAGGGAGAGAAACAGGGAAAGAGGAAGAGGGAAAGAACGCTGGAGAAAGAGAGAGAGCAGCTCGCGACCTGCTCTCGAATCAGCTTCCAGGGCGCGCGCGACAGGGCTTGCAGCTTCCACCTCTGTCTCTCCCTCGGCCCCCTGGATCCCATACCGCCTCATCCAGTGTCCCGACCCCCGACCGACCGTGCGAGGCCGGCCGGCCACCCGCGCCGCCTCTCTCTCTCTCGTCTCCGATGTTCAGTCGCACCCTCGCCTCGCGCTCGACGTGCACTCCATACGTTGGTCCAAGCGCCGGGAAAGCTTCCGTCGCCAAAGGGAGAGCATCATTGTCAGCAGTCAGTGAGGAGAGAGAGTGAGAGAGAGAGAGAGAGAGAGAGAAAGAGAGAGAGAGAGAGAGAGAGGTCCTTATACGACCGCGAAGAGACCAGGACGAGATCACCAGGATGAGGCTACTCGCGGTCGCCGTGGGTTTCCTTCTGCAAGCATGGATCGTCTCCTGCGGGGTACGTGTCAAACAGGGCGGTGACCTTTGACCCGATCGAGAGTCAATTTGGTGAATCGTAGGAGAGGGAGGAGAGACCTATCTTCTTAGAGACAATTTTTCTGTAAAGAAAGTGCACGAGGAAGTCGACGAAATAAAAGTCCCTCATTCAGCTTATAACTTATCAATTGTCTGTGCGAGTTCCTCGAAGATTGAACAGTTAAATCCGGTCGCGTTTCTCGAAGCCCCAACGAGTTTGCTCTGTCGGCATGTGTCGGTGGACTGCCGCAGAAGGTGGGTTGTTTTTCGCGAGCCCCGGCCGGCCAGGGGTGGATCGCACGCTCGATAAAGCGCGCGATGTTTTCCTCCGGCGCTATTCTACAATCTTGATTGAACTATGTATGTGCTCGTATTCAGTGTGCGAAGCGAAGAGCTGAATTATAGTCTCTCACGACAGAGCGCCATGAAAATATTTTAAATTGAGGGCTAATTAATACTCATATGTTATTATTTCTTTTGATCGATGTTAATTAATTAGCGAGGTCGTGAGATCTCTCTCTCTTTCTCTCTCTCTGAACCACAGACAGGAAAATACATCGCGGTAGCTTCCTCGCCCCTCGCGCGATTGGCGTTCGTCTATTTTAACGACACCGTCCAATGTTTAGGCATTGATCGATTAAAATCTTGTCCTGGCTGCAACAATCGACAAATCGATAGTAGAAAATAATCAATTCACATACATGTAATTGTGAATAGTGTAATCGTGGCTGATGAAATGAATTATCAATCAGTGTTTTACCAAGCAAATCGATTGAAGCGATATTATGACGATTTACTCGATGTTAACTCTGATTATTCCAGCCAGTCGAAATCCTTCAATCGGCTAATGCCCAACACTGAAACTAATTTATCTTGCAGACGCGACCCAGCTTCGTTTCCGACCAGATGATCGCGACCGCGGCCAGCGTTGTGAACGCTTGCCAAACGCAAACAGGAGTAGCCACAGGTATTTTGCATTCGCTCTCAGAGTTTACTCACTCCCCCGGGTTTGCAAGTTCCGGATAGGAAATTATTGATTGACATTTTTATTTAATTACACGACCGTGCATGCGAGTCTACATGTACGTATGGCAGGCGCTCGAGCTTGAAAAATTAAATTAACCGAGCGAAACAGTTCGCTCGGAAAATTAAATCAGCAGAATTTTCAATTCGCTTGGGAATTTAAATCAACAGAAACAATTCACTTTTACTCTGGAACGGAACAAAAAGGAAGATTGACGAACGACCAAAGTCACATTGATTTCGCGTCGGGAGTGTGTGCGTGTCTGCGTACGTACAAGTGGCATTTGCATACTCGGGGAAAGCCCGAGGAAATTTTCTACGGAAAACTCGAGCAGAGTCGATGTCAAAGTGTACTAAATCCTTCTTTCAGCCGACATAGAAGCGGTAAGAAACGGTCAATGGCCGGAAACACGTCAATTGAAGGTGAGTACCGATGCGCGAGCCGTTTGAATTGCCAATTACGTGTCGGGCTGCAAACAAATCGTTATCCCGCTATTATACAACACAGACGGCCGACAAAATGCGAAAATGCGCACGATTCAGCCGCGCGTTGTGTACGCTTGTTCTGTAATTTTTTAACGAAAGTCGATGGCCGAATAACAGCTTTCTCGTGAGATGTCGCGAAGCGAGCATGCGGCAGGAGAGAGAGCTAAGCTGCTCTTTCAAATTTTGATCTCTTGCAGTGCTACATGTATTGCCTCTGGGAACAATTCGGCCTGGTCGACGACAAGAGAGAATTAAGTCTGAACGGTATGCTGACATTCTTCCAAAGAATACCCGCCTACAGGGCTGAGGTCGAGAAAGCGATCAGCGAATGCAAGGGGATCGGTAACTATTTGGGTATCTACTGCGTTTTCTTTTTCATTTAATCCGTCGATCGATTGCGTGTGTTCGAAACTTGAGTAATCGCGCTGCAAGTGATTCTCTTTTTCTTCTTTTCTTCCTTCTTCTCAAGAATGAATTTAATTTCTACAGTCAGTTTCTCAGCGCGATTCATCTCAACGTTACCTCGCCAGAGAGAGATGGGAGGGTTCGAAGCTGATAAAAAACTGAGATTGAGAGCTTAAAAAATAGAATGGTGGTACGAATTTGTGATCGTAGTAGATCGAGAAAGAAATAGAGTCGATTTGGAAGTGTTTTCTTATGAAGACTCTTTTTCATATTATTGAAAACTTCTTTATACTTTGAAACGCGACTTAAAGACGACTAGCAATTGAAATTGTATATACGCGGTCTTAGCGTCGCTAGTTTCCTCAGCTTGAGAACCTCCGAACCTTCTTTTGCTCTCTCATTTTCAAATTTTCGTTCTTGAGTTTTACGGAGTTTCACTTGAGTTGTCGTTTCACTTTCATTTCGATGACACACGATCCGTCGTCTCGCGTCTCGCACGACGCGCGATCGCTAATTCGCCGAATGATTCCCTCGTTTGCAGCGAAGGGCGACAACTGCGAGTACGCGTACACGTTCAACAAGTGCTACGCCGAGTTATCTCCGAGGGTGAGTGAATTGAAATCGTCTCAACCGTTTCGACAACGGAGAGAAACGAATTATGCCGCATTATCGTCGCGTGCGCTCTTCCGCTCTATCTCAAGCTCGTCTGATCGATTCTCACTGTTTCAGACTTACTATCTGTTCTAACGAGTCGCAGGAGGGAACCGGAGCGGAGAGAAGACCAAAGAACAAAATGCTCAAGATACAATTTCGCCGAATGTGTTGAGATTTTTACGTTTACGCCACTTTACATTTTAACCATGTAACTGTGTCGCCGCGCGCCGTAATCGCGTGGCATCGTATACGATGTGTCGATGAAATAAAGGGCTCAACCATCTAATCGGCGTGTCCCGAGTTGTGCTGTGCGCATCAAAATGCACGAATCGAAACATCCCGCCTCGTCCCAGCAGAAACGCACATCCCAGGTTTCCTCTCGCACATTCTATTATTAATCGTCTGTATTATTCTATTATTAATCTAATCTTAATTCTATTATTAATCATCTCAGCATTCATCTCGATATTCGATCGCGATAACGCGGTTTTTGATATTATTTTTCTGGAAATTTTCTCCTGCAACCAGTAATTTCTTATTCTTGTAATTTTTAAAGAGTCCGTTGGAGCGCTTGACGATTTATTTTAAGCTGGAGGACGCCCTGAAATCCAATCGCTTCTACCTCTATTCCATTCGTTTTCTACCTACTTCTAGGAATCAGAGATACAGATTGACTATGAGTGACTATCATAGATATTGGATAAACGCGCTCTCCCGTGTGAGAGCAAGTCTGATGTATTACAGATTGCGGTAGTAGAATGCACCAATTGGCGGCTGAGGTCACGCTTGATCGAATGCAATGAAAGGAGGAGTCTACGGCTATAATATACTTGAAACGTTCATTCGCCAACGAGTCTTTTGTGACGAGATCATGACGGAGAGAGCGGCCGAGTACTCGCGTGCGTTACTGGCACAGCCAGTACAGAAGCCCCGGCTGTTTTTGATTGAGCGGCTGTTGCACGATGTGCACGATGCGAATTATCCGGTGCTACGAGCGAGCTTTTGCGGATCGATGGGAACTTGCGGGTGCAATTATGCCTGTCGTATGAGAACCGAATGCGTAGGGACGCTGCTGTTTGGGAAAGCAGGCAGCTTTCTCGAGCGACTCAATGAACTTGGACCGGTGGCAAAAAGTCGCGAACGATCTCGCGACCAGCGATTTAATTACCGTGGGATCGATTGCACGGCATCTTATGATCTTATGATGTGGTTACACAACACGCGGGATGACCGCGACTGTAATTAAAAGGCGAACGTTTCATTACCGCGGCGGTAATATGCAACATTATGCCACTTGGTATGAACGCCTGGCACAATGTTCGAAATACAGAAATTACTGGCTAACGGCGAACCAGGAAGACATCGTCGTGTGACCGTTAATTACCTGGTCAGAGCATCGGATACACTTCGTATGCTCGTAAGTTATAATTACCGTTGTGTTTACCGTCATGCTTGCGTTACTATATAATGCATGCACAGATTATATAAAGGGTGTCCCAAAATTCACGCAAGATTTGAATTTTGCGCCATTTGTGCAGTAAAGTGTTGCCAAGTGTTGCGAAAAAAAAAGACAGCGTGACAGCTGACAGTTCAGGGTTTTTAAAAATGGAGTGCTACACGAAAGAACAATTTTCATTGTTTTTATTGTTGAGCAATATTTTAAAAATAATGAAAGTTTGGCGAACAAAATCATCTTCAGCGATGAGGCTCATGTTCATCTTGATGGCTTGGTTAATCGACAAAATTGTCGCATTTGGGGTTCAGAAAATCCACGAGTGATTGTTGAGAAACAAATGCATCCACAACGTGTCACTGTTTGGTGCGGATTTTAGACTGGAGGCATCATCGGACTATTCTTCGGAAGAAAATGCGACTGGTCAGGCAGTAACAGTTAATGGTGCTCGCTATCGCGACATGATAATCCAGTTTTTTGTGACTAAATTGCAAGATATGGATGTGGACGACATGTGGTTTCAACAAGACAGTGCCACATGCCATACAGCCCGAAAAACAATTCAATTACTGCATGAGTCATTTCCTGGTCGTGTAATTTCCCGTTTTGGTGATCAGATCATGCGATTTAACGCCGTTGGACTTTTTTCTTTGGGGTTTTTTGAAGTCTAAGGTTTATGCCAACAAGCCCACGACCACCCACGCCTAGAAGGAGGAAATTGAGCGCTATATCAACGAAATTCAGCCACATTTATGCAAAACGGTCACGGAAAATTTCAACAAAAGAGTGCATATGTGCCAGCAAAGCCGTGGAGGCCATTTACCCGATATGCTATTCCATACATAACCCTATACTGTATACTTTATGAATCAATAAAAAATTCACAATTTTTAATTATAAACCTGTGTTTTCTATCAAAATCACTTCTTGCATGAATTTTCGGACACCCTTTATATTCAGAGAGATAAAATATTGAAGGATAAGTTAGATAATATGCATCTGAAGTAAAGGAAACATTTAAAAAATGAAAGATATTTATTCAGTGAGTACTATTAATATGTTCGCTCGAATCTAAATTCTTTTGTTTAAATAAAGTAAATAATTATTTTTGTGAAAAGCAAAACAGTTTTAAGAGAATACATTTTCTCATTTGCACATCATTCTTTCTCAGTGTAAAAATATATTAATATGAGCAAATTTATTTCAATAGTACTCACTGCGAATAAATATTCTTTTTCTTTTTTCAGATATTTTTTCTTACCAATTCTTCCGAGTATTTTAAACAATATCGATCGTTTGCTTTGCGTTCTTTCCGATGAAAATTTATTATTATGAGTATTTCTTTAAGATTTATTATTATAAGTATTTCTTTAAGAAATATTCGATACGAAAGCTCGACTCTGCGTTGAAACCTTTGCTAAATTTTTTTTTCACGAAGAAGTTTTACAAATGCACCTTTTTCAGAAAATGCGCGTTGCAGTTGTTCGGTGTCGTTTGTCGTATTCAACTTCCTGACGCATTCGTCATCCGCGCAAAATTCTTTGTTCGTGTAACTCGTCGAAGATTTATTTCAAAGGAGTGTGCGCACTTCTCGTCAACTAATTATTATCTCCCACTCCTTCGCACATTCGGATTCGCATAAATTCTCGTCGATTTCGCGCGGCTGCCACTTAATAATCTTGGATAGGAGAACGAACATTTTTTGCTAATCCCTAGGAAGATATTACGTGCCGCGGACGAGATGGCGAGGGGCAACCTGGTCCTCATCTGCGCCTCTTTGATCGTCACGCAGCTCATTGCCGTCTCCAGCGAGGTGAGTATGCGCTTTACAACTGCACGTTGTGCTTTTAAATTTATATATTATAAAATATCGATGCAGAACTGATGACTCGAATTAATATTTAACAATTCTTATCTGCTATTTCGATTTCTTTGTGCGAATATTTTTTATAGGAAATAGATTATACTACTATCCATGATGAGCTGAGGAAATTAGCCGGAAATTTACGGAAAAAATGTCTCGGTGAAAACAACAGCATAACCGACGGTACGTTGCCGAAATATCAATTGGATCGCGAGAATTGTTCGTTGATAAGAAGCGGTCGAAAGAACTATTTAATGTATCAATAGATACGCTGGCGTATGTTCAATCATCAATCACTTAATTTTAATTGCAGAAATACTAGGTGCGGCGGAACAGGGCGACTTCGAGAACAAAGGTTTAGCGTGTTACTTCAAGTGCGTGATGGAGAAAGGAGGAGTGGTAAATAAAACAGAATTGCTCAAATAGATGTACCAGCGATCACAGATCGCGGATAGCTGAAACTCTGAAATCACTTTTCCTTTATAGATGAAAAAAGACGGCAAGATCAATTATAAGCTCTTGACCAAGATGTTACCGCCGGCTTACAAACAGATTGGATTAGGAATGATCGACGAGTGTCGCGAGATAGGCAAGTATCCATTGATACAACAGGCTTTTTCTTTTTAGTTGAACTAGAACTTCACTCCTCTTCCTTTTCTTTCCCGTTAGATAGAATAGAATAATGTTAGATTATACACTTTTACTTTGATAATAAAAGATGCAACCTAGTTCAACTAAAAATACAAGTCTAATGACACTGATTCGCCTCCCTTTTGTCAACGTCTGATGGTGCGATCTTCTCTTTTTTGATTTTTAGAAGGGAGCGACAAGTGCGAAATAGCTTTTAACTTCAACCTATGCATGTACAATGCGAATCCTGTGGTATGTTAAAAAGAAACGTCAAATCAACACATTCCATGATATGGATTAAATTTTAGATATTACATACATAATCCCCCAAAAGAAAATTTCGTTACATTTAACGTTTCATTGCGTTCTTCTTTTTCAGGCGTACTTCGTCATCTGAACGCTAGCAATGTGTACGGCATCGGTAAGAGCTCAGAATGTCATCTATAAATCTGTTCTGAGAAAATAAAGATCTTGACGATCGTCTCATATATCCCCATACCTTCTACAACTATCGCTTTTAAGTTACCCGCAAAATAGGATAAAAATACCTACTTACAAGTAAGTGTCGGATCGACTAGGTGAAAGTAAGAATCTTTAATAATGGAGGTCCGTGAATATTATATAATATAACAATCTTTTCATATATGTACATCTTACTTTAAATAACTCGACTATTATAAGAATTTACGTATCGAACAATCCTTTCAATCGTGAACATCCTTGCGCATTACATTTGCATTTCATGTTATATCTTAAGGTTTTGCATTAAAATATCACGTTGTCGAGTTTCCTGAATACTCGCAAATTAACTCCGCAGGAGACAACCGTATCTTTACAGCAGAATGCGATGCGATTCCGCGATATAAATTTATACAACCCATTGTATAAACATTAATAGTTTTAAATACACATCAAGTATATCGAGCTGATAATTTCGATAGCGCACACATAATCGTCACGACGAATATGTATCGTGGTGATTAGACACATGAAACATAATCAGCGTAAGATCTCTAAATCTCTTTGCGTACGAAATCTCGACGTAAGGTTTCTTTGCTTGAGACACGGTGTATGACTTATAATATGCGAAGAAAATGTCCGTTGCCAATGATGTCGAGTGATACAAAATGACTTACGCTTTCCGCGGCTTTGTCTTCCTCTTGTTAACGTTCATTATTTGCTCGACTATGATATCATCCGCTCTGGGGTCGATGGGGATGGCTTGAACGGGCGCTCTTGAGCTCGGTACGGGTTTCGAGCGTTTGTCGAGCAAGGCGTTCAGCCAAGTCCACAGGGTATCGCGATTGGAGAAAGCCAGGCCGACCAATATGATGAACGGCAGCGCGACCACCGACGTCTGATTCATGTCGGCCTGGTCGATCTTACGTTCTGCGTTGAACGTCAGCTTCATGTACTTGAACGACGAGTTCGCCTCGAAGTATATCGGCATGGTATGGTACTTGTGCACGGACTGCGATAGCGAGGACTCTAGCTGCACGAAATATCTGCGGCCGTCGGTCTGCAGCGGCGGAAAATGGACGAGGAAGCCGGCGTTGTAGCCGCTGGTGATTTTACTGGTCTGCTGCGCATCCAGCTTAGAGATGTGCACCGGTGAATCAGGCGCATCGTCTGGACAAAGTTTCACTTTGATCGTACGGTAATGCTCCGGCTGGACGGACGTCACGTGTACCGCGACGTCTGTGCGCGAAATGGGGTGAAAGGCGATCAGTCGTAGACCGTGGACGTCCTCCACCGGCTGCACCAACTGTGAGCTGGGGCTCGTGCGTTGTATATGAGCGTTCACCTTTGCGTTCGGCTTCAAACGGAATACGTAGGTGCACTACAAAATATATAATATATATAATACGAAAATATATGTGTGAAATTTTTTCTATCTACAAATATTTGTAGGTATGTGTGAAAATATGCAGATAAATGTTTACCTATAAAAATATATATAAGAATATCAAAAAGGCAGATTATTTTTACCGTAGGTTGAAGACCACGGATCCGGAAGTTTCCATTCTCCTCGGTCGTGGCCTCCTCCTGCAGATCGGAACAATCTCCTTGACCTTGAACCTCGACCAACAGACCTACTTCGGGTTCCCCGTTCAAAGAAGTCACAGAGCCATAGGCGCTGTATGCGACCCTGTTGCCGTACAAGTACACTTTGACGGTCTCCCCCTCCTCGACATTGATCATCTTCGACGGCGGGTCGAAGCGATACTCTTTCATCATTGGCCGAAGATAATATTCGCCCGGAGATAGCGAGTTGAACATGAATTTGCCACCCTCGCCGGTTATACTGTTCTTGCGGTAACTTTGGCCACCGGACAAAGAAAGTAGCACGCCCTGCATAAGAACAAGTGTAAATACAAATGTAACTTCCTCAATTGACAATTTACACGATTATTTTACCTGCAATGAGGAATTGTCAGCGCGGTCGGAAACTTCGACAATGATCTCGGCCAATTTGTGCGCCCAGAACACTCCTTTCTTATCGGTCTCAGTGATCACAAAACCCTCCTTTTCAGCTGTAACACTGGTATACAATAATTACTTATTCACAATAAGATTCATTCATGACGATATATAACAAAAGAAATCGCCACTGACATACCTGTATTCAATCTTGCCATCCAGTGGTCCGACGCTGTAAACGCCACTCTTCTCTGTGACCAACGTGTGAATTGGCGATTCTTTATCCTTGCCAAAGATCTGTATCGTCACGCCTTCCAAAGGTGGCACGATTTCTCCGGCTATGATCTGTACAAATATTCTTGTTTCAACGAAACGAGACAAAACTTCCTCGTGCATTCAATATAATAGATGATTTTCTACCTTTCCCAGGTCGCCGACGAAAGTCGCAATGTCATTATGACAGTCGTTCACGCCGATGACCTTTAAAGACGGCGGATTAAACAGCAGAATGTCCGACAGCGGAATGATAGTGTACATATTGTCCGTTTTCGCTTTAAACTCGAACTCGTACTTGTACATGCCGTCTTTCATCACATGCTTCAATGGTCCAATCCTACATAAAGCAAATCAATGAAAAAGAGAATACATAAGATATATTTCACAACAATATATCTCTCTCAAACATAATCAACCCCCAATGATGTATCATCATGCTATTGATTAAATTAAAAAATTCATTTATTCTATTGAAACAAAAGAAGTAAATAAGAAAAAAAAGTAAATAAATTAAAAAAATAAGTAAACTTGTTCCTTTGGAAGATCTTTGGGGAAAAGTAAAAATCGTAAAATATTGATTCTTACAGTTAGAATTGCTGAGAAAAGAAATTTAGAAATTAAGATCAAACGCAACAAATCCCGATGATATAAACAAGGATTAAAAGGACATAGAAAGATAAATTTCATCCAGATGAGCGTTGAGTTACTTACGTGATATTGTTGCTCGCATCTTCAATTTTAACTTTGAGACCGCTTTGCACGCCCGTGCTTACGATACTGCCTCTGTGAGTATGCTCAGTGGAGTGCAGCAAGATCGGAGTGAGATTGTTCGTGTCCCACGTGTAAAAGGATTTGTCGTATACGTGGCAGCCCTTCGGGATGAAGGTGTACGTTCCCGACTTCGGCACGCAATGCCTCGTGCTGCCTTTATTCAACGGCAGAATTATCAGTTTGGTGCTGTTAGGCTCGGAGTACGCCACTGTCGTGTCGTGGGAAGATATGAAGGTAATGGAGAAGCCAGTCTGCTTGAACGGCGGTACTTCGGCGCGCTCCGACGTTATCGAGACCCTGTAACTGGGATTTTCCCAGCAGAACACGTCGTTGTCGATCAGCACTTCGTAGTGGCCGGGCAACACGTCCGTGAACTGATATTGGCCGTCTGCGTAATGGAAGATGACTTCACAGACACAGAGAATGGTATCGCGTCCAAATCAAAGAGACATTACTGCAATAACAGGTACGGTATGAGTCGTTTATATATTTTTATCAGTTGCTTGAAAACAAGCAATTATTTTTATTCATCACGAATTTTTGTTATTATTTTTGTTTATCACGAGTAGACAAGTTTTCTGTAATCAAGTTTTCTGTAATCAAGCTTTCTTTCAAGCTTCACTTTTATGTCCTAAGACCGTATTTGTTATTGCAGTTGAGAGTACAACATCGTAAAACATTGAATTAACGTCAACAGGAACACTAGTCGGCTCACCTTTCGCTTGCACCGTTTTGATCGTCACTCCGTCGAGTATCTTCAGAGTGACGGAGGCATGGCTGCAATCTGTCCCCTGCAAACAATGTACCGTACCCGTTAATGTAGCCTTCAGTTGCAAGAAGTTGACGTTGGTGATCGGTTGGGACGTCACAGCGATCGTCTGCTGCAGCGGATAGAATCTGAAAAATGGTACGAACTTTTTTTACAAATATAGTTTTTTACAAGTAATATTATAAGATGCGTTGTATTTTGAAAAATCATCATTGATATTTTAAACTTCACTTGCTTTACTTACTGTAAGCCTTTAGCTTTCTCTTCCGTACTGACAATCACGCTCAGCTGATACTTATCTGGCACGAGGTACACTGAGAACTCCCCAGTTTTCTCGTCGGTGTTAAGTTCCTTGTAGAAACTAGTGGCAGTATTCTGAATGGACAGTTTGCGGAAGTGTAGCGTCCCCTTCGCCGAAAGCGTTACCTTGCCCGACACTTTGTACGCTGAAGGTGCCAACACTGGAAGTTCGGGCGAACTCGGAGATATCTTCACCGTTTTCTCGCTGAATTGTACGTTCGCTGGAACGAAAAATTCGTTAAGTATTAATTCCGATGAATTCAGTGAGTCTCTCATCTTAGGGAATATTTCGCAGAATCTTACCAGACTCCGCTCTGAGCGTATACTGGCCGGCTTTCATATTATCCAACACGTACTTCCCGTTCTTGTCCGTGACCGCCACTTCCTTCTGCGACAAGAATATCTTCGCTCCGGCCAAAGGACTTCCGTTCACGGAATTGCGGACAAGGCCGCCGACCGTGAAGCCAGTTACCTTGAAATCCTGCGCAAGGAGCACGCTGCTGTGGCTGACTTTGAAAGCCAGTTCCTGCGGTTGAACGTCGAATTTTGTCTGCGCACCGGCGTAATAAGGTATGAGCTTGTATTCGCCTGGTGACAAGCTGGGAAACACGAATCTACCGCCCTGATCCGAAATGACATGGCAAAGCGGTTTCTTGGACTCAAAGTCCTTGTTCACAGGCGTAGTGTCGCAATTCTTTGCGACGCCATCCTATAAAACGAGATGTATCCTTCTGTACAATGTTCACTGATATTTACCTTACGATTTAATCTCACGAGTATTTATCAGCTAATAACTATGTATTGATAATAAATAACTTTAACAAGGAGAAATCTTACACCAAAAAGGATGAAAGATACACCAGCCACTGGCTCGTTCTCACTCGTAACTTTGCCATTGACATCATATCCAGACACTACCAGACTACCATCTGGGAGCTCTGTGTTCCCCTCTTGCACAGTTACTTCGACTGTACTTTCTCTTATTATCCATCTGAAAAAAACAATTAATGCCATTGGTGTTCTGAGGTATCACACACATGCGTATGTCTTGAAAGATATATTTATCAATTGTTAGATATTATTTTATACACTTACTTAGAATGAGTCGCAACAAGAACATATTTTCCAGGCTGAATAGGAGTAAAATAAAATATGCCACCATCTGTTGTGACTGTTGATCTAACTGGAACTTGCTTATTGCTTTCTGTATATAAAGATATGGTGATTCCTTTGGGACCAGAGTCAGTACCTAAACTAATCACCTGAAATATGAAATAACTTATATGTTTCAAAAATTTCTCCATGTAATTTGCTCCATATATTATTTTAATAAGGTATGACAACATATATAATACTTATAGCTAAGATAAATATAACTTATCTAATATCGATAAAACAAGAAGGAAATTGTCACTCACACGTCCTGTAATGCCAAATCCTTTGAATGTAAAGTTAATATCTTTTCCTTGACTACAATCGTCTGTAATACCATCTACATTTAATGCTACTTCTGTAGGCTCAAAGCTCCAACCCCTAGGAGGGTCCACCTGGAGAAATATAGAAAAAAATGGCATTAAAAACATATAATATATATAAAACACTATATAACAATAATATTTCTCTATTGAATAACATTTATCATGTAAAAATTACACTTTTATATTATCAAGCATTAATTCTTTGCTGAACTTAAATAAAATCTGTACAATGTGTAATTATATTGAAATCTGAATTATACTATAATAAGCATATTAAATAGACAAATTTTACATGTTCAAATGCCAGCATGTTAGCATTTAATTAATATAACACTTTAAATGATGAAGCATTTTTTGGCTTACTTTTAATATGTATTCACCCTTGTCATAGAGGGGAAGAAAATAATAGCCATTATTAGGTGCACATTCTGTCTGATCCTTTAGACTGCCAGTCTTGGTATATCTGAAAAATTTATTTCATGATTAAACAATTCAATTAACTAACCTCTATTAACCTCTATAGACAAGGATACTCACAGTTTGACATACACCTTTGTAAAATCGATGTCAGCATGACTTTTCAAAAAACCTCCGCATCCTAGAATATCCTGAGCAACGCAGCTCGTTAATAACGTCGTTAAACAACCGAGAAAAATGAAATTTAGCCGACCTGACATGTCGAAGTTGTATTCTTCTGCAACATTTATTGGGCCAAACGCCGTTCGTTTTTATCATATCAGCATTCTTTGCAATTTGACCCACTAGCTCTACTTCAAGACGAATCATTATTTGGATGAATGCATTGAAATAATAATATTGCTACCGTTTCTCGTCAAACACATCAAATTAATTATTAAATTAAATAAAAAAAAGTAATTGTTCAATTTTCAACATCAACTTTCAGTTGAGTTTTTATACCTTGAAAATTTATTTGCAATTAAAATTACTTTTATGAAAAATATAAATGCATTTTAAAGAGGGCACTTTAAGAACTTTCTTAATTATCTTTGATGATTGTTATATATTATTTCTCTTATCTTTTATGATGAGCTACTAATGTGGGAAATTATATGTTTCATGCTTCAACATTAAATAATTCGAGGAAAAAAGATGCAAAAATGCAAATAAATGAGATTTACATCGTTTGAAAATATGAAGTTTTTTCTTTAATTTACATTCAAATAGTTTGCTGTGCTATGTCATCATTTTCTGTTTAACATGATTTACTTGATACAAAAACATTGAAAAAATTATGATATTAATATAATTAAAAACTAGAAATTTCGGAACACAAAATGTTCTCTGAATTATCTCGATATCGTTATTTATACTAAAACTATAGCTTGTTGAATTTCATTCATTTTTTATTATAAAGTAAAATATACTTGCTGAAAAGAACTAAATTGTGGTTTGAGTCTTGGCTAAATTTTAGAAAACCAATAAGTAATGGTTTGAATCGCAACTAAAGAGTTGTCACTGACAAAATACTAATAAAGACGTTAAGGCCGGTTGATCCAACTTCACGGTAAGTTAACCGATAGTTAAATCATACGTTTGTCTTTATTTTTCCTTCAACTTGGACAAAGACAGACATATGATTTAACCGTCAGTTAACTTACCAAGAAGTTGGAACAACAGGCCCTTAATCTTATAAAATTTTTATATCCATCTTTAGATGCTTATATCCATCTTTAGATGCTGCACGGATTATTTTAATGGCTACAGACCATCTGAAGATAAACTTAAGGAAGTCTTATTAAATATAAGGCCTGACTATGAATACGCCCATTAGCATAGGCCAAAGAGAAAAATCTCGCTGTGCATTAGCGCCATCTTAGAAATATCGTGACCGAAATATAAAACTGTATAGTTCGAAATAAACATAGATAATATCTATTATGGGACTCGTCGGAATCGATTCCGATTGAATTTATTCCGTTATTTCCTAGATTTCTATTGGCCGCGTTTAGTAGAACAAAGTGATCAGAGAGCGCTTAGTGATTATTGTCTGTGATTGGAGCATTCTTTTAGATTCTTCATAGACCCAGAAACATTTATCAATCAGGAGCGAGATTCAGTGGAAAATCTAGTAATGTTGTCCAACTGTTGAGTCTGCTGAACGCGGCCATTGTCTTTTCTAGGGGAAACGGAATTATTCCGATCGGAAATTCGGAATCGATTCCGACGAGTTCCATAAAGGCTCGTCTACAATAGCTGTAAAAGTAAGGCTGTAAGGCTGTAACGTAAGCTGTCAGCGAATGAAAATATTTCATTTCATGTCTTGCAACCTTACAGCCTTATTCTTACAGCTAATGTAGACGAGCCTTTACTCTTACAGCTAATGGCTGCGTTCCGGTATTCACTGCCAGTACTGAAAATACATAGTATGCGTCACGTATATTATAGATTTTCAGTGCTGGCAGTGAATATCGGAACGCAGCCAATGTAGACGAGCCTTCTAAATCTAAATACAGTGCTTTTTGTGAACTTTTAGAACTGCATTCGATAGTGCTCGTCGAGACGAAGAAAATGAGTGCGTTCACGACACTCAATAGTTGCGGAACTGTTGAGTGATTTTTTCGTGAACGCTACTGAGCGGAGCGCTCACTTACAACATGTTGAGTGAGTGGTCATCATTTTTTGGATCATAAAAATTCTTCGCTACTTATGTCCATCAGTTTCTGATCCAATATGGCATTGCCCGTGATTCATATATGTAAAAAAAGCGTAAATAATTATTTAGAGACATATAATAAAAGTTATGTAAGAGACGGTGTAGAATATGTTATAGCCGAGACATTTGATGTGCATCAACTATTATCTACTGGTATGTAATTAAATGCGTTAAATATGAATGTGAAATACTTTAATGTTTACTATATAATATCGATAATTTTATGCTGTTCTGCAGACTCACAATATTTCCAACAATATTTGGATACAAATCTCCATTCGCTCGAGATTTCGGACGTATCAGCTTTTATAGATGCAGTGAATAATACACGTATGTTAGGTTAAGTTCAATTACGTTATGGTTATAATTGTACATATATATTTACAAACATGTTTTAATACCTTTTTATTGAATGTAATTTCTAGGACCGGTAGCAGATGAATTTTCGTGGACTGGACAAAAAACGAAATTATTACTTTCATTATATCAAGAGCGTAAGAGAGCTTTTCGTGATCCAAAGATTAAAAAAAAGAAGTTATGGTCAAACATACGTGAGAAATTTGAGCAAAAAGGATACAAAAATGTATCTGAAGACTGTCTTGACAGAAAAATGCGGAATATGAAGAAGATATACCGGATAATAAAAGATAATAAAAAAAGTATAACGGACAGAGAACATATAAGCTGGGAATATTTTGATTCATTTGAAGAGATATTTCAAGATGATTGTACTATTAATATCGGATCTACGCTCTCTTCGTTGAATGAAATACAAAAGGATATATTTGAAGAGAAACGTCATGCTACAGAAAATTTTGATTCCTTATCCTCTAACAGTAAGCACCAACAATTCTTTTTAAATAATTCTTATCTTATTAACTCACGTTCATCTTTATCTACTTCATTTTCAATTATGCTTGATATGAGAATTTGATGATTCTATATCATTAGCACAACCAGTGGGAAGCCAAGATGGTTCATCTAGTGAAACAAGCAACATTTTACATACACCAAGTAAAAATAAATCAATTAAACATAAAGGATTATATTCGCTAAGGAAAAAACAGATACAATTAGAAAAAAAACGTATAAATGTATTACAAGAATTAGTAAAAAGTATAAATACTGCAAATGCTATTCAGCAAAATAGGAACGAGTTATTGGAAGCGCTATTAAAGAAGAGAAATAATCAAAGGTAAGAAAATGGGCTGGGATCAAATACTTAAATATCTTTTTGTAATATATTATATATTTTACTGTTAATTTATGTAACAAATACATTTCAAAAGGTACATCACAAATAGTGTTTCTTTTTAATATAACTTGTACATTTCTATCTTGCACGATATCCCTATCATCATAATCTATTACATTTAGGTCTACAATATCAATTAATTCTTCGTTAACTTCGTTTTGATCAATGATAAAGTTATATAATATACATGCTGCACCAATAATTTCCTGGCCTAAATCAAAATTTGTAATATTCAGATATTTAAGTCTTCTAAATTTACCTTTTAATACAAACGATCTCTATTGTGGATCTGATGGAACTTAATTTTCTGTTATACCCTGTTTGTTTCCTACTCAAATGGCCATTACCTCTATAAGGTGTCCACATTTGGTAAGAGAGGATAAGCCATAGACTAAGGACAACTAAGGAATATAGGGACAGAGCATAAGCTCGTAAGATAGGCGAGGGTTGTGCTGTAATGTGGGGGACGACTGTGCCTAAGTTTCATTGGCTACAATAGTGCGCATATTCAGAGCGTGTGATGCAACGATTTGGCTGTCATTGGCAAATAGTAAATGTAACAAAATGATAAGAACTATTTATACTGACAGTATTTTGCAGAGGTTATGCATGTGTCTTTTTTTTCATAATTTCACTCACAACTTCATACACATCTATGTATGTATCAAATACTTACACACGGCACAACCACCAATTAGACTTATATAGTATTAGATAATAGTATATGCGCTTATACTATTGCTTTTAACCATCGGTTTAGCTTTAAACTCCGTTTAAAGCAAGTTGTGGAACTGGGCCTTAGGCACAGTTTACCTCGTCGCACCGTCCCGCAATGGTTATCCCCCCGCAACTCTATGCTCTATCCCTATATTACTATGTCTATGGGATAGGCTGAATCACCTATAATGTGATAATATAGCGGCTGATTGAACAAACGATGAAATATTTGACTATTACGAAAGACGCGAGCGTCGTGCATATGTCCTGACATTCCAATAAATACGTCTGTAAATCTCATTGTATGATCACATATGCCTGGAAACATTTTAACAATCTTTATTTAATGTTAACGTCGAGTAATTAAGCATTAGCAATCATTATACCTTGAAGAATTATTGAGTGGAAACCTTTTCTGTTATAAAAATTACCAACTGATTGTTTACATGGTATGTGGCATCCATCAATAACTCCTATTACACCAGGAAATCCATTAGACTTAATTTCAAAAATCTGAAAATAGTAAAGGTAAGAGTAATGCATTGAATGTGTTTGTAATATGAAGAAAATACAAATACTACTGGTTAAATGCAATTTATATATATATATATATATATACACTAGAGACTGTTTCATAATTTGCATCATTAGGCTATTTGATAAATTGTGGCATTAGATTTGCTAACACTGTGATGATATTAACGAAAATGTTATGCCCAGTACTTTTCGAAAAGTTTAACCTATCTCCTACTGATAAAAAACTTTCTGGTTTTGCCAAAATCCATATTGAAAATAATATTTTTTTCGACAAAGGTACAGCTTCATGGTGTTCCATTGCATTTCCAATTATGTTCGTTAATACCTTAAAACAATATATACACACATATACACAATATATTTCCTGTTTTAGAGGCATTATTTTCAGACAAATTTTGGAGAGACTTAAAGAGAAAGAGAGAGAGAGAGAGAGAAGGAGAAAGAAAGAGGGGAGAAGGAGAGGAGTCTACATAATTTTATTTATTTTAAATTGTACTTACTTCAAAACTTGTCCGTGACATCCGAAAATGTTCCTTAAATAAATCATTTGTATAACGCAGTATTATTTCTTCATAATAATTTGCATTTCGGGCTCTTTTTCCGCGTTCCATATATATATAAATAAGTAGGCAATGGTCTAATTCTTTTGTCACAAGTCTAATTAAATCCATATTTAGGTCATTATCTAAAGCAGCAAATAAAACTATGTCCTCCAAATCCATTGCGTTATACACAAAATTATTGTTGATCTGCAGAATAGTATTATTACACAATTATAGATATTCACGATATATCGCGATATATCACAGATAATAATAAAAATGCTTTCGTACGGGCAAAGAACAAGGATTTGAACTGTTTTTATGCGCAACCCAATCGCGCATCTCTGATCAGTAGAGAGAAAAAAGGCGTTCAGAGTACGTATGGTCTATTCTTTGTAGCTGCACTGCTAAACTGGTGCAATGAGCTAGAATGAGAAAACCTATATTTGTCTCACTTTAACTTATTGTACCAGTTCAATAGTGCAGCTACAAAGAACAGACCAATAGTTAGCGCTCACTCAACGGATGCGCAACTGTTGAGTGTCGTGAACGCACCCAATGACACCTCGTCCGATTTTTTACGACCACCGGAAGTGCCTAAAAAAATTCTTAAATTTTTTTAAAATGATGTTCTAAGTTTCGAGCACTTCTGGTGATCGCAGAAAGTCGGGTCATTAATTTCATGTGGTTATAAAAATAAAAATCTAAACGAGGCGTTTTTATGAACTTTTAAAATTGCATTCGATAGCACTTGTCAAAACAAAAAAAAATGACACCTCGTCCGACTTTCTACGATCACCGGAAGTATTCGAAACTTAGAGCTCTATTTTCAAAAATGTAAGCATTTTTTCAGGCATTTCCGGTGGTCGTAGAAAATCGGGCGAGATGTCATTTTCTTCGTCTCGACGAGCACTACCGAATGCAATTCTAAAAGTTCACAAAAAGTGCCTGGTTTAGATTTTCATTTTTATGACTTCATGAAATTAATGAAAATCTAAACCAGACGTTTTTTGTAAAATTTTAGAATTGTATTCGGTAGTACTCTTCAAAACAAGAAAAGTGATACCTCGCCCGACTTTCCACGACTACCGGAAGTGCTAGAAACTTAGAGCTCCACTTTCAAAAATTTAAGCAATTTTTTCAGATACTTCCGGTGATTGTAGAAAGTCGGGTGTGATTTCATTTTCTTCGTCTCGACGAGCACTACCGAATGCAATTCTAAAAGTTCACAAAAAGCGCTTGGTTTAGATTTTCATTTTTATGACTCCATAAAATTAATGAAAATCTAAACCAGGCGTTTTTTATGAACTTTTAGAGTTGCATTCGATAGTATTTGTCAAGACAAAGAAAATGGCATCTCGCCTGACTTTTTGCGACTATCGGAAATGCGTGAAAAAATTTATATTTTTTGAAAAATGTAAACATTTTCAGTCTATATGTTTGTAACGCATGTAATTTAGCAATGTAAAAATTGAAATATGTACTTAATTATGTATTTTTTTCTATGATGTTTTCTACTTGTTCTCAAGTAACAAAATTAATTGGAAACGACATTTACTTTTTATTAGACTGAAGACTGTTGGATATTTCTTAAAAACATTAAAATAAGAAATATAAACTAAGATAAAATAAGAAATATTTATTTAATTAATCGGTATTCAATACGATTAAAAACTCGCTACAAATATCTATATATATTCTCATTTGGAAGTAATTTATTTTTCTTTCTACAAAACACTTTCATTTTAGAAAACCATTGTGTGCATTGGGAAATACATAACGATATTTTTCACAATGAAAACTTAAACTTACAACACACGTGCAACAAATAATAAATATTACTTTACAATTCCTTTTTATTCGTCATATACATAAATAATATAAATAAATTTCTAGATTCCCAATCAGTGTTCCGTATACTTAAAATTATAAAAAAAAAGAGATCGTCGTATTGGACGACCGTAAACGATTACGTTTACTTTAAAATTGCGTTGGCACACTTTATTCCTCTCTCTCGCGTAAATATCCTTACAGAAAAAAATATTTAAGATGCATAGACGCGCGTATAGATTCAATGTACGCTTGTACGTGTATGTGTGAGAAAGAGATTGTTCTAGGTTTGATATATACGCCTTACGCAATATTAGTTTCAGTCTTAACTGTAGGAAGCATAATGTACATCTCGAAGAATCTACTTTCCTGTTAAAATCGCGTACTCTACGACTACATATATCGAATCAGACCAAAAATCTATGAAAAAAGGGGGATCAACCTACAGATAATGTTTCGCATTCACATATATCCACAGATCATTGGTTTCCTATGAAAAATATGCATTCTTTGAATTGTGTGTAACGATATCCGTATATACTAAGTGAGGAAAAACTCTCGTGAATCTTAGAAATGACGTTAAGATCTTCGACAGTCGACCGGAACAATTTACATTCAAGCGTAATCCAAGTGCGGATATTATCAAAAAACGAAAAATTCTGCAACTACAATGCTTACATAAAATGAAAGATAACATGATCTGCGATAATTTTATTTAACGGGCGAGCGGAAGTCTCTGAAATATACATCCTACAACGCCTACGGGAGATCTAATGTTAATCTCGCCTGCGCAACAATATATATTTTCTGGCACAATCAAAATTCGTAGCGTCGTCAGTCAAGTTACTCCTGGAACTGTAACTTCATATAGACGTATATATAAACGTTCTATTTCTATATGTATTTTTATTTATATATGCCTATATAAATATATATTCCAAAAGTAATGCCCGATCATATAATCGTGCAGAATCTTCACGGAATGTGTTCGACTGGAAAAATCATACACATTTCGTAATGTTTCGCTGTAGTTTTTAGATATATATATATACATATATAATTTATGCATATATTTGTTGGAAAAACGTAAGAACACAACAAATTGGACGATGGTCGCGCGTGTGACGCACACGCAGTGTGTATGGTATGTGTGTGTGTGTGTGTGTGTGTGTATGTATGTATGTGGTTTCTTTTTTTACGTCATAAACTAGAAGGAATAGAAAAGAGAATATGATGTTAGTATTAACCGCAATGGAAAATTAATGTTAACTTAATACTTATCCTTTGGTTTTTAAGTAAAGAGCACATCTTACGGGATCTATGTAACATTATCGTTCGTAAAGAAAGCGTCGGAGAGGCCGACTGAGGAGGGAGAAAGTTATTCATACATGATATTTATATCCAGAAAAAATCTAGAATAAACATGTTTATATATTATAATTGTTGTCGAGTACGTGTGTGTGTGTGTGTGTGTTTTAATATGTAAGACAATTCTTACAATTCAGATTCTTAATTTTCATATTATAACGGCGTCGGATATACGTGTATGTATGTTGTGTGAGTACCTACGTCGCTAACGCACACGATACAAGCTAGAACTCGAACCTGATTAACAATTGCCGGCAAAATGCACCATCGTATGTCTATCGTATATCCATCAAACAAGCGAAACATCTCTGATATTTCGCACGAGACACGGATCTCTGTTGGAATGCGACTTGTTATATGCAGTGATATCAACAGGGCTCGAGGGAGAATCCGACTATCGAATCATGCGTACACCAGAGATGTCTCTCGATAGGCAGAACGGTTAGCCGAGACTCGAGCCGATGTATCGGTAGCAATAATATAATAATGAAAAAGGGATTAAAGATATCGAATCGCTCGAGGGAGAAAGAAGGGCGGGACTTAGTTAAATTATGTATGTACAATATTACGGCGCAGTCGCGATTAATTCTCGTTCAGCAGACACCGAGGACAAACGTATACAATGCTTCTTCCTTGATGCATTGTAATGAAAATTCGTCGTTTCCGCGCATGAACAGGCTAACGGATTAAGCGCGACAACAGAAGGGAGACGCGCGCGCGATCAACGCACTACTTCGATCGTCTATACAGATACAGCTCTGACTACAAAATACGCTCATTAGAAGACGTCGCATCGAGAACAACACTCTCAATGTTCGAGATGAAACATTATTTGCTAAATGTTAAAAATAGATAACAAGGGCAACGTGAGAACTCGTCGAACGGGGGAGGATCAAAGACATGGAACGGTTGACATGAACGAGAAGTGGGGGGGGGGGACACAATCACATATACATTAGCCCATACATACGAAACATCTCTCTACAAATGGAAAAGAAACGAAGAAAAAAAATGAAGAGGTAATCGAGGACAATTCATTCTAAAGCCGGAGAGAACGCGAACATTTCATTGAGATATTTCATTAAATTCAACGGAGCGATTATACGACTGTGAGGAGCGCACATAAAGCGTCTTTCCGCCGATATGTGTAGCTTGGCGTGAATCGTGCATCGCGGAGATGGTCGCAAAGAAAGAAGAGACGGAGACAAAGGCCGACGCTGTCGCTTTCGCTGGCGATCGAGTTTAGATTGACGTTTCATCGAAAAAAAGTATCACAAGTGACCGTCTTCTTCTCTTCCGACCGTTACTACGTCGCACTACCAAACGTCCTGAACGAAATCCACGTGGTCGCATCACAATCATGACGCTCATGCCAACGTAGCAGGAACAAGCACCGTCCTCTTTCCCCAACAGCAAACACCGTGGTGCAGATACTATTACCTCCCCACGTCGGCTCGCCGAGGATTGGTATGACATGTCGTATCTGGGCGTTCGCACGTCCGACGAGATTCTTCTTCACGTTCATCTCTGATTGTCTTGGCAAATCTGATCGACTTGAGCTTGATCCAGCATTTTGGTTTGATTACTCGCGTCCAATGGCGGAGAGTCGTCGGTGCTCAAGCCGGCTCTGATTGGCGACGGGCTGTCGACAGGCCGGAAGGAAAAATTAGGCGAATCCGCGCCCGATAACGACTCGGGGGTGCCGACGGAGCTGATGCTTGGAAGCGGGCTCGTCAGCGTATCTATCCTGTGGCGGAAATTATGTTTTATATATATTCAGTTTATACAGGATGTCTCAGAACTTTGGGACACGGGCTCCGTAGGGACATAGAGCTAAGTGAGAGGAACAAAAATGTCCTCTACCACAATGTGAAAATCGTAATAGATTTTTAGTAATAACTGTGTAAAGTTTGGCGTTTTCCATGCCCATCGCGGCCTATAGACGCTCCGTGGCAAGCTGTATGCGTGGGGGCTGAGCGGTAACGCGGCTCGCGCTGACTGTCGTGCGGCGTCAAAGTGCCAAGTTGCCATCGCGACAGTCAGCGCGAGACACGTTATCGCTCAGCCCCTACGCACACAGCTTGCCGCGGAGCGTCTATAGTCCGCGCTGGGCGTGGAAAACGCCTAACCTTGCGCTGTTATTACTAAAAAAACTATTACGATTTTCACATTATGGTACAGGACTCTTTTGTTCCTCTCACTTAGCTCTATGTCCCTACAGAGCCCGTGTCCCGAAGTTCTGAGACACCCTGTATATGCTGCTTTTATACCAAAGAAAATATTTCTATTAGTGAACGCTTAATCAAGTGGTACTACAGATCGTAATAAAATGGATCTTAAAATCGTCGAGAGAAGTTACCTGGACGTAGCCGATGTGAGTAAACCGGAAGTACGTTTCGCAGGTGGTTGTAAATGGCTGCCAGTCTCGTCCAGCTCGAATTTCCTCTTGACTGATCCCAGGCAGCTCGGCCTTATCGCAATAGGACTCAAGCTGCGTCTATATACATGTTCAGTAAATTAATATAATGTGAAAGCAAGAGAAGAGAAGAATACAAATTTTGGTACAATGCCAATCGTCGCAAAGAATCTAAATTTTCAGAGAAAATGAGAATCTGGAGTAAGTTATACCTCGTGGCAAAAGATTTTCTCGTAGGGCTTGGACTGCTCTTCCAGTTAACCATCATATGAATGCTTGGAGAATAACACTTTTGACCAAGTCCAGATCTTGTAGGCGATGGTGAGGAACACAATGGTGAGCCAGTAATAGACAAGTTCAGACTCAGGGGGTCTAATGGCCTCTTCGTGATGGGTTTATTAAGTTGCTGTGTGGGAGACTCTGAGTCCTTGAATGACAATCCCTCAGCCTCCAGAGTCAGATCCTCCCATGACTGCGATATCTGCATGGCACTGTGAAGCTCCTTTTCGTGTGCCGCCTCCCGGCCGGCGATGTCCACTGATTCTTCCTGTCGCAATTGACTTATGCGTGGTGTCAATCTAGGAACATTACTAAAGCTCTAAAAATAAAAAGAGACAAAGGTAAAAACTCACATATGAATGAAACCCCACTTATTTCTGATTAGAAAATTACATATTGCACATGAGAAATAAACTATTTGTCATTTATCATATTTTTTATATTTTAATTAATTATTAATTTTAAGATCAATTTGAATTTACTACATCTAATCACAGGAAACATAAAACTTGTATTCATATTCATTGATATAATAGAAGAAACTCTGTGATAATAACTAATCCATATTATACAACCATACTGATGGATTGATAAGTAATAAAATATAAGATAAAGAAGAATATGATCTTACACTGGTGCTGAAGCGTCGTGTACGAGGTGGATTAGAAAATATGTTACAGGATACTGCATCCCTACAAGAAAAACATTTATATATATATATATAAAAAGAAGTTCCTTTCTGTGTCACAATTAAGTTTTACTTTTAGATTATCAAATTATTCGAGCGGGCAATGTCTCTATTATCCACTCGTAAGAATAATCAAGCTATTCTGATGATGAGCCATCCTGATGATTATCACTACAATGGCACAGTATTTACCAGGTTGTACTGCGAAGAAGTCTCAACAGAAACCCCAATCTAGTAACACATCTTCTTTCTGCATTACAGGCTATCCTCTGGAGTATAATGTACATCCTCGCATGCTGAACACGCATGCAGACAAAGTAGACAGAGTCAGTATACATACCTGGATGAGGAAGTAGACGGTGTGGACATGGCTGCGCTCATCTGGTTGATCATCGGCGCGCTGCTGGATCGTTTCAGACTGAGCATCGGACAATCAACGTCCATGATTACCGGAACGTCCCGCGACCTCGTGTCTAAGGCGTGTATGCACAACGTCCACGTGAAATAGGCACATGGGAGATCCCGTAGCGTGGATACCGCGGGAATACCTGACAACCACAAAATGCGCGACGACGTCAACGTCGCCGTCGTCGTCGTAGTCCTCGTGATCGCGTTCAATTCTACCTCCTCGTCAACGACTATTTGTCGTTCAAGTTCTCGCGAGGATCCGCCGAGCTACAACCACCACGTCGCTACTCGATCGTCACAGCCGTAGCGATCATCGGGGACCTTGTTCCCCAGGCTGACGACTATCGCAATCTACGATGAGCAAGTGAGCGGAGATAGACCTGCGGAATCGTAACCTGAGCTTCGCACTCGAGCAGCGAGCGAGGGAGCATGAGAGATCGACGCGATCAATCCGACGAGTTTTACGCAGCAGAGCTGGATGAGCAAAGCGATTCCGAAAGAGCTTGGCGGAGCGGGCGAGTCCTCGCTGCTATCGATAATACGAACATCACCAGTCAGTCCTCTGGACGCCGTGCTCGTGCAGCCAGCCGCGTGGGGGCGCGTTCAAAGTTAAACTGCATTCCCATCAGCGAATCGCCAAACGAGCGTCACAATTTGCCGCAAGTTTCGTGTTCAGTTTACAATGCTGCACGATATTTCTGCAAGAGCTTCGTTTCGTCGGGAAATGTTACACAATAGACACTCATGATTGAAGTTAATTAAAAATTGTAATTAAAGTTATATAATCGAAGTTCGATTCGATTCAAATTACATGTCTGCTCTTTGTAGCTGCATTAAAGTGCACAAGTTGCATCGTTTGTACTGAGAATGACGGAGGTTGAGACACTTGGTAAAAAAGAGAGGAAAATAGAAAAATTATCAGATATTTACAGAATGTAGCTACAAAGGGTAAATCTATGTAGATCAGTCTTTATCGCGTGTACAGAAGACGTTAATAATACTTCCGGTATTCTTGAATTAAGCGCACCGTATTGGGACACCCGTGCGCGAAAGTGTAGAAATGGTTTGAAAACTGTCTACGCTGGATGCCACGTGATTGGTCGTTCGCACCGAAATTACAAGATCATCGAACGATGCGCATTATATTTTCTGTGAATATTATATTCATATTATTCAAATTTGCACGCTACCCTTTGCTTATAATATTATTTACAGCTTGTTTTAATCGAGAGGATGCATACAACGTGCATTATCGATCCTCTCGCAACGACGAACCGCAGCAATTTCGCGGATGCAGAAAGTTTCCCGCGATCGGCGCTAATTCAAAGCCGAGTAACACAGAGCTTCGAGAACACCATCGAGGCGTTTGATACATGTCTCGATTTTTTGTAGTCAGAAATATCATCAGAATATCTCTCGAGCTCCCTCGTTGCTCGGCAAACGCGGCGATTTCGATGGAAAAATTCGCGCGGCGGGCGCCAACCGTGAGAAAGCCCCACGGCGACGAATACCGTCACTTTGTCCTGTTTACGCAGCGAGATCGCCGCGGTACGTAAGCTACGTAACATACGTACGTTTGTGCGGTCTTCCGATGTGCGAATCGCCGCGGTAGAGTCATCCTCGGGGGCGAAAAAACTTCAGATCACAAATCACGGCGAGTGGAAAGGGATCCGTTCGACCGCCCGCTGTCTCTGCTCACACGGTTCGTCCGAGAAATTCGGTCTGTCTGTATTCACGGTTCCCGGATCTCGCTGTGGCTTCTGCCACGCCAATCATCAACACACCGAGCGTGAACATAACCTCTAACCACCTAACGGCACCCAGTGAACGATGCTGCCGTTCGTCGACGCCGTGTGTCATCATGTTTCTTCCGATCACATCGGCATAGGCATTGATCGAGTGACCACGACGACGACGATGTTTCCACGGTCGTCGTGTCGGGCCTCTTGATTGTGCTGATGCACATCCGTCGTGCTAACCTCCTTTCTGACGTATTGCGAGTTGCAGTTGTACAGACTCGTTAAGCCTGAAATTTGTTGAAGAAATTTTCAATTTAAATTTACACTTGTCTCGAGGGATACGCGGAAGTTGTGTGAATACGACGACGATGGTAAAGCCACGGCTCGCGTTCACGTGACAAAAAAGAATGTTTCCTTGAAGTTAATCAACAATTATTTAATCTATACGCTTGATTGTTATTGCGCAGATTGTTAAACGCTATTTTTATAATGGACGTGAGCACTGGAGACAACGACGATGTGTCGTTCCGTCTGGGAGAGATGTTTAACAGCTACGAGGAGTTGGAGCAGAAGCTGGAGAGATTTTCGAAATGCAGCCTAGTTCACTACTGGAGGCGAGACAGCAGAACGGTCAGTGGGGCTCATATGAAGACAGCTCGGCCAATCAGTGAGAGATTGAAGTATTATTCTGTCAAATATGCATGTATCTATGGCGGTCAGAAGTTTCTGCCACGTGGTGCTGGAAGAAGACAATCCCAGTTAGTTTTAAACTTCTATATTGCACTAAATTTAATAAATTATTAATATTATTACTAATAACTACAACTAGAGTAATATTAATAATTCATTTGTAGAGATATATATTTTCCATGATGTAATATTATAATTTTGTACTTATTGATATATCACAGATCTATACGAACCAATTGTCCAGCTCATATTATGCTCAGAGCATCTAAAGATGGCACAAAGTTAGAAGTCACTAGTGTTAATAATGAGCATAATCATGAAATTTCAGAGGTATACAAATACTGGCAGTTTTATTTGATCTGCTGTTTGACATAATTATATACTATATAATATAAATATCTTACAAGACTGAACATTTTGATTTCTTATGCTATTCAATATAACACTAAATTCCTTTGCTGCATTTTATGAAATAGGAACTCTTTAAGAATCTTCCACAAGAAAGGAAGCTGTGTGGTGAAATAAAGCAAGAGGTACAAGATCTTATGCAGTTGCACATCGATCGTAAGAGACTGAAGGAGTATGTGCGGTTGCGTACCAATAAAGTACTACGATCTAAGGATTTGTTTAATTTGGCAGCAGCTAACAAGCAAAAGAGAGACATTACGCCGGAACGGGCATATCAGTTGTACAAAAAAATACACGATATCGAGAAGATGCAAGGTAGGGATAATAGTAAAAGAATATATCCTGAATCCGAGGACGAGATAGCGCAAACCATAAAAAGAATTAAAAAAGAACAAGAATCTGCCTGGGGTCAAGATGTAAGGCTCCAATTGATATACCGATTTACTTATTTGTCATATAATTGTCATAAAACTGAATTATACATTTTCAATATTTACCCTATCAGGGATTGTCAACAGAGTTGGATGCGAGCGAAGGAAACGACGGAGAGGATTCTTATGGCGATCAATTGACGCAAGAGGAAGTGGCGGCTGAGATCGATACAAACGAAGGTGAATTGCTGCGAGCGAACAACGAGGGTGATATTATCGCTGCTAACGGGGAAATAGTGGGTGAATTGGTAATGGAGGATGGCGATCCGTCAGTGATAGTCGAGTCTATCGTCAATGCGGATGGTTCTGTGTTTGTCGACGGGAGAGAATTTAACAGTTATTGCAGCAATCATCTGACGCACACAGTGGACGAGAGCCAATCGCCGAAACCGCGTGGTAAGTTTGGTGTTTTACCTCGCATATAACATTAACACTCTTATAATAATGAAAATGCCAAGATACACAGCAGGTTGCGGTATTTTTTGTTGATGTCGTCGATATATATCTCTACATATAGTTCTAGATATAAATAGTTTCTAGATATAGATATATAGTTCTAGATATAGAAACGATCGCACCTACCATTGAGAAAGTTTCGAAGGCATCATCCGTATCACCGCCGAGTGACAAGTCGCAGAACGATCCTTTGACGTTACCGCAGTCACCAAAGTCGCCTGGTGGCTTCAATGAGGCTGATTCGAGGATCTGGATTGTGAAAGAGGGCACATCCGTGGAAACAGAGCCGGAAAGTGGAGCCGAGAGCGAGACAAACACGACTCAGCCAATCTCCATGATGAAGACGAGTGCTGTGGATGATATGCCTGAGATAATGTTGTCGGACGAGGCGAGTCACCAGCTACTTCAGGAACAGCTGGCAGTGTTGCGTGCCGAGAGAGGGAAGCTGTTCCACGAGACCGAGATGCTGAAAATGAAGAAGGACAAATTAAAGTTACAGATCAATTGTTATTCGAACGAAATAAGTAAGCAGGAGATGGAAAAGGAGAAATTAAGACTTGAAATCAAGCTTCTTCAGTCCAAAGTCATGGAAGACACTAACGATGTATCGCATTACATTTTCGTGCCTTGAATTCTTCGGCTGTTTGTAAAAAAGTAATTGTAAATAATGTGTTTTATCGGCTTTAGTACTGTTGAAATTGTGTGTACATATTTGGGCGCGTACATTGGTGCGTGGGTTTGTTACAACACAGTCGGCTGCGAGATCGTTGAAGGTCTATCGTCATCGCTAGCAATAATTGAATTTCGTTATTTATATTAAATATGTGTGTTCTTATTTGTTAAATGTGATAGACGATAAATAGTAGCGAATAAGATGTTTCGCGTGTTACTTTGCTAGCCGATCACCGCTGAAGTCCTTTTTTTTAAACTAAGTTGTACCAAGTTTCGTTATCTTTCAACTGTAACGCAAGAAGCGAACATTTTTATTGCGCGCTTTTTGGTTTTGGTGTACAACACACGATTCTGTAAAAAGAAATGTAGCAGAATAACTGCATGAAAGAATACTATATATATTCCACACGAATGCTTCCTCATCGCTAGCTACAAACTATCGCAAATAAACACATTATTTTTATTATTTTACTTCTGTGTATAAATAATATTCCTAAACTGTCACAAGCTTGTTACAAAGTAGAATATCTGTTCGATATTATGAGTTAATATTAAATGAAGCAATCTATCCAATCTATTCGTCGTTTTAAAATATTTAGTTTGTTTTTCTTTCCGGAAAATTTGCACTGATACATATTGGTGGTAATAAGTTAAAATGAAACAAAATATACTTGTCTTTTACTGTAACTTATATTATTTATACAGTGTGCACCAATTTAGGAGATTCAAAGAAGAGGCATAAACTTAAGGTCTCTTTTTTTTTAGCTGAACTAACGTTGAAACTTCGCTCTTTTTATCCTCAATGCAAATTTATATACTTATTTCTCTCTAACAGTAAAAAATGCAATTCAGCAAAAAAAATAGACTTCTTTTCTATTTATAATATTGAACGGACCCTACTTACGCGGTCATATTTGAAATTGAATCTTCAGTTAAAGTTTTAATACTTCATTCTGCTGTATCGCCAATATGATAAGCCGTACATACTTCTCTCGTGTCGATTTTCGCATTTTCTCGTCACGAGTGTGAACGTAAAAAGGAATTTACGTGATGAAAGCAAAACTTTAAAATTTATTGAAAGACGAGATAGTATACTTTAATTTTGAACCCTAACGTACCGCCGCGATCCCCACCCACTATGAGTGCCACAGCTGTAATAGATGGCAGCAGAGACGCTGTCCTTGGTTCTTCGTAGAATCTTCATTCCTGCGGATCGGTCGACGCTCATCGGATCGTACTAAAATATTGTAATTTTCACGCTTATCGAATTTCTCGAACGTACGACGTCATGCTGAAGCCCTTGCTGCTTCTGTGCTGGACTGCGATATTCGTGTCAGGTAACAATTCGACTTTGCCGAGAGCATCGCGAGAAGCGGCAGCTGGTGCTTACGGAGTGTATATATACGTACACACATACACACACACACACACACACACACACACATACTCGTAAAGCGTACACCCGCTGAACGATATGAACGATTTCATGTCATTGCTGTCATCGTCGTTGATCTCACGGGTAGATCTGGGGAAACGGGGAAAAAAGCAACCCCGCGTCCGCACGATCGTCGAACTCATGTCGACGATGTTGCCCGATTTATTGGGAATTAATTGCGTTTCCGCAAGCTGAAACACCCAAAGACGCCATGATGAGGCGCGGATGGAAGCCGTTCCGCTTTTCTTTCGAACGACAATGTCGCGGAAAATTTTCGGCTTTCACGCGCGCGTCTCGCTTGGCTGCGACTGATTCAATGCGGATGATTAATGTCCAAGCGATAGATCATGCGCGAGGCACGATATTGCGTGGCAACGAATGCCGGGGACATGGATGACGAGAGAAAGAAACGCTAGACCGCACGTATCGTGTTACTTAAAATATATGATAAGGACTCTTTTCCTTGAAAAGTTCGGTGTAACATACGATTGAAGATCCGTCCTCGATGCTCCGAGCGAAATGAATTCGAAATGACTAATCTCGAACGACTATGCATACATATAAGATTGCCTTTGCCTCCATAATGTTGAAGTTCGAGTCTTTTTTTTCATATGTTGAACTTTGCTCTTCTTTGTTTAGCGGTTGACATTTCTTCTTTTATATAGAGTAACTTGACTTGATTCAAGTACGGAGAACATACAGCATTATAGAGTATATAGCGATATAGATACGGTTTTTAACGTAATTTGCAAAAATATTAAAAACACATTATGTATACTTTACAATCATTCGAGACAAAAGAGAGATATAGAGAGAAGTATTTCAATTTTGGAAACAAAACATAATGATTTTTGATAATGATATAATTTTCTTTGTCTTTAAAACTCATTAATATGTATAATAACCTTGACATTCCCACTCATGTTATCTTATATGATATGGAAATAAAATTATGCACATGTGATTTTTTTGACAGCTGGCGACCAGAAGATTAATGGTACCAGTGACACAAGTGTTCCTACTAGCTTGTCCCCAGAGAGGCTAATCACACGTCCTCAGTCATTAGATAAAGATGTGCCAATCATTTCAAACAGCGAACATGTGCCATCCATTCAAGATGAACATCTCACAAATCCTCCAAAATTATCTGAGTTGAATGCAGACTTAAAATCAAAGGCATCTGATTTGGATAAAAAATCATATGATTCTACCTCAGAACCTAGCGTAGTAACACAGGCCCCAATTACAAAGCCAACTACAAAACTAATTACTACTACAACACCACTGAATACTACTACATCGACTACAACCTCTACTACAATCATTCCTCCTAGCACCACATCAGTGCCAACAACACCGGTTCCTCCGCCAAGTACTAAAAAATGGATAGTTGAAGAAAACAACATAATGTGCATTATTGTCCAGATGGCTGCACAATTTAGCTTTAATTATACTGTCAATAATAAGGTAAGAAATTCTAAACTCAAAATATCTAGATATGTGAATAGTAATATTCGTAATAGTAATATTCATTAATATTCGTCGTGATATTGTGTTACTGTCATAATTGATAATATTATATCGAAATATGCATAGTAGTGCATTGTCACATGTTGTTATTCAAATTTGCTTTGTTCCTAGACAATCCACAAGACGATGGACATACCCAGCAGCGGCAACGGCACTGTATCGGGCATATGTGGTAAAACTGAGCAGAATCTTACAGTGTCGTGGAATGCGCAGAAAGATAATTTCACGCTGCATTTTATGAAAAATGATACGACTAAACGTTACTCTCTTCATCATTTTGAGATCTCTCTCGCTCCGGAAGAAATCCCAGCTGATAAATGGAGTACGGTCTTCTTTCATAAATAAATTTGCTCTTTGGTCTTTCTTCATGTCTTTTTCCTAGTATCTCTGACCAAATCTTCGTTTTTTTTTTTTGCAGATAAGACCATGGCACTAATACACATGACACCGCAATATGAGATCGGATTGAGCAATTCTTATAGATGTTTCAAGGAGCAAAAGTTGAACTTGTACATAGAGGACGAATGTGTGGGTTATCTGACTGTATCTAATTTGCAGCTGCAAGCCTTCAGGGGCGATAACAGTACTAGTTTTGGCTTAGGTGGGTATTCTTGCTTTCTTTTGTCCATTTAACGCTAAATGTGCCTGGTTCTTTTCCCTTTAAAACATATATGCAGTCGCGATAGTATTTATCGTACGAAATTGATTTATAATTTTCTTTCTTTTTCTTCTTTAGCCAAGGACTGTGCATTTGACACACCTGACATCGTTCCCATAACAGTAGGTTGTGCACTGGCGGGTTTGGTAGTAATTGTACTGATCGCGTACCTCGTCGGTCGTAGACGAAGCCAGGCCCGTGGTTATCTTAGCATGTAAGCTAAACGAAAGTGCGCGCGACAAGGTTTTCTTCTTTCTTTATTCTTTTTTTATCGTTAAACTCATTTTTATGCAATTTTCCATTAACGGGATTGAATTGTCTTCTTAAGAGTTTATGTAGTTGTACTTTGTGTTCTATAGCCATGAGGGCTGTGACACGTTACAAAAATATATATTATATATATATAGACATATATATAATATAGTTCGTACATTTATAAAGTTATCGCGATTGCGCGCGGCAACATTAGGAAAGAAAAAAGAAAATTATTAATACGTATATCGCGAAGTCGATACAGGGTGATAATTCCGAAGTAACGTGCTCCATTTTAGGAAGGCGATTTACTTTCTCTCTCTAATAATAAACCTCAATTCTAGTTAAGTTGTAGAGGATCTGTGTTATGTCTGCGCTGCTGCTCGATTATGATCGACAGCGAAGATTATCTGATTTTTCGATATATATATTTGACAAAACGAAGACAAGGAATATTCGTTTTGATCGATACGCGCGTAGTATAAATAAAAAAAATTAAAAAATTTAATGCCTTAGGCATTTGCTGAATTCGCAGCTTCTTGTAACAGGTACGGTGATTCATAGCGTTCCCCCCCTCCGTTTTTTGTTTTTTATTTTTCTTTATTCTTTTTAAGAAGAAGGGAACAATCGTTTCTCAGCTGTAATCAGTGCGATGCGATATGCGTATCGCTATTTACATTATACGCCGATGTGTGTTTCCTTTAATTACTTTCATAGTCGAGTCCTTATTCTTTTTTTATTTTTATTTTACTAAAAGTACCGTGAAGTAATAGCAGTCGTTTATAGCCCTAAGTGTGCGTGCGTGCATGCGTGCGTGCGTGCGTGCGTACGTCAGAAATAGTATGAAGGAGCACGAGCTTCATCCGTTAAATTTAAACTTGCGCTTCGCTCAACTCGAGCAAGCATACCGAATTAGAGATTACAAACGATACGATTCACTAAGTATAATATCGTTAGTTGACGTCAAATGTAGTGAATGGTAGCTTATAACTCCCGCATATAATAATAGTCAATATATAAATTTCAACAAGAGCCTGTCCCCATAATAGTATATGAATATTCCCTGTCTAACAGGAAATGATTAAAAAGAAAAGATAGTGAAAGTGCTATTGCTTACACACACATCACACACACATACACATACGTATATATAAAAGCACTCGTTTTTTTAACATGTATGAAATACCATTAATTTCGTGGTTTATGCTGCTGCTGTTGCTTTACCCGATCACTTTTCTTTCCCGACACTTTTATGAGATTGCGAGAGGATAAAGACGATCTGGCGATCTTGTATAAAATGTAAACAAACGGGACTTCTCTGAGTCTAAGAAATTCCGCGTTGTGCACCGTGCTGCTTCATAAGTGAATTATATCAGTGACAAGACTGAAAGAAGAGTAATGGTTGAGAAAGGGCAAAAAGTAAAGTGAAACGGAGTAAAACAAATCAATAATTAAACAAAGTGCTGTACATAAGACATAAAGTAGTACTACTTTTTGATTAAGAGCACGTATTGCGGCTGGGCGAAAAATCTGTATTATGAATAATAAAGCGGCGTATTTCAAAGATACACAGTCCAGTCAGATCTTCACATTCTTTGACATTGTTTTCACAATTTCTTCTTTATATCCTTTTTGTAGAAATCATTTCAGGCCAAACTATAACATAGCAATACAAATGATGGTATTAGCATTATCAACCAATATGTAGAATCACTTGAAAGTAACAAGTTCTCACTTGTATTCACTCCAAATTTTAAACTGCTTTATTTAGCACCCGAAGCCGCATATGATGTTACCTTACGGAGGTGTGTTCAGTATTGATCAAACAATATATTCCTAAATACGAGATAAAAGTGTTATCACGTATCATATGGTATTATCATCTTGACATATGATTAATGACAGGAGCAGATATGGCCACGTATCTCTCTGGATTGCTCTACAGGTAAAATCATTCTAAATTGTCTATTCCTTTTTCTATATTTTATTTCTTTCCTCGTATTTTCACTTTTACTTCTTTCGGTTATATATTCATTTCATTTTGATTACAAAGGACATGACAAAATGTAGCTGCAAAATTTTCTTATCCTTGAAATAAACTAGACATACATTCAAATTTGAAGAACAAAGTGTAGAAAGTGTAACTGAAACGAACAGTTCCAATGGTATGACAGGTATGACGCGCACGGTTGTAAGATGTAAACAGAACGACATGTAAATCGTTCTGATGAGAATTATCGAAGGGTAAATTGAGATGTACACGTTGCTACACGGTCTTTATAAATATTTAGTGCAAAAGGACGAGTATTTTATATTGATATTAGGACTCGACAATGCGGGGAAGACGGTAAGAAATGTATTACATATGTTATTTCGAGGTTATGACACGTAATCGTGATTAACCATGACTCGTTCGTAGACTTACTTGGAAGCGGCGAAGACAAAATTCACGAAGAACTACAAAGGGATGAATCCCAGCAAAATTACAACGACTGTAGGCTTGAATATTGGCAAAATCGACATCGCCGGTGTTTCTTTTAATTTCTGGGATCTCGGTGGCCAAGAGGAACTTCAATCCTTGTGGGATAAAGTAATTAATCAAGCTAATATATTACCGTATATTTCTTCTCTTATATATTTCACTTTTTTGTTATAAATTTCTTGCTATTTTACTTGTAGAAGATAATTCAATATTTTTTTGTAATTGCAGTATTATGCAGAATCTCATGCTGTGATTTACATTGTTGATTCATCTGACCGTGATAGAATACCAGATTCCAAAGAAACTTTTGGTAAAATGCATCCTTTAAGATATTTGATTAATTTGGATAATAATCTTCTACTAGAAACTATGTTTCTAGTATATGAAACACTTCTTAGCCAGATCTTCTCATAAACTTTTAAAGATACCACTTCTAAAAATCTAAAATATATCAAACTTGACTGTTTATTTTAGATAAAGTGATATCATCTGAGCACTTAACAGGTGTACCTTTATTGGTACTGGCAAACAAGCAGGATGTACCTGATTGCATGGGTGTCAGGGAAGTAAAGCCAATATTCAATCAAAGTGCGCACTTAATTGGTAGAAGAGATTGCATGGTGATGCCTGTGTCAGCTCTTAATGGGTAAGTGAAGCTAATATTTCATAAATTCATTTAATAAATTGACAAAAATAAAACATTTAACTCACCTTTTATACTTATCATGAGAAGTAATAAATTGTTCATTTTGTGAAAGTGATGGTGTAGATGAAGGTATACACTGGTTGGTAGATTGTGTCAAAAGGAACAATGATGTACGACCACCTCGCAATCAGAACGACAATTGCTTATCTTAATCACAGAACATTCCTGTTGTATGATAATTCGTGTAAAATGAGACATCACAATACCATTGCATTGTACATATTTATATTGCATGTATGTGTACCACATTTTCATAAATAAACAAATTTTTCCTAGTACACATGCATATTATCTAACTATTTTTATGATGTTTAGAAAGCTATCTACCTTGTATTTTATTTATATTTGTAATTAATATTGTAAACATATACATATATATATATATAATTTGTAATTTTTCATAGTATTATTTATATCAATTTATATTATTTTATAATACAGTTAATGTTATAAAATATGTAAAACTATCAAATTAGTATCTTTGATACTAAATATGTGTGAGTATATGTTTGATATCAAGGTAGTCAGAGAGATAAGAGATAATTTACCCACACCTTATCCCGTGCTCTATTATGTTAGTGATAAAAAGCCTACAAGACTGATCGCACAACTGCGTGATATATAGGTTGTGATTTTAGTGCTGTACACGTCTGTTGGTGTTGCGAACTCTTTATTTATTTAATAGTATTGTACCATGTGGCCTTATTACGAAACCGACGACTGGAGTGTCTTGCCAGCGGAACTCAACAGAAGGTGATTTATTAAACTTATACTATAGAGAAATAGGTTATATCACTATAAAGAGAGCACATCACAAGCCCAGTGTTTAATAACTGCTTTTTTCAAGGCCAACATTATACGAAGTAATATTGTAAGAGACATTGAATGATGCTCAACTATCTTAAAATGCTAAATATAACTAACTTTCGGTTGTTTATATCATACAAAAATAGTATGCCAGTAGTCACACTTTAAAATAATGTGGAATATAAGGGAATGATATATAAATTCTTATTCTTACTCTTGCTAAGTTGCTTTAATTAAAATTAGCTTTAAGAGTTGCTTAAATAAAAATTAGCTCACGTAAATATGTATCTGGAAGAAACAATACAACATCATGATGTTATCAATCGTGCAATGACACTTGCAAGAAAAACGCAAGCTTTTTTTGCTTGCTTGATTCAACAAATGAAACCTTATCTCGAGGACGAAGAAGCTGCTTCTGTCTTTCACAGGTTAAGAATTAAAATTATGATTCCGGCCTATCCCTATTTCTCTATACTAATTTACACCTGCTTACATCCATGTGCTTCGAAAATTCTGATTCTCAAGATCAGACAAGTTCGTATGCTTCTTAGCAGTCAAGCGAAAATAGTCTCTATGTACATTCGCGAACATAGAGACGCAATTATCGACTGCTCTTGTCTTAGCATCGGAGACGCGAAGAATCGACCCCGTCGAAATCACACGTCAGATTCGCCGTGCTTTCGACGGTCGCGCGAGTTATCCGAATTTCGCGCCTGTGCAATGGTGTCATATCCGCGACACCCTTTACACGTCGCGCTTATATGCTACGCGTAATGATTCTCGCGCGTTCACCTTCTTCCGCGGCCATCGCGCCTAGTTTTCGCGTGCCTCGTTGAATATAGGCGCGAGGTTATAATTCGAGCGTGCAGAAGATTCACGCTTGCCATTAGCATAGTCGAGTCGAAAAATCAACGAGAGATCAAACGTGGCCTCTCCTCTCACGCCGTTGCCCCCCTCCCCCCATGGAAAGACCCTGACGACGTCAGCGACGACGTCGACGACGGCAACGGCCATCTTTGAGTCTGCTGTCGCGCACCTATACGTGAAATTCCGCGCGGCGGACTGTCGTCGCGACAGCAGACAGACAGACAGAGAGATAGGAGGGAGAAAGAGGGAGAGTGAAAGAGAAAGAGAGAGTGAAAGTTTAAGGAAGAGAGATAGAACGTGGCTGCCGTGGGTAAGAGAGAGAGAAGGAGAAAAGGCGAGAGAAAAGAGAACGGTGCACGTCGTTAGGCGGCTCGACTATCGCGCGGGCGGGCTGCCAGCAGCAGAGCTAGTGTGCAGTGTGTGTGTGGTCTGTGGTCGACGACCGTGAATAGGGACTTCTTACAGTGGCTATGTTCATGGGGTTCACGGTGCGGATCAGCGACTAGCCTCCGCCTTCACGGGATCCGACGACGTCGCACGGTGTTAACGTACGTACCCACGTTGTCTCGTCGTCATCGGCGCAATCGTCAGCGTATAGTCGCGCCCGCCGAGATGATCTCTCGGATCTCGCACAGCTCGAGTATATACGAAATGTACCGGTGGCGCGTTTCCGAGTACCGAGTACCTCGAGTACACGTATATACAGAATGGCATCGCGGAGGCAGAAGCGTGAGGGGGCGCACGGCTCGCGACTGTCGCGAACGGCGAAACCACCGTCACCAACACGGTGAAATCGACTTTGGGAAAAGCGACGACTTCGCTCTGGTCGGCTCGGCAGGCCGGGTCATCGCCGTCGTGTTCTGTCCGTTCCCGTGGCACGTTCGTAACGGCCTACGGCCGTAATGTAAACACAGAAGGGAGGAGGACCAGAGCGCACGTTCCAACGTGGTGTGCACGAACTCGCGACATTGTCACGCCGGTCCCACAGCGAGCGAGCATTACTCCTCTTCGTCGCGTTCATTCCTGTCACGGACGTGCACTTTGCGCGCTCCTCGCATACGTTGGCCAGTGCGTGACGCAAGAAGTCAATCCTTTTGGCGAAACTCGGATCGTCGCGGATCCGCGGCGATCTTCACGACGATACTCCGCGCCGAACGCGGAGTTACGTTTGACAGCTGCGGCCTAACCCTTGATATCTTTGGTGTTCTTCGGTGCTGCAAACGATTCCTTTATGTAAGCGCCGTCGCTGATGTTTTGCAATATGCTGCTGCCGCGGGCGAGTCGCGCACGACGACGTTTCAGCATGTGAAATTATCGCTAGTTGTTAATATCATTATCGCGCTCTCGCTCGTTCGCTCGCTCTCTCTCTCTCTCTCTCTCTCTCTCTCTCTCTCGTACTCGATGCGATCGCCGATGCACCGCGAGTCCGGTACGTCCTTCACGCTCTTGCCGCGGAACGCGAATAACATGTGTCACGGCGATACATAATGCATTTTTGTTGCGCTGTATGTACGTGCTTCGCGCGATGAAGTCGCGTACCAGTACCCTATTTCACAAAGTGTTCTTGGAGCTTTGGTCCTCGTATTCGTCCTTCGTGTTCTTCCTTCTACGACTGTGAAACTGTGCGCAACGCGAGGCATAGTTACAAGTTGCTACCGTATAATTTCATGGGCTATTTAAATTTATGAGCCTTCAATAATTAGGGTGTTACTCAACACTTGTGTTGGCTTAATCTTGACCAGACCGTGACAGATATTTTCCTTCTTGAAAGGAAATTGTAAATTTGGTCCTACAGGTCTAATCAGAATTTAATTGCACATGCACATACACATGTGAGATACATGGTAAGAGAAAGAAAAACTGCAAGGTTACTTTGTGAAGTAGGGCGTAGCATTGAATATCTACCCAAAGTTTACATATAGAATATAAACTATAAGTTCGTCACATTGTTGGCAAGAGATACTAATTTTCTCCGTGATATATATGTTTGAAGATTAAATAATCTATAATCCATTAACATTATATGACTTTTACAATATTGTCATTGTCTTGTGTGTCCATTAGGAGGATAGCAGAATTCGTGTTTTGTACTCGTCTGTGTTTGGTTTTCATTGTGAAGCTTGTGGCATAGATTCAAAACTCAAGTTGAGAAACGATGAATGCCTCAGAACATGGGTAATGCATAATTATATGATTTCATGCACGTATGTAGATTAATAATGTTGAGTTGACATGGACAGAGATGACAATGAGAGAAATATCAATTGTAGTCATCTTCATCTCTGATATTTCCAATATCATACTTATCAATTTCAAAATCTGTATGTTTTATTTCCTAACAATGGACAGATGAAGCTTATACCTTGTGAGAGGTACAACTCTTATTTCATTTTTGTACCGCATATCTTAAGATAGATACAAAATATATCAAATTTTCTACAGAGTTGAGCCATTGAATACAAGTGTCATTGCATGACAAAACATACCCTATGAGACAGGAGTGTTTTATGCTTATAAACTAGCATGGGTGTGACTTTTTCAGGTTTAACCCAGCCTTTAACATGGCCTCCATAAAGCAAGCTTTCAATGAGGCTGTAGAGAGAGGTAGGTGTATTTGACGCAATGGATTCACAATGACCACAATAGCTAATCCTTGGAACATCTGATTCTGTTTGTTTGCTACCTGCATCTTTGTTTGCTTTCATATCCGAAGAGTAATCGAATCAAATTATTTTGGAGATAAATAAATCAGATAAATTTCTACAAAAAAAAAAAGAAGATTGCGAGTGATAATAGGAGCAAACTATAAAATTTGCAAACAGAATCAGTGGTTATTAAGCATAATGTCAATTAGTACTGATGACTTTTTCACACTTTGAAAGTCTCAACAGTTAGGATGCCTGCGCCTACACGGTTGAGGGATCTGATTAGACAAATACGAGCTGCGCGAACAGCAGCAGAAGAAAGAACAGTCGTTAACAAGGAGTGCGCGTACATTCGCTCGACGTTTAGAGAAGAAGATAGCGTATGGAGATGTCGTAACATCGCAAAGCTACTGTATATCCACATGCTGGGGTTTGTACTAAGATATAAATGTTCGATATAAGTATTCGATATCACGATTCGTAATATTTTGTTATTAAAATGATCGTATCGATAATGTTACAGATATCCAGCACATTTTGGCCAATTGGAATGCTTAAAACTCATCGCTTCGCCGAGATTCACAGACAAACGAATCGGTTATCTGGGGGCTATGTTATTGCTGGATGAACGGCAGGATGTACATCTCCTGATCACGAATTGTTTAAAAAAGTAATAACGCTCTACCTCTCTTGCTCCCAAGCGCATACATACGCAAAGAGGATTAATCGTTCTCCTTTGGTCGCAGTGACTTAAACAGTTCTACGCAATTTGTCATCGGTTTGGCGCTGTGCACTCTGGGTGCGATCGCGTCTCCGGAAATGGCGAGGGACCTGGCGGCCGAGGTCGAGAGATTGATGAAGTCGCCGAACGCATACATACGGAAGAAAGCGGCGCTCTGCGCCTTTCGGATCATCAGGCGTGTGCCGGAGCTGATGGAGATGTTTCTGCCGGCGACTCGCAGCTTAATCACCGAGAAGAATCACGGGGTCCTTATCACCGGCGTCACCCTCATCACAGAGATGTGCGAGAACAGCATCGACACGTTAAATCACTTCAAAAAGGTACAATTTCGATAGAGACTGTATTTCCTCCTCGTACGTGAGTTCTAGTGCAGGTTTACCGTAGGAATACGAGATTCGATGTCGTAAATCTGCCCGGCGATCGAGTCATAGCGTTGCATCATGTAATTCATCATAATGGTGTATATAATTAGATCCTAGTATTGTCGATATCGCGCGCGAAGTTAGTACAGTAGTACGGAAAGCCGCAGAAAAATGTATCTAGTGCGTATCGGTAGTGCAGCTACCTGTTTGACCTGGAATCGTTCGTCATAGGCGATGAAGTGGTACGTTCTCGCGCGTATAGCATATGGAAAAGAATGCAGTCTTGTCTCTTATACGAGCACAGATACGTCAAAATGGTGTCCGGCGAGAATACTTTATCGGTGTTATATTTTAATACGCGTTGCAGGATTGTTCCGGGAAATTTCCCGTAAAGCATTTCTGAGGAAAATTCCCGCTAACGTAGCATCGTGATTCCAAACACGTCCCCTCATTTTTATTCTTCATACACGCTTCTTTTTGCTCGAACAGCTTCGTTTAATGTAAACGTGCGCGAGTCCTCCTTTCCTGCTTCCCTTTAACATTGGAAGAAACATCGTCTGATTATGCAAGGCAATATCTCTCTCTCTCTCTCTCTCTCGCGAAACTTAATGCAAAATCTAATTCCGTTAAATTTATTGCTCGAACATATGCGTAATATAAGCGTTGGTTTTGTCTTTCTTAGGAATGCGGCCATCGTGAGGTAATATGCATATAAACGTATTCTCTGTATCTTTGCATGTACGCTTGTGTTACACAGACTTCATTCTTTTCTTTTATCTTGTCTAAAGCGAATTGCTCGAATTGCCAAAACGTGAAATTGACATCGCCTGCTTCGCTATGTTCTTTTTCCTTTCTCAATAGCTGCAAAGGTGCCGATCCGTTTACGTTTGTATCAGTTAACGTTGTAGGTATATCATTAATCATTCTAGCTTATTGTCACACGTGTGAATTCTTCGGTCCGTGAACATACGCCAAGTTACGCCTGGAAATATTATTATAAACGTAATTATAATATTCGTAATTGGCATGATTACATCTCTCGTACAGCTGCATGTTTATCTCGGCTTATTCGTGCGTAGAGATCTTTTTTATCATACATGCAGCCAAGCAGCTCACAACAATCGATATCTAAGATTAAAACAATCATTTCCAAGAAATTTACTTTTGATTGACTTGAGACTCGGACTTCTCGGAAATTATTCGAGTGAATCATGCGCCTACATTGTTATTATACTTCTATTGTATTACAATCACGCTTAATACATGAATTGTTATATTTGGTTAGTCAGAAGTTCGGTTTAAATGTTTATCCTCTTTTATACACAAATATTACTAATACTCAGATTACTTAATAGACAAATAATTTGATTGAGATTTGATTGATGATAATAGGTGATTAATTTGATTGACACTGCAATAAAGTGAAATTTGATTGGAAAATCGAAGCAGACCTCCTGACTAATCCGATATCTTATTACATTTTAATATATGTTACATATGAAAGTTTTATATGTATGTGATTCCACAAATGGCTTGTTCTGTCGATTGCTAATTATGTATTTAAAGTTGATACGTTCGAGTTAAGTGGAACACGCGATAGCGTCTTCGGAATAAAATGGTCATGGAGAAGAGTCTCGTTGCAGATTGTGCCAAATCTCGTAAGAATCTTGAAGAATCTGATCCTAGCTGGATACTCGCCCGAGCACGACGTGTCCGGAGTATCCGATCCGTTTCTTCAAGTAAAGATACTACGTCTGCTGCGCATCCTGGGACGCAACGATGTCGATGCATCCGAGGCCATGAACGACATTCTCGCTCAAGTCGCGACCAACACGGAAACCAGCAAAAACGTCGGCAACACGATACTTTACGAGACGGTTCTATCAATCATGGACATCAAGTCGGAGAGCGGACTCCGGGTTTTAGCGGTCAACATACTGGGCAGATTTTTATTGAATAACGACAAGAATATCAGATATGTGGCCTTGAATACGTTGCTGAAGACGGTTTACGTGGATACGAGCGCGGTGCAGAGACATCGATCGACAATTCTGGTGAGATATCTATCCATAGATTTATTTTTACTTGAGAAATAAAAGTTGACATCTTGAAAGCAATGGCTCTTTTATTCTTACTAATTGTGTACAGTTAAAGATTAATGTCTCTTTATGTACACTAATGTATTTCAGGAGTGTTTAAAAGATCCGGACGTATCGATCAGAAGGCGCGCGATGGAGCTGAGTTTTGCGTTGGTGAATTTCAGTAACATCAGAAACATGATGAAAGAATTACTTTTGTTCTTGGAACGGGCGGACCCGGAATTTAAGGCTCAATGCAGCAGCAATATCGTAATGTCTGCGGAAAGATTTGCACCGAATAAGCGTTGGCATCTCGAGACATTGTTCAAAGTGCTCGTTGCGGTATGTATTTATACAATATTACATATTACAGAATACGACAGTGGGAGTTACGATTATTGAGATATCCGATTCGCACTTCAGGCTGGTAATTACGTGCGAGATGACGTGGTGGCGTGCACGATACAGTTGATCTCGGAGACGCAGATTCAACAGAGTTATGCCGCGAGCGCGTTATGGCGAGCATTGGAGAAGGACACGTCCGACAAGCAACCGTTGGCGCAAGTTGCCACATGGTGCATCGGCGAGTATGGCGATATGTTACTGTATGGCCCGCCGTCAGAGGATGCCGAAACTCCAGTCAACGTAAGTTTAGCTGTAACAATAGTAATGTATTTGGCCATAATTTTTACCGAAATTTTAGAAAAATAAGAAAAAAACTCTCAATTACATTTTCAGATCACATTTCTTTCGTGAATCATAGTCAAATTTTATTTCAATTTTAATTTAATAATGATACTTTAAACTCTTATCGTAGCTGACGGAGGACGAAATAATCGATGTTTATCAAAGGCTGCTCTGGAATCCGCAGAATACTGTGGTCACGAAACAGTACACCTTGCTGTCCCTTACGAAATTGAGCACGAGGTTCCAGAAAGGTCACGAGTCAGTATCGCTTCCGGTCGTCCGCGATTATCTTAAGAAATCCGCTTTCACACTGCGACGCCATGCTCTGTAATCACGTAATACTCTGTTATTACAGGAAAATTCGCCAGATCATAGATACGTTTGGTAGCAATTTGCATATCGAATTACAGCAGAGAGGTATCGAGTTCTCGCAGTTGTTCCGGAAGTATGATCACTTGCGACCTGCGTTACTTGAGAGAATGCCGCCGATGGAAACCGCACGACCGCAGGCTAACGGTATCATAGGCATGGTGAACGGCGAGCCGGAACCGGAAGATGAAAAGTCTACGATAATCGAACCAGCTGCGACTACATCCGATTCGGTAAGTAATATTGCGTTGGATCCTTTTTCCTTTCCTATGTAATTATATGGCGCACACACATTTTTTACCTTTGATATATCTTAGTGATATTGATTAGATCAAATGATTAATTCTCAGTTTTACCTTTGACTTTAAACTCTACTTTTATTTATTCTTCATGCATCTTTCATTCACATACATACATACACCTTTTTCACTTTGAGAAATAATAAAATACTGCATTGAACGGATACTTTATTTTATTTGATTTTGCAGAGTGCACTTTTAGACTTACTTGGAACTACGGATGTGGGAGCGACGATGCCGGCGACAACAAGTAAAAACCCTTCCCCAAGCTCGACCGCGGCGACGCATAATAACGACCTGTTGGACTTGCTCGGAAGTTTGGATTTAAATACGCCCACGCCTGCACCTACGCTACCATCACAGCCACAGGCATCTACTCCAGTATTTAGTCCTACTATCACCAGCAACAGCAGCTTCCTGGTGGATGGATTGCTCAGCACCCCTTCGGTTCAAAACGGTTCGGTGTTTCTGAAACACAATAAAAATATCTTGGATTTGCTTATTATGTACATTATTTTCACGATAAATTTGTAATTGCAGATACACCAAGCATGGTTGTCTTGGACAAATCGGGACTCAAAATAACGTTCAAATTAGAAAGACCGCCCGATATCCCTGATCTATTAATCATAAATATGTTGGCTCAAAACTCCGGAAGCACCATTTTAACCGATTTTCTCTTTCAAGCAGCAGTTCCTAGGGTTAGACGCGAATTATGTATATTTAAAGATCCCGTAACACTATATATTCACTGTACATCTAATTTACAAACGTTTATCCACTTGCAGACATTCCAACTACAAATGTTATCGCCGTCGAGTACCGTCATTCCGCCATCTGGTCAAGTAACTCAAGTGCTAAGAGTCACAAATATGAACAGAGTCAGTCGCAAATATCCATACGTCTATTGATATAACATCGAAACTTGAAACTGAGGGGTTCTAAATCATCTGTGTCTTTTTCTTTACAGGCACAATTACGAATGAGACTACGTATATCGTATACAGGCCCAGCTGGGCCAGTTTTGGAGCAAACGGAAGTGAATAACTTTCCTCTTTCGACATCGCAGTGACAAGATATAATACAAAAAACATTTGTACATATGCCTGCCTAAACTAATTAACTGAATCTAAAGACAGACTGAGAGAAAAAAAGAAAAGAAACACGCAATGTCGTCTCTTCGTCGTGAGGAAACAGTGAAACATACTTGGCAAATGGATATATCTCTAACAACACAAACGTTTTTAATTAATTAATTAAGCAACTGAACCCTTGCATATACGGCGTGGATGAGGCGTGATTTAAACTTTGCGAGGATCTCTGAGCTCGAGACGGGACGGCGAAATGCGCGATTTAATTTTCTCATTCGAATGTCGCGTGTGAATAATTCGCGATATTCACAAGAATGAATTTCGCAAAAAGGTATCAATTAATTCTCTCGGCGCGCGTGTGTATGTGAAAGCTGTCACGAATCTGTGTGTGTATGCGCGGACGTGTACGCCTCGGAGTTTTTCGTGAGTTGGTTCGCGTGTCATTTCCCTCATTATTGTTTTCACATAACTTTATCGCGCGGGAGAAGAAGGAGAGGATCAGTAAGTGCTTCTCATACATTATATGTCGCCTGTGTGTGAGAGAATGCAAAGAGCAAGAGAGAAAGAGAGGAAAAAGATGTATTTTTTCTAAACTAAAACACGCGGAGCCGTTAAGGAAATATTGTACTCGATCGCATTCCCGTCGTTTTACGGCTACTAAATTAGCGCGTAATTTCTCACGTAGGCTAAAGAAATGAGATAGGAAACAGAAATGTAGAAAACAAATAAGAGAAGACAAGCAGAGATATACACATGCATATACACATACACATACACAACGCATGCCACTTGAGAGAAACACCGGTTCAGAAAGGAAAGAGTTCCGTCACCGAAAGTGCTGTCGCGCTGCCCCTGTTATCGACGAGAAGGAGCTTAACTCTCGCTGTAACAAATCGATCTTTTTCTACTACACGTGTTTGTAAGTAAGACACCAGATGACGCGGTATCGTCCTGTAAATAATTATTAGATAATCGCAATGTGAAGTGTGAGAAAATTCTTACGAGGGATAAAAACGAACAGAAATGCGAAACGCGGATTCTTTTTAATATGTGTACATGCAATAGAAAGACTTTAATTCAATAACAAATAACGAGTTATATTACCTAAGTTTTCGTCCTCGGTAGATATTTTTCTTTTTTAAAGGGGGAATACACAATACCTACGCTACTCACACGCTCCATATACACACACACACACACACACACACACACACACACATCACACATATACAGACGCCTACGATGCATGAGTGTGTTATGTGCGTAGCGATTCACACAGTTTCGAACGTATTCGGAGTACAGAGTAACATTGGAGGGCTGAATTCTGATTGTCATGTTATCTGTATCGCGCGTATGTATGTATGTATGTCGATTTATCGCACCTGTGAGTATTATTATCGCAAGCGATTATCCGTTATGTCATGTTTCTCAAAGCTGCAAGTCGGAACAATTGCACGCGCGAGAAAGATACAATCGTATTCAGTATTCTCTTTTTGCTCGATTGTATATTTTTACTAAGTTAATTCTAACAAAGATCACACGAGATAACACGAGCGGACAATTAGATGCCATAATACACTGACGTAAATATCTTTGGTTGAAAAATTGTAACGCGAAACGGGAGAACAAAATTCGACGTTTTAAGATTGATTTTATTCGCAAACTGTGGCCAAATTTGTACAGACATAAAAAACGTATAAAGTTAAGGAACAATTATACATGCGTTGAAACCAGAAAACAGTCGGCTCTACTTTTTAAGTTATCCCGTGTTCAAACTGAGAATATTTTTAAGTTGTGCGCCAAACACCAACATCAAATTGATAATGAAATAATTTCGGTATACACGTCCGTTTTCATTGTCTAATCTTAGAATTCTCAATTTATCGCTCGATTCAAGTCGCATTCGCAATGTCGGGTGTCGCTGTGAGTGATGTTGCTTGTATGTGTATATATGTCCAGCAGAAAAGAGAAATGTATGGATATAACTCGCTCATATTTAATATCGTGTTCATATGATTATATATATATATATATATGTATACTTTATCGAATTTCTACGCGAGAGCGTCCGTGACGAGGGACAAATGTGAGTTCTACATATAGGTATACAGATTAGAAAGAATAGTATACCGGGAGTAATAGTTGGCGAACCGTTTCCAGATATCTATTTTCTCTAGATTTTCCTACGAATTAGGTTAAAAAATGGAACACGCTGATTGTACTTAATTATTTAATTCGCTCCGCGATGTGACACCATTATAGCGAGTATACTAGTAAATGTAGATGTGTGTATATATATATATATATATACACACACACACACACATATAGATACTTCATTTTAAGAGCGCCGATCTGGCACCTTTTCCTCAATTCATATATCATACGTTTACTTTTGATTTTTTAAACGGAAAATTTTCTATAAAGTCTTCTCGAAGGTTTGCGATTAGGTTTACGATTGAGTATACAACTTTACGCATTTTAGCTCCGTCCCTAAATACGTTGTTGTACGAGATGCGAGAGTAAGAGAAAGAATGTGAGATGTAGGAGTTATATTAATTAGAACAGGTGGGTGCGTTTCTGAGTGGCCTTGTCCTAAAGTCTGTGACACAGCGCGTCAGCCCTTCAGTGGGGGTTTGCTCTGCCTACTTGTTCTGAATATTATATATTAGTTTTATAAACATACCTATATATATATATATATATGTGTATATGATGTGTATATATATATATATATATACACACATACATATATAAATATATATATATATATACATACACGAGGATATTGATTAATGATAAAAGTGCTGTATATATACTTTCTAGCGAATCGAGGTGTGAAAATAAAATGTATTTTTATTCCATTACGTTTTCAGAGTTCGCCGTTCGCGTATGCTATTTGTGTTCTACTAAAATCATAGGAACTGTGGAACGCTGTCTGAATTAGATTATGCAATAATCACAATTATCGATATTTTATCCGTTTTTATTTCTCGATCTTAAAAATTTCAAGACGATCTGTGATGAGACAAGCGATCTTGGTCGAACGTCTTGCGAAGTAAAGAGTAGCAGTAACCAAAAAATTAGTTTTACAAGATACATGATGATTTTAATTACAAACACAATTTTCGTACTTGAAATATCGTCATTGCGCATTTCACAAAATCTCATTACTTCTGTTGAGGATCGCTCATATTGCCGCCAACGTGATTGAACAGTCTGTCCTTGATTATTTGCGCCATTAAACCGTGAATAACTTCGATAGTAGTCTTACAGCTGTCTCTGGTTGCCTTTATGAGCTTCTCCACTGTGCTACGATCATGGGGATCTGTGCCACCCAGGACAAATCCTCTTCCTAACGCTACTTCAGACTGTTCTAACTTGTCCGACAGATCGAAAATCTGCCCTGTGGTGTAATCCGCGTTTGTTAACAAGCTGGAGGAGCTCAAGGTATTCACCCAATACTTATTCCACAATGAGTCGAGCAGTCGTCTGTCCAACGAAGATTTGAAATAGGATACCTCCAGAGAATAGTATTGTTTGCAATGAACACCGAAATCTTCGATTTTGTTCAGGGGTATCGTTTGGTATTCCGACGGCTCCTCATTTGCTGGTTTATATCCCTGGAAATAATAATTAATACATTGCAATAATTCGGTACTAATTGTATCTCGGACAAAGAATATTAAAAATCGCATCAATAAACTGTGCGCCGATTATTTTATCGATACGATCTTTCAATTTCACGAAAAAAGTTGTTAAAATTTCAAAAAGAAACGTTATTTCTATCGGATCAAAGGATTTTGTTCAAAGAATATTGTAACATACCTTAGGGTAGGTTCTGAATGCACCTAGGCAAACTTTGCCAGCAGATATGGTTCTCACAGGGTCAATGACGATCGCGACAAACGGTTCTTGGAAGTTTTGATTGAGCATCTGAGTTGATACATCAATCCCGGATAACCAGCATCCATATCCAGGATGACTATGATACCAACCAATTGCATTTTCTTGTCTACCAACCTGAAAAATGAAACAGATTATAACTGATTATTTCCATATTCCAGCAAGATATTCTTTGTTGCAAAGATGTACTATATATACCTGTTTAGCTGCTTCAATGTAAGCAGTCATATATTCGTAAGCTTGAGCTTGAGCGTTTACTCTAGTTTCTGTTCCTTCAACTGGCAAGGCAAAAGAATCCATCACAATCATTGTATTTGCTGTTACTTTACCAAGCAAAAGACCCATCACCTCCAGTGTCCCACCGGATCGTGCATGCATGACCATTTTTAGTAAAGCTAGCGCGGATATTTTGATATCTTTGAAGAAATGTGGGCTGAAAATGAAATATATTAAGATAGAGTCTATATTTGTCAACTTTTCTATTTCTAAATCACTAGTGTCTTACTCTTTCTCCCATGGTTTGGCAGTTAATATATCCTGTTGTTCTTTCCTGTCGTATCTGTAAATCTCGTCAATTGTGCTGATGGTCTCGATGTTATTCGCCAGTTCCCATGTCTTCTGTGCGATGGTATTCTGGTCCGAAGACGTGCTAGCCATACTTTTAAATAAATCAACATTATCAGATCCACTGGTCATTTCGATCGATAATGGTTCATTTGTGTTATCTTTTCTTTCAACCGTTAAATCACTAGGGTCCATTTCTTCTACTAACAAGCTATTATTATTATCCATCGAGAGATGTACATTATTATAATCCATCTCTGACAAGCGACAACAAATGATACAAGTAAACTGAGTAATGATAAAAATCCAATCTATCGTAATGTCAAGAGGTGACTTGTGTGCTTGCTGTTGTGTGTAGCGTGACTATATATAATGTAGGCATATATATATTATATATATACAGGAATTGGATCAGTGCGGCAGAGGTGATTTTAGCGAGTGTAAATAAGCGCAGATTGTTACGTGTTGTGCTACTCGGTTTGCTAAAAATATGTTAGAAAACAATACGTTCCCAGGCAAACATAAATCTCCTCATATCATGTGAGAGGTTAAGATCATCGAAGGGCATCAAATTTGTCAACAACACTGCTCAATGTAATTATGGCAAAGTGCGTATACTAACTGGACGTTAGTCACTCGTATTTCTTTAAAATACAATCGCGAATCACGGCTCTGCCGATCACACACACATAGCTTTGACAAAGCGTTCAGAATGCTATCACACGTCCGTTGCTTTTCTGTCAGTTAACTATGCGCTTGCAGCCAGAAAGTGGTTAGAAGCGTAGTATATATGTATCTACGCTCTCTCTCTCTCTCTCTGCCTCTCTCTCTCTCTCTCTCTCTCTCAATCTTATTATACTATATTTATATATATGGCTTATACGATATATCGATATATTTCTCGAGTTATCGATTCTCTCGACACTCTATATCGTTACCGTTTATTACAAAACTATCGACGTAATTCGAATTATTCGCAGTAGACTTGATACGCGATTTCCCCTCTTTTGTCCACAAACATTTAATGTAATGATTATCGCGGTGACTGATCTATCGAGTTTTCCGTTGATGCCTTTCGATTACAGAGTAGTTGCGAAGGTATACGGACGGCAAGAGAACGAACTCGATATCAGACGGAAGGTTGAAGGAAGACGACATGGCAACTGGAAGGCCGAATGCGTCCGAAGCTAGCACATGCACGAACACGTACGAGTTTCGAAATGTCGAAGGGTCGGGATGTCACAGGTATAGCGGGAGTTGTCAAAGAGTTGGGCTGACGCGCTGAAGATGTCAGGGCTGGAGAGTCGGGGCGCTTGATTGTACCTCGGCCACTCGAGCCAGTCGAGCTCGCGCACGGCCCTGCCGATCACCGTGGTGACGGCGTGTCCAAGCTGAGAGCGTCCGGCTTACAACGCCCGTGGTGACGAGCGCACTCGCATGCGATCCAAATAGTCGCCGTGTCATATTAATAAAGCGCGTGTGCAATGGGACGGGCGTTCGTCTGTTTTCGCTACTTTCTGATGTTCGGCGCGGTCGTTCTCGGAGTAAGTTTTGACACGCTCTCGTGATGATCGTCATCAGCGCGTGATTAGAGAGAGGTGCGCCGGTGATATGCGACACGATGATCCTCGTGAGGGAGGACGCAACAACACACACAGCGAACGATGACACCGGGTTGAAAGAGTTTCGGAAATGGTGGCTCACGTCGCAGGTGTCGTTGCACCGCGGCATTCGATCGAGATCTAGCCCGTGGGCTATTAATAGAGGTCTGTCCGCCGCTTCGGTTGCGCTTTCTACGATTCTTTGCCTCGTTTCCCCGTTTTCTTTCTTTCTTTCTGTTGATTTCGTTTTCGAGAGCGCTGTGCATTCGACGCATCTTCCGCTTCGCGTTGTCTCTTTGTCACTCGGCTGAGCCATCCGCGCGACGCTTTGGTGAATCTATATAGATCATCTGCTCGTTTCTCGAAGAATTGAAATAGTGCGCGCTGCGGTGTAATAAAAGAGTGAAAGAAAGTATATTTGTTTGATTTTCACTTATCGCACAAGTTTACAAGTTCTCCGAGAACGAGCAGACCTTATGTGTGCTCATCTATATTATCTGTTTATCGAGACGCATGTGATTATGCATGTATCCCATTCACAAGCAAGGGAAAGCGCAATCGAATCGAACGGCGATCGCGCGCAGCTGCAAACCGCAGCTGCTGAGGTCGTTCGTAATTGACGATGACTTGCACGCATTCGAGAATTCGACAATACTCTTCGGCGCATTTGTGTTTCTGAGCGAGGTGATGCATGTCGTTGATCATCAGGATAAATTACTGCGATCTCGAAAGAATGTAATCATTATGAATGTATTATTGAATGATTATCACTGAAGCATCGACGTAGAGAAGTTTTCTTATGTCATTCGATACTTTCTCGATCGTTTTTCCACGGAATTCGATCGTCTTTTCACGTTGTTTCCGGCTTTGGTTAATTTTGAAACAGTTCGTTGTCTATCACTTCTTTTAATCGTTTACGTAAAGAAACGTAGCTTACGTAAAGAAGCGGAATTACACGTTGCACGTTACGGTTATTTTTACGGTACGTACTGGTTAATGGAAGGTAACGAGAGCTGAAGGAGACTTTGTGGCAATTGCGGAACGACCTAATTAAGACTTTACTCCGTCGCCGCGATTGTGGAAGTATATAATATCATGTGTACATTTAGATTTCACGATAGCGCCGGTGAGATACTCCATTTGTTTGTTCCCTTCTAAGCTTTTCAGTTTGCATCGTCCGTTTAGACATGCAACTTTAATTTTAGTAATACTTGCTTTCATGTGTTGATTACTTATCTTTATAATTAACGGCAGTCGTTTACTTCTGAAATAAATGTCCCGAGCTTAACATTTACTTCACGATGAAACATCGCGTCGTTTTATTAGCGGCGATCGTTTCAGAGATTTCAATATATGGTCTTAGAGGTTGAGATATTAGAGGAGTGCCTCACTCTAGATAATCTATCATTACTTACTCGCTGATAACCTGTCCCATCGATAAGATCACATCATCCAGAGTTTGCTAACGCACATCGACTTCGAAGAAGATAGAGTTGCAGGGAAAACACGGAAAAATCAATTTCTACTTCAGCATTTATATCCGTCCAATGATTATAGTATGACTAGCATTCTAGAGATTGAACTTTTCAACGAAAGATTATATTGTTTATAGTATGAACGCGTTAAAACAATCGTTAATCAGAATTATAATGTTTCAAGGCTCAACCTTCTACTTATTCAATGTCACGTATCCCCTATTGTTGTCTATTTTTCTATACTACCGTGATTCGCAAGAATTGTAAAATCACGCGACTGATATAAAATAACTCGATTCGTGAAATTGATTTTCTGCTGTCCGAAAACGAAAGATTCCTGCGGATATCTCGATTTCTATTCGGTTGAATCGGTCATCTCAAGATCCAAGTTTTTAATTTAATAAATTATAGAGAACAAATAAGTATATCGTTGCTCGTCTTTCGAGTTTTCGTCTGGCTCCCATTCTGTTTCCAGAACTGATCTCTTTTCCGTGTAATTGCAACGATACGAACCACGGCGACGCATCGGCGACGCTAAAGAAGGTCTGTTTTATTCTTTTTTTTTTTCCCCGCAGCTTTCCGGAGCGATCACGAGCATATTCTCCGGTTACTTCATTTATCAGCTGCACGAATATGCGCCGCTCACGCCTGACAATGTATGCGGCTCGTCTGCCACTTTACTGACGATGGGGGTCATCACCTGTGGTGTCGGATGGTTCGCCTTTCAGTTCTTGAATTTTTCCAACAGGGGCCAAGTCATAACCGTAAGCCGATCTTCTCTCTTTCCTCTCATACTCATACATCGAATATAACTTATTACTCGGCGACGTAAACGAAAATCTTTTTCTCACGCCCAGTTCGCTGTAACATTGACGATCATCACGGTAACCGAACTCGGCGTCGGGATTTGGGCCTTGGTGCGACACGAACAAGTAGACGTCTTGCCGTCCGCGCGACTCGAAGAGAACTTTGCTCTTGCGACTACGGATCAGAAATCTAGTTGGGATCACATGCAGTCAAAGGTGAATATTGTATCAGCATATATATTTGGATATTACATATTTTACAGTGCGAGTTACATCAGTTAAATTACATCTCGATAGATGCAACAATAAAATGTATATTATAAAATGCAGACATACATGTACAATGAGATAAGACTGTATGGAAAAAATTTGGTACGTGTAACTAATCTTCTGTTATCTGGGAGTTAGACGAAACTTCTGTTGTGGGGACGAAATTCTTGAAAGAGATTTGTATTCAGTCAATCATTCTCGGTTACTTCAACTGAGCTTTGACCCGGTCAAGTGTTTAGAATAGTTTCAGTCGCGATAACAAAGATATGCTTTCTTCTCGCCGAACTTTTGTCTGGCCTTTTATATTGTTACACAAACTATGATCTTTTCTCCATGTGTAAGTTGAAAACTACTGAAGTGATCGAATTGAGATTCCAATTAAAAATATAAAATCGCAGCTGCACTGTTGCGGAATAGACGGACCGGCTGACTACCGCGGGCACAACTCGATTCCTTGGTCTTGCTGCAACACAACCAACTCGGCGAACGATAACAGTACCGAGGGCGCTTGCACTAATATTTACAAGCGTGGGTGTCAGCACGTAGTGATAAATCGAACCAGGTCGATTCTCCTGTACGTTTTCCTGCTGGCTTTGTGCTCTGTCCTGCTACAGGTGAGTGACCTGCTCCCCTTCCAGAGTAGCCCCTAGTTCGTAAACTGGCTAACCAGCACGCGTATGCCGATCGATTTCAGGTCTCCTTCATATTGTGCATATTCTGTTACGCTAAGATCTACAGAAAGAAAATGGAGAAGAGGGTACAATTGGAGATCGGCAAGCGCGCAAGCGAGCCAGACACGAAAGACAATCTTCTGGCACGCCGATCGAAACATCTGAACAATGTCGACGACTCCTAGCCAATGCCGCGAAGCGTGAACGGTGAGAGTGTACGTCATTTAAGGACGTTGCGTCACTGTGATATGCGAAGTACATTTCGCGTAGTGACAATATCGACGGTGTACAGATACACGGGTGATATTGACGTTGCTTCTGCAATGCAGTACGATCCGGGTGTGTCAAAAAGTATCCCAGCAACGGATTTCTCGGCAAATTTCCAGTCGATCTGTCCCCAGGAGTTGATAAAAAATTCGCGGTATTAGGCGTGGAATTGTTTGACGAATGAATCTCGATTGAGATCTTCGATAAGATAAGGCTGATTGAAAGAACAATTTTTTTTTTGCGACCGGAGATATGAATGCCTTTTGAAGTGCCTTCTATATTTCTCGTTACAACTTCCTTCGGGGAAACTTGGACAGCAGACTTGTCAAGATATTTATTCCTAAAATACTTCTTGACACATAGACTTCGGACATTCTGTATGAAAATAAGAACAATCGCATGCCGAGAAGCGCTAAAAATGTTTACATCTTCTTCGTACTGCCGTTTCATTAGTACCTCATAGATTTCCTTTTTGAGAATCGAGCATTTTCTTTTGTTTGTCCCCTTGATACGATTTTATATTTATTTCTATAGCTATGTCGCAAGAGTTGCATTTTTATTTCGAAGATACAAAATCGCTTTATTACAGCGGAACAAAACTGTAAGTAATAAAGCGATTTCTAGGAATAAAACTTGCATTGACATTCGTGAGGCTTTTCGTTGATTAAAGCAAATTTTAAACAATACGCGATAAAATTCTATTTATATGAAAATGAAATTATAAATAGAACTCTGTCTTAAATTCTATTGCGAATTATAGATCATTTAAAGCAGGCTTTAGTTTGTACTTAAGACTTTGTTAGTCAGTGCAGCTAATAAATAGGCAATAAGGTGCACAGTGCAATGCTTCATATCAATAATGCAAAGGAAACTAATATAGAGTATTGAGTATATATGCATCATTCACTTATCTTGTATCACTTGAAAACACTTGAATGACTTTAGATTAGCAGAATGTAATTACAAGATATTAATTCTTTTTTAACGGAAATATAGAGTAATTGTTAATATGGCTGTAGCTTCTTTTTCTGAATCATTAGATTCTTTACTTATGCTTACATTCGCCGCAGATTTTCTTTTCTCATTATTAAATGATTTCCAGTATTAAATGGAGAACAAATCTTTTATAGTTTCTCTGTGTGAAAAAAGACTAATGTGAACCGTGTGCATATGGTACCGACAATGAAATTTATTTTATAGGAAGAACCAATGTGTGTTCAATGTCAATAAATATATAAATCTTTTTTACTAAAATTTAAAAAAATTTTGATTTGGTGACAATATTTAGTAATCTTGCATTATTACAAAATAATTATATTACTTTGTAATATTATGCAAAATAGAAAAAAATAATTTAAATATAGCTTTTGCAAAATACACACCTTTTGCTCATAGAGGTAATTTTTTAAACAATAATTGGAAAAAATTCCTCAGGAGCTGTATTAGAACAATATCTAATGTATTTTGTTTAAAATATATGTTTCACAAGAATCACTCAAATCTGAGCATACTTATGTCAAGATGATGTCATGCTACATATCATTTGACTGACTCTGAATTCCCATCGCATTATATCCGTCTAATTGAATCTGTCCACCTTTGAAAAGCAAGAATATCGTGCAATTAATCATTTCTTTTCAATCCTGTTTTCTTTCACAAAATATGACAAGTGTGACTAAATTTAATTCAAGAGACAATTTGCTGGTCATGTTCTCAATAACATCTAGTATAGATAGGTGTATCGTCAGTAGATAAGATTATCAGATTAGATTGTTAATATTATTGTACCTCTTAAAATAATAAAGAGTGAAAGACTGATCGGGAATTCCGAGTAAAAATTTCGGACTGTCGGATCATTGCATGCTGATAATATTAAATTTTGCGATTTAACGATCATTGAATTTCCAGTGCGACTAAATCAACGATATATATCATATTATTTTCGCAGAGAAAAACTTGTCAAAGTCAAATTCGGGAACGTTACAGTTAACCTTTATTTTGATGATCAACAGGTTAAACAACATAACACGTACATATAGTTACGCAACAACGCTGCGCGTTTGCGAAAGTTCGCCGGTGAAAATTAAATAATTTCGAGAGAATATATTATACACATTCGTCGTGTGACAGGTCAAACGCGGATCTTGAGCGTTATCATATAAATACAACACAAACACACTTCATCGCAGTTCGCTGAATATCACCGATGTCACCATCTGAAGTGCGTCACTTTACCGCGAACTACGCTCGGCTCCTTCTCCGGCTATCTTCGGGCGGACTCGGCTGCCCTCGGACGTAGTGGCGCCGTGCGAGCGCCGCTATGAATTGAATCAGTTAAATTCGTGCCGTGCGTCGTGTCGTGACGTGTTGTGTTGCGTCGCGACGAGCCCGCTCTCCATCGAGCAGTTCCATCCGATCTTCATCCTCTCGCCGCAGCAGAGTTTCTTGTGCAGTTGCCGTTGTATTTGCTGATCAACTAGCAAGATGGGGTGTGGAATGGGAATGATCAAGTACCTGCTCTTCATATTCAACTTCATATTCGCGGTGAGTCTTTCTCTCTCTCTTTCTCTCCAAGCGAAATGCGCAGTACGCGCGCGATTGTACAAAAGCCTCTCGACATCTGTCTCACATTCAACAACTAACTCCGCCCAAATGTGCCGCCTTTTCGATACCTGTGTCGTTCTTGGTTATGTTATTATAAAAGCCGAAAAATACCTGAGATCGTATTCAAGGCCGAAACGCGGCCGATCTCGCAGCTCGGCCACGTTCTCGCTGTGCTTGGACAACGACGCCGCTATTCGATTCCGATTTTCATTCGTCCAAATTGAAAGCGAAGCTCCTTTGAAACCTCACCGCCACGGGAATTGTTGCGGAACGTTGAATGTGGAACATGAAAGGGACGAGTGTTTGGCGCGCAGCCTCGTCCTCATGGAATGCGAAACGCAATAATCGGCCGACTTCGACGCGAAAATGGCGAGATGAGCGAATCGCGAAAAATGGCGTCCGTGTTCAGAGACGTTAATCTCGTGCCGAAAATACGGCAGCGTCCCGGTCTCGCGGTTATTGCTTGTAACTTGCGAGGAATCTGTTTACCGATCCACGAACGGCATCGGGTGCGGTTGCCTCATTCCGCGTCCGTTTCATCCTTGAGTCGGTACTGCTGAGAAGATTACGCGTGTCCTATCGGCGCGCGCGCTATTGCTCACAATTGTAGTCGCGTGACCGTTGCAATTTTCGCGCAAGCGCTGCATTGTAGATTTTTAAACGCTTCCTACACGACTGCGCCGAGCGGACGAGATCGGCTGATTGTTCTCGCATATAGCATAATGAGCCCGACCGCCATTCGGCGAACGAGGACTGTCGCGTGGAAATTACGACTCGATGTTTGATAAACTTTCAACTTTCTCTGCTTTGATGTTATTTTCGTCGATCGCGATCATCGACCGTGTTGAAGGCGATTCTCCAAGAAACGAAAGTTCTCTAATTTCTCCATGTTTTTGCATGTTTCTTCAGTGTCGCTTTTTTATTTCCTTTCTCCTTTTTTTGAAGTTTCCGTGCATTTGAATTGTTGCTTGTGCATTTAATCAATGTGACTTTCTTACTATTAATGACAAAACTTGATTTTTCCTGTCGCAACGACGGGCGTGATCGTGATTATGAGTCATTTTTTTTCGCTGTGTATGAATGGTCGTCACACACACACACACACATACACACACACAGCGTTGTCACGACTGACTCATATATATTCTCGATAAGAAAAGCCAAGGTTGAAGAATTGCAGAACCGTGTAAACGTCGTAAATTAAAGCCACGTATCTCTCCGCGTCATTGTTCGACCGCGGGTATCGATACATCGTCGATACTCGCAATTCGATATTTTTTTAGCCGTGATGGTAATTGCCACGTCGTAAGGAGGCAATTACGATGAACGAGCCGCGAACTACCCAACGCGGTATAACTCGCTTGATAGATCAGAAATAGAGGTCGGCGGTCTTTGTTTTTCTATGCTGAAATAACTACGAAAGAATAACCCCTCAGTGCTAATATCAATTAACACTAATCACGTAGTTGACTACAATTATTATAACTCGCTCGGTTTCCTCATTGTGAACGGGTTATGTTCACGCAGTATCAATCGTTATCAACGTGCCCCCACGTCGTATTTATCAGTGGATAAGGTCACTCAATCACTGCACCCAAACCGTTATCGCAATGCAACCGCCATGTGTCGCGCAAGTGGTTGCATATAGGATGACTCGTGCTTACAGCTCCCCTATTTTCGTTTCCTCGCCTTCTTCTCCCGAGAAAGCATAAAAATAAACGATTGAATCCGCGAGTACCGCGATGTTTTAAACGCGCGCGATGAGATTTTGTCTTCGTGCTACGGCAATCTGCCTGAGGGAGAAGAGCGCGCACTTGAAAACATATGTTACATATATGTGAGGTACAAAGAGCGCTCGATATCCCCGGATCACCCTGTATATGATGCTTCAATGAAGCATTATTTAGCGGTTTTTTAAACCTCTCTCTCTCTCTCTCTCTCTCTCTCTCTCTCTCTCTCTCTCTCTCTCTCTCTCTCTCTCTCTCTCTCTCTGTCTCTGTCTCTGTCTCTGTCTCTGTCTCTGTCTCTGTCTCTGTCTCTCTCTCTGTCTCTCTCTCTCTCTCTCTCTCTCTCTCTCTCTCTCTCTCTCTCTCTCTCTCTCTCTCTCTCTCTCTCTGCAGATTGAAAAATTTACTACATTCACTTATGACAAATATTTTTACAATATGTTTTTTATGATACGCGCACATGAATATGATATATTTGTTATTATCAATCCATTTTATTATTTGTTTATGATTTATTTCTCTTCATTTTATTACCATCATCATTATAAATCGAGATTATGTTCCTAACTATAGTAGCTTTAATGTGTTTTGAAATAGCTAAAACAGCTTTGATATTGATAAATGACGTGTAATCGGGAAAATCGTTCACACAAAACACTAACCGGGAACGTTTACGAGAATCGCGTATAGTTACTTCTTCCTCTACTTCTTGCACTTCTTTATGGTCTCCCTTTCCGGTTAGGTCACTTACCGCGGCTGGTCACAATGGGTGTTTCTTTGATGGCTCAAGGTCCCCCTGCCCCCCCCCCCGTTCGCTTCCCTACGTCGTCATACTCGTCGCACATTGAATTCCGTCTCATGCGGTCATGGAATTTGTCCTTTCGTCAGAGAACAAAGGAGATCGTTGCGTAAGAGACCGTCACCCCGAATAGTTCCTGCTTCGTCCGAAAGTCGATACGCAGACAGGATAAACGGCGCCTAGAATCACCGAATGCATCATCGTAAAAGTTACGTCCTTGAGAAGGAGGAGGGAGAAGAAGCAGAGGAAAAGAATGACGTTCCTCTCGAAGAATAAGATAAATATGACCGTGCTACCATCGAAACCTGCTTTTCGCTCGCTTTCCTATCGTTTTCCTTTTTCCTCCTCTCGCTTTACGGTTTAGAAAATCTGAGATGTCCTTGCGTCCCCGAGCACACGACATTACGTGCGACGTTAGGACAATGCTAACCGCATTATCGTAAAATCTTCAACATCCAACGCGACGCATTATATTCGGTACACGTGGTTGCGATGAACTCACAGCTGCGCCTAACTTCGTTGCCTAATTATAATTTTATCACTGTCGTCATTATAAATTGTGCGCTCCATCCGACGCGTAAGTCAAGGTGGAGATGAGCGAGGTAGTCGAATCAGCAAGAGTTATAATCTCTCAAGCGTCGTGTTAGACGAGCTAATCTTCGGGATTTTCACCGGCCGAAGCTCGAGTACGCGGCTCAGCATCCACGTAGCTCGTATTATTTACATATCCATCATTTATCGGTTGCTAGATGGACGGGCGTTCGCCGTTTCAGATGTAAACCGGACACCTATACGGGGTGGCTAAAATTAGTAGATGCGCAGCGGGCGATCTCGTTGCTCACGCGGCGTGCAGCGTTTCAATGTCGCGCTGAACTCCGACGGGGAAGATACACACCGGAGAAAAACACATTTTCCCCGTCTCGCGAGATATTCCTATTGACGTGACGCAGACGGACCGCGCGAAATTTTCCACGGATTAACGGCGGACGAACATAGGATAATTTATCGTTAAGGTCATTCGCGGTACACTCCGTTGCGATAACAAGATGGAGGGTTTCGCCGAACTCAACTCGCAGCATTCGAGATTCGTTGCGTTGAAATTCCAGCGTGATTTCGAAATTTTTCATTGTAAATTCAGTGTGGGTTCTCTCTTTTATCAGAGATATATCTCTGAAAATATTTCCTCTTCGGTATCCGAGAGATCAGAATTTCAGTGCCAATTTTCCGCGGAGATAAACATCGCGCACTTGTTTTCTCGTTTTTCAAACGTCCACGCTCGCTCATTCGTATGGCAGTGCGATCTTCCTTACGGTATCTTCACGTCGCTCGTGAAAAGGTCAGACCGCGTTACATCGCGAAAAAGGACTGTCGCCGTTCTTGCAAATATCCTTGAATGCAATTTCTCGACGTCCATCGTGCATTCTTGCACGCGTCGCTGACGCTTCGCCGCGAATTAATTTTCGAGAGCGTGCTATTTGTTCCCTTTAGGCCACATTATCGTGACGCGTTCGCTTTAATTATAGTCATTCGCGGATGGGATGATGAGTGATCGTGACGTCATCTGCGTCGGATACAATCATCGTCGTGGAATACTTTTCACGAACGACTTATTATCTTCTGAACTCGCCGCTTAACGTCCGAAAAATAACCGATAGTGAGATCGCGATTGATTTGTGAATGATATAAGCGTCAGTATTCGTTTGTCGTCGTTAGCATCAATGAAACGACTGAATGAATATTTATTGCCTTGTTTCATATGTATGAACGATGCACATTCTTTTCGATTGCATAAAGGAGAAATTACATGTCAAGTGAAAGAGATAGTTTCCGCGTCGTGAAATGGTGCCAAATGCACTCGGAAAGAGTGACTCGCGCGTGATTATGTTGCCATCACATGTTGCCGTCATTAGAAACGATTATTAACGTAACTCGATCGTCGCACGTCGAAATAATTTTTAATTAAATTAACTAACCGAGAGAGGAGATCTTACTTTTGGTCGAGTCACTCATACGAAATTCTACTGAAGCGTTAGAAAGATATGTTTTTATATATTTTTCGGGAGACAATTTTGCTTACTTCCAACTGCGATTTTTTTGCTCCTTATCTGGACGTATTCAACGATAAAAATTCCATGTTCACTTGTACGAGTCATCGTTCTTGACACGAATAATATTCATAAAAAGAAAAGACAGCCGACTATTCGCCGCGGCTCGGCGTTTCACCGTTTCTCGGAATTCTTGTTATATCCTTTTCCTGTCGCATGTGTGATTACGATGGTACATTTATCTGTCAAAAGCCGCGACTTGGAGAAGCCGTCACTTCCGTTATCACTTATCTTTATTTTCTGCAGACTGGTTACGCAACTTTGTGCAATGATTACGTATTAGGTGTGCTGCTATTAGCAGTGCTCGATGCAACAGGCACCATTTTGTTCTGCGAATTTTGCACGAACGAAAGATATTTCGTTGAGCGAAGGAATGCGAAGCAGAAATTAAATAATAACGCACGAGTAATATGCCAATTAAGACGATTGTCATAGTACGATACGTTGGTGATTCGAACTAAATGAATAAACGTCTATGGAAGTAGAGCAAATAGCATTGGAGGAAATGCTCGTTGAGATCTTAAACAATTTGTACGGGAATTAAAATTCTAATATTCAAGGAAAAAGATAATTGTACAATATTTGTGGTGTTACAGCTCGTTCAATTGTTATCGCGACGTGTTGATCGTTTCGATTAGTAAATCAATTATAACGAAATGTTATCTCGGTGATTGTTTGTCGTGAGAACGATTAAGATTACACTATTCCGAGAAAAAAAAATTCACCGGCGACTTCGAGATTTCAGGATCAGAGTTTAGCTTAATTCGCAGATCAGATGCCACTCTCCGAATAATTAAAAACAATTCTTTTCAATCGCGATACGGTAAAATTAAATGCGCGAGGCGACCCGTCACATCCGTGGAATCGCGAACTATTTTTGATATATCAGTAAGCAAGGATAAACTTCTTATCGATTGAATGATAATGATTGGAAACGGGATTTTGAGAACGATCGAACGCGATCGCGCGATTACGGTTTTTCTCGCATCATTTGCTCCGCGAAATCCAGCCGTGCGGTTCTCGACTGAAATCAGGCACTCGCGCGATTTTCCTGCACTTGTTGCATGTTTCGCATGACATTCGAATTCCTCGCATCACCTTAAGTGTTAAGATATATCAAGATCATTAAGCATTGGCTGCAATTTTCCTTCCTCCGTCAGCCTTTCCGATAATTATCGAGTCTATAATGCCGTCGGGGATTTCCTGATGTGTCATTTTCCACAATTATCGTGACACATACAACAGGCGTGACACACACATAGCCGCAATTATGTCGCGATATTTGTTAAACGTTGACGTTTAATTTTATATTTCGAGACAAACGTTTATCAAATTTTTTCCTCGTTTCGTGTTCCTTTCCGGAGTAACGAAATTACACGGAAAAAATGGCCGCGTAGATCGGTCGACGCGTGTAATCGCCGGATGTGATACGTTGAGAGCGATGACGTGTGCTTGAAACTACAAATTGTAGACGGAGAACAAGGTTTGGTCGAATTAATGTGATAGTGAATGAACGAGACGCATTTTTGTCGAAGACAACGGAATTTTAGGTTCTTGCGAATCAAATTTGGCCGATCCGATTAGAATGCATTTAGTTTCTTCATTGTCGTGAGTTAAGGGGCTAGTCCAGTGGTTTCGTATGGGTTAGAAAAGAATTTTTATTTAATATTGAAGTTTGTAAATGCGTACCAATCTTTTTACATTTAAAAGCGAACATATATAACTCATAAAAAAATTATATATATATATATATATCATATTTTCTGCGCTGTAGCCACATGAAGTTGGTCCCATTTTGAAACGGTAGTCAAGATTTCTCGGGTCTGAATCATCTGAAATCAAAAAACCAAAATTTTTCTTAAAATATAAGTTTGTGGCTATAGCGTGAACTAAGATAAAGCACCCCCGATGGAAAAAAACAAAATGGCAGACTTTTGAATTTTTAAGCTGTTTGTTTGCAACTTTAATTGTTGAAAAAAGTGGTTTAATATTAATAAAAAATTATGATTCTAGTTCAGGCGATAAGTACACATGTTTAGAGAAGACTCCTAAAATTTCAGCTTGATTGGTTCAACAGTTTTTTTTTTAATCTTGACTACCATGTCAAAAAGTACTGTTTCGAGAAAAACGCGTTTAAAGTTTTTGTGTTTGAAATATTAATAAAAAAGCTTCTTACCTTTAATCAGCGATGCCAGGACCATACATTATTCCCTCTGCCTGTTCGTAAGCATCATTTTCTTCCAATCTTACATTTCTGCGGGCTGTTCGGCTTTCTTTTGATTGGGTAGAGCTGCGTTGGTTGGCCAATTCAATACGTGCCTGATCACACCGCTGTACGAATTCTGCTGCTCCTTTGCCAATTGTAACGCCCATAACTTCCATAATTTTCTGCTGACGTGCTTGTTGAACTTGTATCTTTTTCTGATGTATATCGGTTTCCACAAAATTTTCGCTTTTTTGGACGGCGATCACTCGTCGTTTCTTTGCTATGCTTTTTATCCATTTTACAAAATTTTCCACTGCTCTCAAATACGTCTGTTCTTCACGACTGCAGACACTGTATTGCTCTCTAACCGAAACCGAAATTCAAGGGAACAATGCATGCCGGTCTAGACAGGATAGAGCCTGAAAACAGGGCCGATGACGCGGCAGGTGTACAGCGGCGCGCTCGACCTCTTCTATTGTTCGCTCGAATTTCGACCGGTTTTCGGCGTCAAAACATTTCAGGTCACTTCTATCATATTTCTACGTGTATATTCTATACGAAACTGATGTTTCTGAAAAATCGATTTTTTGAAGAAAAACCACTGGACTAGCCCCTTAATTCAATTAATATTTTTTTCTCTGTGTACGCTTCGGCTTTGCAGGTCTCAATATTCGAAAATACAGCTGTTGCTTCTTCATTTTCTGCCGGTGATATGACAAATCTACGATATATATTCACGTTATTTCTGATCGACATTATCGCCCATCGTTCTACGCGTTATCTACGCGTTGTTTTTTTTTAATATTTTTATTCAGAATTGATTTATCACTAGGTATAAAGAGGAAAGAAGAGGTGGAGATAAAGAGAACTCGCGACATGTTATTTCACTTGTTGCAATCTTTGTATTACAACTATTTCTGTCGTTGCTATCGCGTCCCTATTATCTCGTGGACGTGGCTATTATCAATCGCCCACACGGCGATTTCGCGCGACATATTGTGCGCAATGAAGTGAATCACGCGTTTTTTACCGTTAGCTAATACACGAGCGGACATTTAATATTCCACTTCATTCAGCGAACTCTGTCTCCCCTCGATCGATACTTATATCTTATCGATCTCCGTTCTGCTCGATGTCGCGATATCACCGATGCGCGATGCGCATTCAGCGGTAAAAGTAGGCATACAACCAGTACTACCAGTTAATCGGAGACAAGGTAGCTTCTCTCGTGTCCTTCGCGAAAATATTTCGTCCTCACGTCGAACGGCCTCTTCTTGGGCACGACTTCTTGAATCCCGCGGACTCGACGCCACGCGGGGATCGTTCTCGCGAAAACGACGCAGCCCCGGCGTCGTCGAGTATACATATAATCTCCGAGGAAGTGGGTTCCGAGGACGAGATTGTGGATGCGATGATGTCATCTCCGCGTACAAACAAACCTGTGTGCACACGTACACGTACCCAACATACACACATACGCACGCACACGCGTTCTTGCCCACACTGGCTCTCGACGACGCACATAATTTCGATAGCCTGCGGCAATAACGATCACAGCAGTGTTTCCCAACCACCGCGCGCGGTTTATACTCGACGTAGTATCACGGCAGCACGTACTGAAGGAAAATCAAAGAAAACCGCGCTAGTTCGGACGACGGTGCTATTCGATGCTTCGAAAATCGATAGAAAACCGAGCGTTGGAGGAAGCGAGTCTATAACCCGAACTTCCGAGCTTATGATTTGACCCGAACTTCTAAGCGACATATGTTTCTCTGCGTCGCGCAAGATTGTGCCAGACAATGGGTACACATGCAAATACTTTCTTTGTCCGCTGTATATTACACTGTTATGCATTATTCATTGCCATCGTTGAACTCGAGCTGCTCTCTCTCTCTCTCTCTCTCTCTCCTTCCCACTGCGTCTCTTTTCACAAGTTTCGGATCGGAAAACTAGAGGTGGAAATTATTAAAGGTAATCGATCGTGAACGCACTTAAAGCGTGCTCTTTCTCTCTCTCTCTCTCTCTCTCTCTCTCTCCCTCGTTTTGTATTTATGTACCGGATAAGGACATTTCCACCTGTGGTGATCTCAGGATCGACCACCGACAATGTGGCGTAACGATACGTGTAAAAATAACGTATACGCGCACGTGTGCCTCAAGGACTATTTCCAGATATCTGGGAACCGCCATCCTAGACGAACGTCGTCTCGTTTTCGTCTATTTTCTGCCGGCAAACTATATATTGTCGCGAAGACAACAATGTTGCGGACGCACTCGTTTGGCAACGCGACAACGATACCGCTGAATAATCAGCGGTACAATTAGCACGGATAAAAAACCGCGATAACAAGTGCAAGTGCATGCGCAACTTCGTCGTTATCAATCCCTCATATCTCGTTGCCGGAGACATAATACTTAAAAACTGTACTTTCAAGCTGATTACTAATTACGCCACGTGTGACTGAATGCATGAGAAATACGCTTGCAAATACATCGCAGATCGATTGTAGTGTGATCTGCGATAAAACTAATCCATTGTAATTGTTTGTGACATGTCACTAACGCACATTTTTATAGCCCCTTTCTCGTCTAATCTATACAGTAAGTGTCTAATTCTCTATAATTTGCTATATCACGTGTATGCTTTGTTGTATCGATTGTAATGCTTTTATGCCATTTATGCAATTATGTATCCTAAGTGTGTGTTACGTGCTGCATAATTTCTCGTAAGAGCTTCCCAGCTTCTCTCCGTCCACCATCCATCATCCATACTTGTCCAACGTGACAAGTAGTTTTGTCGGATACACTTGGTTGAAAAACGGCTATCGCTTCGGGAAAAAGAAGATATAGGTAGAATATAGGTCGGAGATACGCGATGATGGTGTACAAATACGAGAATGTCTCATTGCAGCTATGTGGCCTGGCTATACTGATCGTGGGTGTCATCGTGCACCTGCAACTCACGCACTACGCCGAGGCGGTTAAGGAGAACGTGATGTTCCCGTCGATAACGTTGATCGTGATTGGCAGCATAATCTTCATTATCGCCTTCTTCGGATGCTGCGGAGCGATTCGCGAGAGCCACTGCATGACCGTGACGGTAAGCCCACACTGGCGAGGTTTGATTTTACCACGCAACCCTCGGCGAAGACAAAGTTTGATCCTCTCTCGGTATTAACTCGCACACCGAGCAGCGCCGTCAATTAAAACACGAGGGGAGTAAATTGTAGCGCCTCGTATGTTTGTAAATTTTTGAGACCGCGATATCGTCGCCGCATGTTTACAAAGTTACAGAACGCGAGGATACATTCGGAATAATTGTATTTATAAACGCGTTGCTGCACGTTCTCGAAATTTTCATGCTCGCGAAAGCTGCTTTGAGCGTTGTTGCGTTGGGATTCGATCGAGAAACGATCGGAGATTCATCGGCGTCTCTCCTGCGACAGTTTGCATCATTGCTCCTGGCGATCCTGATCATACAAGTGGCTGTCGCGATCTACGCTTTCGTCGCGCTCAAGAATTCCGACGATCTCGCGATTAGCATTAGAAAGACGTACGCGGAGGAGATCTTCAGCAAATACCAACAGAACAAGGAGAGCACAGAGATCGTCAACGATGTCCAGTCTGTCGTAAGTCCGCTTCTTAAGGGAAGATGAATTTTATTACACTCGCACATCCGTACGCGTGTGTGCTGCGAAATGCATTACATATACATATACCCTGTCTGTTGCACGTGATCGACTATAATGTATACTTGGACAGGTCCGACATAGATATATTTATAGCTTCACAAGTAGGTCTGTACCTACTGACGAAAAGCTCTCTTGCAGTTGAAATGTTGCGGCGTGGACAGCTACAAGGACTTTTTAAACAAAGGTTATAGTATTCCGTGGACTTGCTGTAGTGTTCCGGAGGGCAACACCTGTACTATTGCCGAGGTTGAAAACAAACAGGGTTGCGCAAGAGCGTTGCAGGACGTCTTCAAGTACGCGGGAGCGGCATTGGGTGGCATCGCTCTGGGTATCGCTGCAGTTGAGGTAAAGAGAACTCTTAAAACGGGATCGAGCTGTAGTCGAGGGAAAAAATTCATTTTTTTGGGACCAAAGCAAATACGTGGTAGTAGGAAAGGAAAGGAGGAAGGATGCGTCGCGGCGACGCAGTAGTGAAATTCTCGTGAAATAATTCTTTCGTAATTGGCGCGATATCCGCATGCACGTAATCCTCTGCTGTTTTTCAGCTGATCGGCATCATCTTCGCGCTCTGCCTGGCGAATTCCATCAAGAACGAGCATCGCAGAGGCTACAGAGTGTAAGGGAAAAAGCGCTCCATCCTCGAGGGACGCCGCATCGCGCGGGAAGCTTTCGAAACGCGCAACAATCTTAACGTCATCCTACCGTCAGCGTATTCGCCTATAACATGTGATAGAATACTTACACTTTATAAGATGATAAAGTGTTTTTTTCCTTTCTTTCATTTTCCCCTATTTTTCTTTTGTTTCTATCTTTTTTTCCCTTTTTTTCAAAAGACGAGGAGACAAAGCGCCTCTTATTTCGAGTTTTCCTATGTATCGCCAATTGCGGCTCAAGCGCAAGCGTATTATTCGTGAGCAGAGAGAGAGAGAGAGACGTACTTTTTCCTTCCGACTCCTGCAATCGGAATCTAATGTAAAGCTCGATGCGCGACCTGGCAATGAATGTTAGGATAACTATTATGAGCCTCATACCACTCTTTACTTTTCGTACGAAAGTAATCCCTTATTTATACATAGATATACATATATACGGCTATTTTGATACGATATCGCTTTTGACTCACATCTATTCTCGATAGATTTTCAGAAAGGGAAATCAATTTTTTTATGCGATTTCATTCAGCCTGATTGGTGGGATCGTTTCAGAGTTCACTCGTTCTCGCACACATTTTGATCTTCTTCTGATGCGATTAAGAGCGCATCAAAATGATTACGACTGCGAATGATCACTGCTCGCGGATTTATTTGTGTGGTAATCAATTGTAGCAGAAGTCGTATAGCAATACACGATGTAAATAGTATGTCTCTTTATTATTTATTACACTTTAACTTGATAAATAAAAATATAATAAAAAGATTGATATTTTTTTCTGAATTCTCCGTTACGCTTGTGACGTCTGGTCGTGTCTCATCGTGTACTGTCGCTTCCCCTCCTGTCATAACCGACTATCGCGCAACTCGTGACTAGTGACTCGCAATCCATTTAATATACTTCCAATTCCAGCGGAAAAAGTGTGTGCAAACCGTGGTATGGAACGAGTGCACTCGAGAAACAAATTGAAATACCTCACAACGGGAGAGAAAAACCGACAAGTGATAGTATTTTATTATAGTGTTTTATGAGATAAATGTTTAAAAAGGTAAAAAAAGAATATTTTCATACAGTAAATTACACACACGATCGTACCTGGGAAAATTGTTTGAAAACGTTACTGTTGAACACTTCCGTAATCTTTGTATACAACGTTAACACATCTTGTTTGTACAGCACAAAGTTTACTGCATAATTTCGAGATATACGATGTTGATTATACATACACACATATCACGAAAAATATATATTCGTGTATTCGTCTTGTGATGAAGCAACGGAAAAAAAAATCACTCTATGAGAAAGAGCTCGTCGTTGCCGTGCCTGCGCATTTTGTACAGCATCCTTCGGGAAGCAAGCGCTCGACAGCGCGGCGCGGCAATCAAAGAACAGGGCGGTTGATGAAGCTGGGCGTGGCGAAGAAAGTATGTAAATAATTTTACCCAAATAAAATGTCGATTTTATTCATCGTTTATTCGCATAGACATTATGTGACATCGCTGGATCAATTATTGCGCGGCTCGCGTTTTGATTATTCACTTTGCCGTTCCTCTAATTCTTTTTCTTATTCATCTTCTTCGACGGTTCGATAATACCATCGTGCGCACACACGCGACCGCCGTTACACTAACGTTAACTGTTGTCGTCGTTGCTGCTGCTGCTGCTGCTTTTGCTGCGGGGCAAAACTGTGTGCATATGTGTGTGTGTGTGTGTGTGTGTGTGTGTGTGTGTGTGTATGTGTGTGTATGTGTATGTATGTTTATATATGTGTCCAGCTCTGTACATTCATTAAATAAACGTAGACAACAACAATCGGTTACACGTGCTTGTTGGATTCTTCTTTTTTGTTCTCTTTACGTTTCGTATATTGTCGTTATTTATTAAGTTCAAGAGAGGATAACTTACATCTGCATTGAGCTATGATACATAACTATGTACAAAGTCACACACATATCGTCCGTCGTACACACTGAGTCCTCATTTCGCGCGATTATCGTTTGACTTTGCTGCTGGTGGGACTACGCCTCGACCGGGAATCGAACGCGGACGGACGTGCCATGTCGTCCCCAAGATAGAGAACTTACAAACATCTTAAAGCTATATCGTTAGTCTATTATTCTCAGGCTGCAGGACAAAAGTTGTTTCCTCGGGGAAAGGTTGCTCTTCGCTTCCTTTCGCCGTCTCTCTTTTTCACCGCGACCGAACGTTTTGCGTTATCGCTTGTGACATTCGAATGAATCGCGACCGAAAAATGTAGTATTAATTATAGCATGTTATGCAGGAAATGGTTCTTCGCGTTTTAGAATTGTCACTAATTAGCGCCAATTAAACCTTCGACGCTGCGCGTCATTAGCGTAGATAGCAATGTTCCTTTTTACGTTTAATTAAGCACGAACGAAAGTTTCCTCACTAATTGCGCCACATCCACGCTATCGTTCGACAATCATGTTTGAAATTTCGTTTCGCTATTATTTACGCCGTCGTCAAGCAGGCTTATCTCATAGCGCGATTTAAAGATCGTGACCATTTAATAACATAATATCAAAATACCACGATGATCGCGATTTGAATGTGTCGGACATTTTCGAAGTATTATCTGGGAAAAATATGTGTTTCCTGACAAGTCCGCGAGGTCGCGAGCTTCGGAATGATGAGGTTGTCATCAAAACGATTCGAGATAGTAGTCTGGTTTCGTTCGCTTAATAAGAGATAACATGCACCTCGCAGAATCGACAAGCGCGATCGGGTGCGTCATTGTAAAAGAATTGAAAATCGTCTCTCACTTGCTTGACTAGAAAAGCAGCAACGCGAGCAAACGCGGGACAACCTGATGTCCGTGCAGCCTCCACCTCGAAATATTGAACGTACTCGTCTCACATGCGGGTATACAGCTACGTGTAAAATATCTTCGATCTCTATCGACTCGTTTATATCCTAAAGCTTATGTACGCTAGTGATATTACGCCTACCTCGATCAAACGTTACGCTGAGAAGTCCGTTCGCCTTCGTAGCGACGAATTTCGTATAAATCACACCGAAGTTATACCTACCTCCGTTCACACAACAAGTAATTTTCGTTATTTCGTCGACTTATTCTTTTTTCTAAGCGCGAATGCCTCTCTCTCTCTTTCTCTCTCTCTCTCTTTCTCTCTTCCATACATACACGTACACATCATTCGCTATATTACAAAGTTCGGAAGCGAAATATACAGACTCATGTTTTGCGCTCTTACACATGTAAGGACAGAAGGAAATAGTTTGTCGTGCGTGGACCGAATTGTATCGACTAACGATCGCGGCTCTTGACGCTCGTCGACGATTCGCGACGGGGGAGAGTACAAAATATCTATAGCGGTTCATAGAAAATCGACGAGTGTTTTCTTAGTCTACGCTCTCTTTCTCTTTAAGCTCATTTTGAATGGTGACGCGTCGCGACTTGCGTTTTTCTCGCATTATAAGTCGTTACGATGATTCGATAACGACCCTGAAAACGGTCTTTTTAACCAAATTTAATGTTCCGGAGAATTAGAAATCGTGCTTGTTAAACGAAGCCTATCGGTTCTACCGAGTTAAATCTGAATTTTTGTGTTAGGACACGTCTAAGGAGTTAATCCGAAAAAAATGTGTGAGATTTTCACCCGTAAATAATATATTTTTTTATCGAGGCGTGAATTTATATGAAAAGATTTTCTCTCGTGATGTTTTTGAACTGTTGGAGATTTTATTTTTCGCAAGTCACGTGCCGTGACACGCGATGTTCGCAAGATTTTCGTAAAATGATTACAGGATGAGTTCTAAATCTACGACTACGCGTCGTCAATGTGCGTTCATTTCGGTGAAGAGAGCCTTCCGATCGTGGCGATTCATGCTCGTCGTACACGCTATTTTTAGTGTGTCACAGGTTGACCACAGCTTACATAATCCTTATCGCTAATTCTCTGACTAATATTTATCCTCACGTATTCATTATTAGATCCTTTTCTTCGTTCGGCGCACCGAGGTACAGTGGAAGGTGAGATAATCGCGGAATTTGTGTCCTCTCGCATCATTCGATACCAAGAAAGCTATTAGAGCTATCTGTATTCGGTTTGGCTAATACAGAACCAACCTGGACCAGCTTGAATTCAGTCTAGGTCTGGACAAGGAATTCAGCCTGGACTCGGCCAGGACCAATCCATTCTCGTCGGTTGGATCCAATCTTTATCTGCTTTCGACTGTACCACGATGAGTTTTATTTGTATCTCGAATAAGAGGAAGCTCGCAGAGAAAAAGACAAGACGGATTCTTGTCTGAAAACAATAATCTATCTCGAACCGCGACGCGTCTCGAAGTTACTCGACCTCGGCTCCGCTTATCACTTTCACCGATAAGACACGACGCGACGCGAGATCATAAAAAGTCGAGGCGCGACGACCAAGACGTTCGTACAGAATAATATACAAATCGTTCTCTCGTCCTAGAAGGACGAGCTTCGCCGTTTCAACACGCGATTGCGAAAGTAAGAGCGTTGATAACGAAGGGGTAGACGACCGTTCACAAGTAATTACGCACCGCGTTAAATAGGATCAGACGGTCAGGTCGTTCAGTTAGTCATTTTGATTCGCTACATGTTTGTACGAGAGAAGATTCAGCAATCTGTGACGAGGTCGCGTTCGACGAGAGCCTCTTCCCGGCGACTCGCGCGTTTCTCCGCTTGAAAATTACGTTTTTCTCGCTTCTGCTAAAAATGGACTTCTCATATTCATAAGAAAAGAGAAGAACAAAACCGAATTTCTCCACGATGGAAAGGCAGAAACTTAGCTAAACTCTCTTTCTCTCCGGGAAAGCCGACCGGGAAAAGTTCGCGTTCGGAAGAGAAATCGACGTTCGCTCGTTCGCACATTCGTTCACTCGTTCGTTCGTTCGTTCGTTCGTTCGTTCGTTCGTTCATTCATTCTACGATAGGCCGTCGCCATCGTCGTCGCCGTTGCCTCGGGACCGGTTCTAGAGCGGCGAGAGCTTCATGATGTCGCTGTTGAGATCGGCGGACGGCGCGTCGTCCGGGTCGAGCGGTCTGCTGTCCGAGCCGAGCGAGGAGGGCGGCGCCGCGACGAACTCGTCGAGGAAATCGAAGGAGGCCACCGCCTCGCGCTCCTTGTCCCCGTAGCGCACGAAGAAGTCGTCGCCGCGACCGATGATCGACGGCCTAGACGAGCCCCAGGTGGACGGCAGTCGGAGGACGCGGTGCGCCTGGGCCGCCGACGCTGAGAAACCAAGGGCAGCGGGTCAACATGCCTCAGACTTGACTCGATCTCTTTTCTCTTTCTCTCTCTCTTCCTATACCGGCTCTAGCAGACACAGAGTAGCTCGGCTTAGCACTCTCTTTCACGTATACATGTCCCTCTCTCTCTCTCTCTTTTTCTTTCTTTCTCTTTCTCTTTCTCTTCTCTCTCTTCCTCTCTCCCTCTTTTCTCCCCATCGTGCTCTCTTCCATATTATTTTTTCCTTTCTGTCCCCTTCTCCCTTTTACTCGTCTCCTTTATCCGTCCGTATTCTATCGTTTCTCCGCCTTCCACCGTCGCCCCACCATACCGGTTATCATTCTCCTTCGCGGATTTTACGGCTTTTTCTTTTGTTTTTGCTTGGAATTTAGGTACTTGGCGGGTGCACGACCGAGTGGATGATGCATGCACGTCAGACAAATCGCGCACGATGGTTTGTTCTGCTCGCACGAGGGACCTTTTCGCTCGCTCGTGAAAGGTAGCGCTAAGCTTCGGTTAATTGATTCGGTAAAAAAAGGAAAACATGTCACAATTAATTATTTTGAGAAATGTTCACTCCGCGATACAATAGGCACTCCTTGACGGAGTGATAGATTTGTGATTTGTGTCCTCTCGACGAGGTTGTTTCTTGTTGAACGGCTTGCGCGCCGCTTGTCTGACGTAGTTTGTCGCACGTGATTGTGATGATTCGCCCGGCGATAATGACAAATCAATGCGGATTAGAGAACGCGTTACCTCCGTATGAAGCGTGAAAAGGAACCAAACTCAACCATCCGACTTACAGCACAGCACGCGCCGAAATAAAGCGTGATTAAGAAATGCGATAGGATTAACGATCAAAAACACAGGCATGTGACGAAACAAAGTACAGAAGGATGATATACAGAGAGGAGGATGAAAAGACCGACAGCGTTGAAACGGTCTTGCACGTGCCAATAAAGAATTCGGTAGTTGTCGATTCCACTCGCAGTATATATCGAGAGAGAAAGTAAAGTATTCTCGGTTTACCCTGACGCAATTCCAGTTACGAGGCTCTTGTCAATCTCCCCCATCTTTTTTTTCTAGCTTTAGCGTACTATACTGCAATATCCATATTCTCTCGCATCGCACAAACGCCTTGTGCCTCGCGCGCATAATCACTCTCGTACAAGTATCTCAAAATTTGGAGAAAACATGCTGGAATAGATACGCACGCCAATCTACACGTTCTTGTCCGAAAGTCTTTGGGCGTTCTCTCGTAGCGCACTTGGAATTTTGTGTCCGCGCTTTTGCGGATAACACAATCGGCCGATCGCGTGGTGATTCGTGATCGCCCACACGAACGGATCGCGTCTCCCAAAGGGAAGAGCACTTATTTTGATTACACGTTACTCTCCTCCTCGCCCGTCGGTTTTGATTAAAATGTATATCACGATGAATAGCCTTCCTTCCCTCCTATACTTAACGCGCTTTCAGTAGCTCGCTCCCAAGATTTTCGGACGGCGGCGGCGGCGGCGGCGGCGCGTGTGCCAAGTAGGTCACACGGATAATACGTGTACACGCAAAGACACGAGACGGGAGATGGAATTGCGTGAAGGCGCTTCGCCAGGAACACGATTTTCTTCCGGTTAATAATTCTGTTAGTAAACCAATGAGTAAACCAATGAAGTCCGTCGTAGCCGTGTACACAGAGTTCACGTGGTGTGCGAGGCCAAAAATAGGTCCCGGCGGAATGTATTCCTCCCAATTGGCGCATGTCGTTTACAGAAACTGATCGTCACTAAGCCGAACTACGTAGCTTTTCTTGTGACAATCAAAGCACACCGCGTAGGAGCTACCATCTGAACAAAAAATATGGAAAAGGCTATGTACAGCGAGGGCTACTAGGCGCGCGAGCGTGAGATTTGTGGGTGCTGGGTGCCGATTCTGTCGCTTTTTGTATCTTTGTGTGTGTTTGTTACAAGTGTATATGACATCAACTTTGAGCGTGTATGTTAACACTTTCCTGAGCAAAATAACGTGACATTAGATTCCACTGTGTACATAGTATTGCATCTATATCTTCTTTGTAAAGTGAAGTTGGGCCGTGAATAGGCCCAGCTTATCTTATCAGCTCGGTTATTCAGCGGTACGGTAAAGTGTCAGTAAAGTGTTAACCATCTGGGGGCAAGTGTCGCGTGTTGACGTGTAAGTGTCTCAAGCTTACGGAAGCAAGCGCTGTTCACCACCTACCGAACCCTCGAAAGCGTCGTTGAGTTTGTCACCTCCAGCGTTGGACGATTACATGTTGGTGGTAAACGAGTGTCCGAATTGATTTCTTCCCGTTACGTTCTGTATTTACAGAACGTACTAATATGTCCAACACTGGAGTCCCGTTAATCCCGGAGTACTTCGGGCTCAAGCTTCTTGCGCACTACCAACGCTGATCGGTTAGTGTATTTCATATTAAATGAGTAACGAGACGACAAGTACCTCAGTGACAAAGTAAAAGCGAGCGGTTAACGATAGGAAAAAAGAACAGAGAAAGTATCAGCGAAAATGAAGCGTTGGGAGAGAATGACGGACAGAGAACGCAAGTAGTCGAGCTTGTGAGCTGCGCGCGGAAAGATGGCGGTGAGTGGTGATGCGCGCGAGAAACGGCACGGCAGAGAAGTGTCTACGGAATACAGATGCCCGACTAAATACCTTTCTTTTGTCGTCGGTACCGGTGTAATCTGTGCAAGTGACGGTAATCGGGTGGTTCGTCTCCCGAGTCGCTGCCCGCCGAACCGCTGCTCGACGTCGCCGAGGAACTTTCGCTGCTTGCTAACATCACATCTAAGAGATTGGCTCTGGCCTGAATTAAAATGTTACGTTTAGCAACACACACGCTTAGTAGTAATAGGCATAATTAACAATCAAGTCGCTTGTCAACTTATCCATCCATCAATTAGATCGATTGAACGGTCCTCTCCCGTGAAAACACATGGAACAAGATACGAAAAAATCCTTTTTTCAAATAGAGTCGGCAAATATGCCGACGAATGAGAAACGTGTGTTCCACGGGGACAAACTTTCGAATCAATCTAACGACTCTCTGTCTATCGACGGGCAGAACGTACCTTGGGGTCGGTGAAGTCAATGTCGCGTTCAACGTGAACCCATCCTGTCGGGCAGCAGCAAGCGAGGTCCAGTTTCTCCAGCGCTACCTGAGGCTCGTTGTTGCTGACGGCGGCGTTGTCCTCTCCCTTCCGAATCATGCGATTCAACTCGTCTATGACGTCCTTGGACGTGGCGCGTTCGTGGAAACTCAACGTTCGATCTCTACCCTCCACGAGGAGGGTCGCTCGCGCTGGGCTGACCTGCGAAAGAATGTACGATTGTAACTATGTCGGACGGAGGGTTATTGTGTGTATCGATCGATGTATTATCTTGCGCTTTCGCGGATACGCGAGACAGTTGGTCGCGATTACCCGTCAGAGTGGATCGCGTATCAGAAGGGAAGAGCTCTCTTATTTCGATTAGATGTCACTTCTCGTCGTCGGGTTTGATTAAAATGTACGTCACGAGTGAGTGTCGCGTTCGGTATCGCAAATCGTTGGCTAGTGGGAACTTCTTTTCACGCTATTTTTCACGATGTAAGTGACTCGTTTTCCCTTTCCCCCGCGGCGGAAGTTAACCCGCGAGATAATGAGGTAACTTACAACTGTACTAGGCGTGGAAGAGGTTGCAGCCTCCTCGTCCTCCTCGGGCACGGCTCCCAATTCCGATGGCGCGACCGTCGTGTACGAGATACCTCCGTTACATGACACGGCGCTCACGATCCTCTCCTCGGGTGCCAACGGCGGCACTTGTATCTGATCGAGCAGCAGCTCGTCGTTGCTCTCGTTCGCGCTCCCGATGTTGCTGCTGCTCTCCGGAGCGATTGATCCCTCCACCTCGGCCGAGACCTTCGACTCCGCCGTGGAATCGCTTTTGCTGCTGCCCACTTCTATAACTGTCGCGCGCGATTCGCGACATCCCTTTAGTCATCGCTCAACATTTCCAGCGATGTCAGTCTCTTTCGAAACACACATCGCTGTGTGTTTCGAAAGATATCTTTCGCAATTAATTATTTTTTCTTTCATTTTATTATTTCTTTCTTCATCATATTCATTTTTTAACATTTTTTTTTCATTACGAATTTATCCGCTCGATTCGCGGCACGATACACTTCCACCCCCCCACCATTATAATTATGTTAACGATGACTTTGTGGACCGTGGACGATGCGAGTTATTCGGTTTCACGACGAACCATAGGGTAGAACTGACCTTCGGTCGAGTGAGACAGGCCGTTATGAGGTTCCACGGGGTTGTTCGGCAACTCCGCGAGGTACATCTGCTGCTCGGCGATGAACGATAGGACGCTCTGAAGCGCCTGCTCCCTGTCCGGCGGCGGTCTCCCGCTCCTGGACGACGTGCTGGCCAGGCTCTTTGTGCTCTCGAACTTCACCAGTCTATAAAAGTCCCTGGTGAAGTCGGTGCCGATCGACGGCGTGTCAGGGTCGTCGCTGCAGCCGGAGAGCGCCGCCGACGACCTCTTGCTCGAGTTCTCCAGCGCTCCTTCTTCGCTGCTCCAAGACGCGCCGGGACTCGACGCGTACGGCCAAGGTCCAGTCGCCCTCGCGTCCATTAGAAGCGCGACCTGCATGACCACCGCGATGTATTAGCAGAGGCGCGCCGGGGTTCGCGACTACTCGGAGAATTGGGGTATCTTGGCGCACATTGGCGCCGGAATCAATTCGGACTAGTCTCGCCGAGCGAGCCGTAATAGTCTCGTCCGGCTGACTGAGCGAGAACACCCGCGGTCGCCGCGGTCGTCGATCGCGCGCGATCAATGAACATACCAGCTCCCCTCCGGCTCTGTCGGCGAGATAACTCGCGCCGTTCCACAGACACTCGTTCGCGTCCTCCTCCAATTCCAGGGGATTATGCTCCTTGATTGCCGGCAAGGCGGGTGTGTTTGTAGCCGGTTCCTTCCACATTGCCGATTCATTTTGCACGAGGTCCTCCGTGGACAACGAGAAGCTCCAATCCTCCAGCTCCGCCCTGTCGTACTCTAATTCGAGCAAGTCTCGGTGTTGTTGCGCGCTCCTGCTGTCGTCGAGCCTGAAACCCGCGCGATTTTATTTCCTTCATTTTTTACTTTCTTACTGATATGAACCCTAACATTAATTAAGTTGATATTAGTAATTGACGGATTGACGTTAGATATCGAAATAACGTTTCTGCTCAACGAGGCTTTTTAGAGATCCCCAACAGGAGACTCGACAGCATTGAGATGCACATAACGACCGAACAGTCACGCGTGTCCAGCGCCGTTCCGCTCTCTCTCTCTCTCTCTCTCTCCCCCCCCCCGCTTCTCTAAATCAAAGCTCCGCAATCCAATGCGATTACACGCGCTCTCGTCCTGCAAGGACGCGTACACCGAGAGATATGGGAAAGGGAGGGGGCGAGGGCGACAAACCTGAGCCATTGTTGCACGTACTCAGCGTCCCAGCCCTCCTCCTCCACCAGCAGCAGGGAGGACGATCCCATGGGACTGGGTAGCTTGTACGGCGTGAAATTGGCGGTGGTGGTGAGCTTGAGGCAGAGGTGGCTGTCGGAAAAGCTGCGCATCACGTGCTGGTACGGCAGCAGCTCCTTGGTGGGCGGGTAGCTGTGGCGCGGGTTGATGCCGACCGTGAGGTTCAGAGGTAGAAAGAGGACGTCGGGGTCGCCGGCGTCGAGGGCGACGAGGCGTGCGTCCGGCGACACGTCGGCCTCGGTCTCGTCGGTAGCTTCCTTGAGGTCCTCGAGGCCGCGCGACGGCTCTTGGCGCGTGCCCTCACCCTGGACGTCGCTGGACATGGTCGAGTAGCCCTCGTCCCGGTTACCGCTCTCTGGGCTCTCGCTGCCCTCCTCCTCCGAAGGCTTTTGCGCTGGAAACGGTTCGGGGTTATGCACAGTCCTGACGAGAGTGAGAGATTGGCAAAAAGGCGCGAACACCATGGAGAATAGAGAAAACGGGGAATGAAACTGTGCGGTCGATTCGCGTCGGTTAGGCAAGTCGTCGCTCGATTCTCCATCGTGTATCGTTTAAAACGTAGTCTCCAAGTTTCATCAATTAAGAGTTCACTCGGGAATATGTCGGATTTAGTTTCGAAGGTATTCATTCGATTATTCATTCACAGTGGAGAATTCGCTCAATGAGAACCACTCTGAATTCGAGTGACTGTGCTCTTCGAGTGAGAAATTTCACTCGAAGAAAGTTAGAGAATAAGAGCAGGGATATCCGAGAGAGGGTACCGAGAGGTCTGCTGCGTCGGCACTTGGTGGCTGCCATCATGGGTATCTGCAAGTTTAAGGATCGTGGCCTCGAGAGGGGCACCCAAGCTGGATCCAAGCCCAAGGCGGCCACCAGAGCGGCCGGACCGGCCTCGAGGATTCCTTGGATCAGTTCGGTGGGGCTACCAGGACTGGCAGCCTGCGCCAGCAATCCCGACAGTGCTCGATTCTGAGCCTCAAGCTCTCGTATACGTCTCTGCAACGCGCCTATTTCCTCTCTGAGACCCTGAAGACAATTCACCCAGCGGCAATTAGTATACTGCTTACTCTAACGCTCTCTTTGGCGATACATCGAGTTCAAGAAGCGCATTAGCGGGTAGGGTAAGGCGTGTTAGCGACGCGTCAGTTTAATCCCTTCAAGATAATCTGTCAATTGATTGTCAGCATTCAAATTTACATAAAAAGATTCATATTCGCCGCATCCCACTCAGTCGGACGGAGAGATCGGAAGTGAGATCGCGTCGATGCCTGCCAGATGCTTTACAACCTTCTGAGTTTTACATTCTGAAAGCCAAGAATGTGAGGGATAAAGGTATGAGAGATCGAGGTAAAGTGCGCGCGCAGTATTTTACTTTGTTAATAATTTTAATGAGACAATATCTGTCAGCATGCTGCTGCAAAAATTCTGCGAACAATTTTCGAAACGTCACGTCTCGAAAGGGTTAACATCCCCGAACGCGTACGAAATTCATACGCGTCTCCAAGACGCGACAGAGCTGTGCGGGCTGTTTGGACGGGACGTGGTTGTCTGAGGAGAAAGAGACGAGAGAAAGAAAAAGAGAAAGAAAGAGAGAAAGAGAGGACGTGTGGTAACGAGAGCATAGCGATGAACCTTTTGGGATAGGAGGGCGCGGACCACCTGGTTGGCGACGTCGTCCAGGCACCGCTCGTATTGCCGACGCTGGGCGTCGGCGTCCCGCGCCAAGGCCGCGTGTTCCGTCTCCAGGGTCGCCAGTCGTGCGACCAGCGCGGCGTGCACTTCACCAGCGCATGCTGCCTCCAGACCGCGCAGCTGACCCCGCATCGACTCGTTCTCCAGCTGCAGCTTCGAGATCTGCGCCTGGTACTGGTGCACGCGTGCCTGCGAACACGCGAGGTCGCGTTATCGGCGTGCGTTTCATGCGCTCGTATAGTTATTACGAGCAATATTTTATTCAGCGTTCAACGGTGATTAGTGTAATATGTAATCTATCTATAATAGCGCCGCGATATTACATCAGCGGCGGCGGCGGCGGCGGCGGCGCCGATAGACACGCACACATGCGTACACACACATACAACACAACTGACATCTCTGATTATTATTATGAGTCCTAATAACGCGACCGTTAGGTGGTCATTATCGGTAATACTTTATTCACGCGGCGCGCAATGTGACACGACGATTAGTGTAATCCGAAATCTACTACTACGCAACAGAGCAGAAATTACCGCGGTCGCGCGCGCGCGCGCGCTCCGCAAATTAGTGCAGTCGTTTGTGTCGCGACAGCACCAGTTGATTGTTATTTACTGTGACCGTTTTGTTAATTGAACGCCCTAATGATCGCTGCAATCAACTAACGTTTAATCGCGCGTATGCGATTATCAATATCATCGCGCGCAGCCGTCGTAGAAATTCGGGATCGAAATTATAATTGCTCCGTTCGCGACCGCTCGACGGTCATGACGATTTTAATCCCACTTGAAGCGCTCACCGTCGTAATCTCGATCTTAATCCGACGTAAGAGCGACGATACGGAAATTCGCGGGCAGCCGAGTGAGGTCGAGAGATAACGTTTCGTAAATATCTCGCGCGTCAGAGCTCAATTCCCGGCGGTCGTTGAAATTAAAGAGCTAATAGATTGTTCGATTCTATCAAGCCGGCCGGGGAGTGACTCACTTTTCTCTCTCTCTCTCTCTCTCTCCCTCTCTCTCTCTCTCTCTCTCTCCTGGTTTCTCGCTGGGACTCTAGTTACGTCAAATACCGAGCTCGGGCTTCTTGACACGACGGCCACCGCGAGAGAATCAGTCGGTCGCATCGCGGAGATTTAAACATCGCGGACAACGAACGAATCCACCACGCTCGCTGCTCGCAATTATCCCGGCAACAACGGTCGCTCGTTATAGAACGGAACACACCGCTCTTAAACGACCCATTCCCAAAATAATTCCCGACAACAGCCCGTTTGCGTCCATTCTTAAATGGGAGTAATTACGGCGGGCGCTCGTGACGATTGCCATTTGCCGCTCAAATTATCCGTTCTCGCGCGGATACACGCGTGGAGAACAGCCGTGTCGCAGTGACGGATCACCGCGTGAGCACGCTCGGGCCGCTCGTAGGTGGACGTCTCTTTTGTTCCCTTTGTTTCGTTAATGAACGAATAATAACATCTTGGCGAACGCGGGAAGAGACTCAGTCGAAATTTCCCGACTGAGGTGGCTCGCTCGAGACTCGCGCCGACTCGACGATTCTAATCTCCATTCTCCTATTCTCTACGGATTTTAATCTGCGAAAACCGTCCTACGGATTTGCCGCGAATGTTTCGTAAGTAATAATTCCTTTCTCAAACACGCCGTTTCCGAGGTTCTCCTTAGATTGTCGTGATATTATTCGCGAGCTTTCCCCCCTTTTTCTGCCCGGATGCTTAATTTTTAATATCATCGGATATAAGGAGGCTCGCTTTACACCTGGGGCTATTCCCCCCGTGCTATTCAAACCTACCGAGGCTCTCTTTACTCCGCCGTTCTCCAAACGGAAGTAATCACGTTGCGGTGCTTGTGACCGCTCGCCACTCTTATTATACCGTGTTCGCCTCGAATTCCCAGCGACTCGAGCTTTCAGGCGAAAGGCGAGAGAGAGAGAGAGAGAGAGAGAGAGAGAGAGAGAGAGAGAGAGAGAGAGAAAGAGAGAGGGAAACGAGAGCACAACGGATTGTTTAACGACAACAAGCTTTTCCGAGAGCTGGGCCGTTACCGAACGTTAATAACCAGCCGTTATTAGCAGAAAGGCGTTTAACGTTGAATTAGAGCCGCGGAGACCTCTGTCGGGGACAGGGGTGCTAATAGAGGGTGCGTGTGTCTGATTTATAACAGTCGGCCCTTGCTAACGTCCGCGCACCCCCCCCGCATCGCGTCGAGCGAATCAACGATTTTCTGTCGTTCCCCAGACCCGAGGGAGAATAAAAATGCAGCAGACCGCCCGCCTTCTGCGAATTCTCGCCGACACAACGCGCGTTGCTCCTCGATACAGGATATCCCAGGAAAATCGCGGCCCCGATTGCGATCGATTTTCCCCGCGAGATCGACGAGAGACGCGGGATCGAGTTAAATGGAAGAAAGAAAAGAAAGCGCTTTTTCCTTGCTCCAAGCGCACAACGAAGCGGTAGGCAGTGCGAAGTCTGATTCGCGTTCGACAGCACGCTGGAGTCGCTTTTCTCATTTCGCAAATACCAGCGTAATATACTCGCGTCGCTCGTTGAAAACACCGCTCTCGCGGCGATCGCGCTCTCCCCTAGCTTCTGCCGCCGTAAATAAAAATTAATCTCGCAATTCCACTCTCTCTCTCTCTCTCTCTCTCTCTCTCTCTCTCTCTCTCTCTCTCTCTCTCTCTCTCTCTCTCTCTCTCTCTCTCTCCTCTCTCTCTCTCTCTCTCTCTCTATCTATCTATTTCTCTCTCTCTCTTTCCGGCCCTCGGTGCCTGCCGATACAGACCCCCCCCCAACCTGTCACTCGATCCGACGCGAATCGGCTGTCCTTTATTTTCCTGTTTCCCCGCTTTTTTTTTCTCCTCTCGTTTCGCAGATTGTCACCGATCGGCGAGCGTGCAATGAAAGTACACTCGTGCGTTCAGACGTAACGTTATACACCGCTTCCCGTTAGGGATTGCGCGGCTTGTCATTGACAGGCGGGTCGACATTGAACCTAGGGATCGAGTGACGATCGATATTAAATGTTATTTCGTGGGGCGACGATGCAGTTTCTGTCTTTCTCTCCGTGTGTCTCCCTTTCTCTCCCTCTGCCTCCTGCCGTTGTCGCGGGGGAGGGAAACAGAGAGGAGAGGAGAGGACACCCAGCACGGTACGACTCTTTTAGGGGCAAACCGAGCGTGAACGAGATAGCGCGCGTGCCGTAAGGATCGGCAGTAAACGTCCGCGTTTACTGTTCCCTGCCTTTATTGCTCGAGAGCCCTCGCATGCGCCGCTCTACGCGTTTTACGCCAAAAATCATCGCCCGCCGCCGGCTTTACGAGTCCTCGCGAATTGCGGAAACGCGCGCGCGCGCTCGCTCGTTCGTTTATAGGCGATTTTTCCGGACAGATCGTCAGCGATCCCCGAGATCGCTTCGCGAATCGGCACGCAGCGTGGCGGTTATCGTGTCACGCATGAACTTCTCGGCGAAACCGGTGGCAGGGAAGTAAAGGGCAACTCGGCAACTCCGAGTTATGTTATCGCGTGGCTGATAAAGAGCGAGGAATCCGAGAGAGAGAGAGAGAGAGACAGAGAGAGAGAGAGAGAGACAGAGAGAAATCCCCATTTGGGAAACGCTTGAAAAAACGACGAGAGTGGAGAGCGAAATCAACCGCGCTCGCCGCTTGACGTTTAATAATAATTCAACGCGGAGCGAAGCGGAGCGGAGCGAAATCCGGCTGTTTCGCGACAACACGACACGGGGAACAGAATCCAGCCAGCCGAGCGTGGCTCACGATGAAATACAAGGAGGGAACTTGACGTCGCCGTGAAGGAAAGAGCGCGGTATTATTGTATAAGGGAAACCTTTTACCGCGGATCTGTCATCGCGCTCCGGCTGCCACGCGAGTCGAACTCGGCGGCGCGAAATCGTCGTTCGGGGACGTGCTTACGCGCTCCTCAAAACAGCCGATTGTAGTCGGATTGCGGCGTCGATTATCCCGCTCGTGTGTTGTATAACGTTTGCTCGGCGTGTCGTGTCGCACGTGATTGATGCGGACGGGACGAGCCCCAGGGACGGAGTTCCTCTCGACGTGTCGGGTGCTCTCGGACACCTCCCGCGATCGAGGGTCGATGACTCGGGAACGACTTCGAGACGCGCGAATCGTCCCCGAGTCCGCACGCTCGTGTGATCGAAGTTTGTGAGTTAAACGCCGCCCAATGTCGGTGAAAAGTGCGCTCTCGCACACGTAACACGAGTCGCAGTCGCGTGTTTACTCACCTCGTAGGACAGTGTCAGCGCCGTTTTCTCTTGCTTCAGCTGTTCGGCCCGGTGCTTCTGTTGCAGCAGGCCCCGCGACGACTCCTCCATCCTGCAACAAATCAGACCAGTCTCTCGTGAGAGAGGAAGAGCTCCCGGATTTTAATCCTCGTTGAAAAGATCCTAATTGAATGAGCCATTGAGCCACCGCTCCCGCGTCTCCTCGGTAGCTCTCCATTGTGCCGGCGGAAAATTTATTTGCTCTTTCTCTATCTCTCTTCTCCTTCGTTCGTTTTCTCGACCTTGCCTCGGCCTCGAAGAAGAGCCGTCTTGCTCCTCGACGATATTAAGGATTCTCCTCCCGCGAAATAAACTCGCAAACAATATTTTCGGTTTTCTTCCTCGGTTCTTACTCGGACTTCTCCTTCACGCTTGTCTTACTCTCGTTTTCGAATTTCTTGTTCCAATTATAACCAAGTTTCTGCGATTAAAGTATACGATTAGTGAGATATTGGAAATTATTATGGAGTGGAGACGGTGGAGACTTTAATACTATTGAAACAAGAAACGATAATTATTCCAGAGGGAAATTTTTTGCGGGTGGTGTCGATGAATCGCAGAATCTAACTTGAAGTTTCAAGTTTTATTGTACAGTAGTTAAGTATTCTTTACCCGACACTCCCTTGGGCGCTTTCGCGCCTTTGTAAAGTCCGTCTTTTCTCTCCCGAATCGCTCGCCGAGAAGAAAATCGAAGATCGAGATTTCCGTCTGACGAACTTCCTTCGTGCGAGAACGCTCCGCGGGGTTAATGATCTGATTAGGGATGCAGGGGTGCGACTGAGATATGAAGCCGATTTAAGCTTTTCGGGGGCGGCCGAGCGAGAGGTTGCCGCAGCGCCTGGCAACACCCTACGTCTTCCTGTCGCCCCCCCCCTTCCCCACAGGACAGATATCCTTGCTTATATCCTCGGCTCGAAGTAACTTTCGAGCCAGTTACGAGTTTCAATTCGATTGTGCTCCGTAGACGTTTAATAAGGATGAATTTCCGACCGGTCGATCGCGATCAGCTCCCTAATTGGATGAAACTGAAAGCACGATGGGAGCTTGAAAGGGAAGTTCGTGTAATGCGGAAATATTTATTCGTATCATTCGCTTTTCTCCACTCATCCCGCGGCATTCTTCGAGATTTTCCCATTTCCTAACCATCATCGAATATCTGTCAAAATTTCTCGAAATGTCGTGTAGCTTATCTCGTCGTTATCGTTTTCTCGCGTTTTCACTTGGTTTCTCGTTGCACACGCGGAACTATACACGAGACCGCGTGAGCGATCGATCAAAGCAACGCTCGCAATTGCAGCACCCTTAAACCGGGTGTAGCTCCCCTAAACAGCTCCCTCGTCTTCCCTCTTGATTTCTCTGTTCTTCACCTTTATACATTTCGCTCTGCCTGCCTCTCTTCTCTCTCTCTCTCTCTCTCTCTCTCTCTCTCTCTCTCTCTCTCTCTTAGTTCGAAACACATGGCACAAGCAAGCCGGTCCTCTCATGATTTACAACTGTTTCTCTCGGCAAATTCGATTACGATGATTCTGGGGTGCACATAGCGTCGAATTGCAGACGGGGATAACAGTCGCCTGCCAGTCCCAATAATACTCGATAACACTCAATAAAACACGGAGCTTGTGTCGAAGATATATTCATTCGATTCATCAATTCGCCTCGCTTTTATTATTATTCTTACGTCGCACATTTAATTCCTCTCGCGGCTTGGAAACAGGACCGGGAGAAAATCAGATTTATTTTTCAGGACATTTCGATCTTAGGAACGCGTTATTAATTGTCATCTATTTTAATGGTTACAGTTATTACTGCAATAGAAATGTTTCCTTTTGTGCGCATAAGCATATAAGAATATATTCAAGTCACGTTTGCTCTCGTCGTCCTCGGGAAGCGACGAGCTCCGTATATAAAATTTATGCCCCGCATTTCCGAGAGCAAATCTCTCCGACATTGACGACGCGGCTCTCGTCGCCGAGTCGCGCTATTATAATTACTGTTTACACGTGTCGCGTGTCGCGTGAGTGACAGCGGCGCACGTTTCGACGGCAGAGCACCCACGCACCCTCACGCATACATGCATACCGCGTTGTGTGCACGTGAAGTTCGCGAGACAGACGCCAAAATAAACAGGTGCCCCAGCAGGAATACGCCGTTGCGAATCGCACGGTGCGCCCTTTGTGCGCCAGGACGCCGTCATTATCATATGGAAATTGTTAACGCCCGTCGCTTTAACCTAACCTAACCTAACCACCATCAGCGCACGACCCGAGATAGGAAAAGAGCGAGAGAAGGAGAGAAAGAGGACGACCGCGTTCTGCTCCTGCGAAGCCGTCGACGCTCTTCGTGTTCGTCGCGCGATACACGTGTCGCGTATACAGGTTGCGTGAAAAGTTCGCGGAGCGAAACTGAAATAAAGAATACCAAATTCTAAAAATGATTTTATTCTTCAGTATAGTCTCCAGTAACTTCAATACACTTGGCCCAATGGCTCTCCAATAGTTTTATTCCATCGCGGAAGTGTGTTTCTGGAAGGTCTGCGAAATATGCCTCTACGGCTGCTATTCAGCTTCTTCATTCGACAAAAAATGCTTTCCACGGAGGAATTGTTTCAGGTTTCGGGACAGACAGAAGTCGCTGGGTGCCAAATCTGGCGAATACGGTGGTTGATCAAGCAATTTGTACTTTAATTCATTGAATTTAGACATTGACAAAACACTTGTGTGAGCAGGTACGTTGTCTTGGTGAAAAATGATTGGTTTCTGCTGCAAACCAAGTCTTTTCTCACGAATTTTTGCGTCCAATTGATCCAAAAGGTTACAATAATATTCAGAGTTAATTGTTTTACCTTTTTCCAGATAGCCAATTAACAAAATCTCTTTAGCATCCCAACAGACTGATCGCCAAAACCTTTTTTGCCGATCTTTCGTGCTTTGTTTGCTTTGGAGCTGAACATCCAGCTTTCAGTCCACCGTAAACGTTCCTGTTTCAATTTAGGATCATGGTGATAGATCCAAGTCTCATCCATAGTTATAAAACGACGCACAAAATCGGTTTTATTCTTCTTAAAACGATCCAAATGACGCTGAGAAATTTGCTTTCGAGCGAGTTTTTGTTGAATTGCTAACGTATGCGGCACCACTTTTCCAAACACCTTTTTCATTTGTAATTCTTTATTATAAAAATATGCCGTACCCGTTCATCTGAAATGCCTATGGTATGAGCAATTTCACGCGTAGTCACACTTGGATCTTCAGAAACAATAACATGTATTTGCTCAATGATTTCTGGTGTTGATGCGCTTGTTGGACGTCCACCGCGTGGATCATCTTCAATGCTTGTACGACCACGTTGAAACTCAAGTGCCCATTTACAATTGCATTGTTTTTGAAGGAGCAGATTCCCCTAACACATTTATCATCTCGGAATGAATTTCCGTTGCCTTTAAACCTTTTTTAACAAAGAACTCAATCACTGCACGCTGTTTCAAATTTTCCATTGCAAACAAATATACTGACACGTCAACTCCTTCAATTGGCTTGTAAACACAGAAAGAATTGACAGATGGAAATGAAACCTAACCTAGGTTCGTGTGAAGAGTGATTCTATGTAACCGACTACAATTTATAATTCTACCGTTTACTTATAGATGCCGCTCCGCGAACTTTTCACGCAATCTGTACGTCGCGACACACACGTCGACGGAAACTTCACCGGCCGCGAATTTAATGCGCCTTCTTTGTCGCACGCACAGGACGCGGGCGGAGGACGCGCTGCTCCGGAATCAGCCGGCATAATGCAGACGCCGGAGCTCGGCGTCGCGATTGTGCGACGAGGATTAATTTCCGGCGAGCGTATATCGAAAACGCCACTCTCATATCCGTAAAATAACGGGCACTCCGGGCACAATAGACGGCGGCATTGATCTTCGCACGCGCGCATGCAGGGTGGCATCTTCGCGTTCGGTTCGCCGCGTCGCGGCGAGTGACTTCTTCGACGAGCGACGACGCTCGCGTCGGAGTCGTCGCGTATGCACTGTGACTTTCTCTGTGGTATTTTTGTCGAGTCGATATATCGATATTGGCGCGTTGAATGTCGCGACAGTCGCCGGTGACCGCGGATATACGTCATCGCGCGTCTCATTGAGTCGCGCATAAGGCGTGTATTGGATTGTGCATTTGAAAAATCGCTTCCAGCCTCAATCGGCAGGTGGATGGGACGAGGCAAACAAATCTACACGGAGGAAAAATGTTTGGTCGAACGAACCAATTTTCTGGTGTGTGAAAGATGAACGACTGAGAAATTCCGATCGAAAATACGAGAATCCTGTTTAAGTTAACCAGAGGAATCTTGGTAATTTATAGACTGAACTCTGATAACTTCAATCGGAATTCCATCGCGATTCCTACAGCACTTTCAAGAATCGCTGTGTCTCTCACAGTCTTGAATCTTTTTAGTAGACAATTAATCTTGTTTTCAATCGAGATTGCGAGGTGACCGATACTTGACACCAAATTACTTCGTCGACTGCTTTATTATTTATTCTATTTTTTTTAATTGCTTATTTATTGTCTAACGCCTCACGGTGACACTTGCTCTATATTGAGAAACTATTGAGAAAGAAAATCGAACAAATATACGCATTTCCTAATTACTTCAACTCTCAGCGGGGGGTTAGGGAGGATATAAAATTCGAAGAGCAAACGGCCAAGGTAGGTGTAATGTTCTCTCTCATGTCGTCCGCTCTCGTTCCTCATCCCGGAATTTCGCATGCTCGTACAGCTATTTAGGTTGCATTGTTCCTACGTGTGGTTAATAGGACCCTCTGCAGCGACGGCGCGTCGACGAAAGGGGTCGGAAAATTCAATTTCGTGTCTGGCCGCGTAAAAATAACGCAGCCGCGCTCCGCTTTCTCTCTCTCTCTCTCTCTCTCTCTCTCTCTCTCTCTCTCTCCTCTCTCTCTCTCTCTCTCTCTCTCTCTCTCTCTCTCTCTCTCTCTCTCTCTCTCTCTCTCTCTCTCTCTCTCTCTCTCTCCTCTCTCTCTCTCTCTCGCTCGCTCGTTCGCTCTTCCTTTCGAGCCACTCGTAAAAAGCCGCCGCCAGTAGCACGAGGTCCGCATTTTTAATTCCCCGCGATCGTGTCTAGATTCCACGGGTCCGCTCCGAAGCCGTGGGAACAAAAGATCACGTTTAATTGAGCGGTCGAGCGGTACGGCGTCGCCTCTTGGAGATCTCGAAGCCCGGAATTTTAAGTATCGTCTAGCCGCGGCGAGCGGCCCTTTGAAATTGCGCTTTTGCCGTGAAATATGTTCGCCGAAGCACGTGAAGAAAACACCCCGCGTTAGCGGGGAAGAAAGGGTAAGGCAAGGCAGAAAATTAAATAAAATCCCAAAGGGAAATTCGAAAGTTACAATTCGTCGGACGCGGCGTTCTGAAGAATCGTCCCGCGTCGCGGATCGGGACTAAAATTCCGACAATGGTGGCTCGCGCGACGTTTTGAGAGCTTCGTCGGGGCTCTCAATCGCGACCGGATGTGAGGGCGTGAAGAGAGAACGACACGGCGAGAAGGAAAGGGCGGAGACGCGCACGAAAGGGCGTGATTACTCATTCACGGCGGAGGAGAGCCGTCACGTCGGCGTATCCGGCTGGTTGTAATGCATCATGTCGCGTTGCACGCTGTAAAACAGGGATATCAATTTGCCGTACACGCATCGTCCGCGCGTGTTACGACGACGACGGTGACGCGAGACGCGCGGTCGGATTTCGCCTCGTTCGTGGAAGCGCTCGTGGAAATACGTGAAACGAGAGTCCCGTGGAGACCCACGAAATTCCGTCGCGGAGATGATCCGCCGAAGCGTGCAGCTCTCACCTCCGCACGCGTAATCCCCGCGGAATTACCTCCGACGTTTTTTCTTTTTCTCTCTCGAGAAGGAGAGAGAGATATATATCCTCGAAATTGCATCGAAAAGCGCGCGCGCGCGTGAAAAAGTCAGGAGAAACGCGCGACGCGGTCCGCGTCGTTCGCGCAATTATTTTTCAGATAGATTCTGCCGAGATTCTCTCTCTGCTTTTCCCTCTGTTTTCAGTTTTACAATAGTTGGCTTTTACGGGTTCAGCATTCGCGATTCTTCGAGATAGATTTCGTCGATTTCTCCTTTTTCTTGATTGTTCCTTTATTTTGCGGTTTCACGGTAATTTTCGATTCCGACATTCGCGTTCTTTCGCGATTCTTTTTTGCGCGATTTTTTCCCTCCCTTCTTTTTCCTTCCTCTTCAGCCTCGTAACAATTCGATTTCACTCTCGACACGCAGGTCGATACCTGCAGATTCGAAGAGAGTCAACGCGCTCCTCTCGACCCTACCTGCGTATTTGGAACGCGCGTTCGACCGCAGTGACCGAAATGTTAATTTGCGCGGTGAACCATGCGTTGCATCGCGATGCAAATGACGCTCCGGTCAGGAGTTGCACGCAATTGATTAAATCGGCCTGTTTGATATAACGCGCGAAGATATCTCGCCAACGAAAGCGCTATTGTGCCACCACGAGTTGCGTGTGGTGTGGCGGCACGATGGAAATTTCCAAATTTTACACAAATTCCCGCAAATTCGGTGCAACGAAAAATAAGACAAACGCGCGAAGAAAATGTTGACTGGTGTGAGACGATATTTGTCGGTCGAGAAGCGATATCACACAAAAAAATCAGCATTCGCGAGACTTCCGCTAAATTCTCGATTTTGTCTCGGGCACGTTTGACACATGCGACGGTGCTGACAAACAAACACCTTAGCTCTCGAATGTTCGAGACCGTTCATTGTTGTCATTTCACGGTCGCAGAGTGTTTACATCATTTAACTGCTACGGTCGAGATAACTCGAGTGTGGGAAAAAATGGCGGCCTTGCTGCTACGATCGAGTTTACTCGATTTGGACTTTCAATGTGTAATACCCATTTAATTTAGTTTGTAAAAAGCATTTGAATTGAGCGGACATATAGCGGGCATCTCTTATCATTATAAAATATTTTATAATTGTAAAAATAACTCAGCAAAGAGGGTCATACTGGTCATTTAATATCTCAGCAGTTAAAGCAGTTAATTGCGACGATAGTTGGGGATTTTGGTGGGGATGACTTTTTCTCACTCGTTTGGATACTTGCGCGCGGCGCGTACGTGTTTGTCTCGAGCCGACGCGCGCGGCGTACATATCGTAGTGCGCGAAGTGTATCCGTATTAAAATAATTCGGACTCTCTTTCTTAAACGATAGACTCTTTTCGTAATTTTTCGTAATAATCGGGCTATCCGTCGACCGAGCATTAAGTCGTGTGTTTCTTCGACAGAATCGCGAAGCTCGGTGCCACGGGAAAGTGACGACGGAGCAGCCAGAGGAGTCAGGATGCCGCACCAGGATGTTGAGACCAGGTATGTCAAGTCATTTATTATGCGGGACGTTTCCGACTTTAACGGACATCTAACTCAAACTTGCCGGGAACAAAGGGAACATCCCAGTCGAGATGTTATTCGCGGTCCAGTATCTAACGATTAATAAATAAATTAATGAATAAGTTTGTGAGATGAGTCTCTGATAATGTTACATCTTACGATTCTTTATTGACTGTTCGAGTTCGAGGGCAGGGTTGACATAGAAGTAAAGTTTCGACTCGGGATATGATACTGCGTCTCGAGGCTCGATCGTTCGTGGCTCGAAGCTGGAAGCAGCCACCCCGTGTACGTTGTTTTGCAATTTTCTACATCGGAATGCCGCGCGCACGGCTCACGATTTCTATTGCGAGTCGAGAGTCGATAAGCCCCGATCCCGTCGGGCCGCCAGTTTAATTTCTACGGTGTGTTATTGATCCCGGGAAAAATGTCAGAAGATTCCTCTTTTTTCCTGTCTGCTCGACGGCGCAGACGGTCAAAGGACCGAGCGTTTGAAAGGTTTTTGCCCCGGCTATGGACTTGCCGAAACGAATCGTTGGTTTTGACAGAAATGTACGAGAGCGCCCTTCCTTCTTTCGCACGCTCGCACACGACCGGACGCGATCGGTGCTCGCCAGTCTATCGAATAATTCGACGAGTAATCCGCTAACTCGGCCTTGCGATAAAGGAACCCATCTACGTTCGTTTCCCTCCTTCCCCCCCCACCCCCCGTCGGAGGAGGCCGGTGCTATTGACGCGAGGATCTTCCGGAGGATCAATGAGAGATTAATACTCGCGAGAGACGAGATCTCTCGAGGTAACCACTCTTGTATCGCGATCGAACATCGCAACCCCTATGATCGGCTAAAAATACCTCGAAAAATGTGAAATCCCAGCCGCGCGCGACGCTGTTCCCAAAATCCGCCGGTCGCGCGATGCCGCAAGAATTTAATTTAATTAGTCGACGCCGTATATCTCTCGTTCCTTTTTTGCCTCGCGTGCTTATCGAACGTGCCGTTATCGCGCGATATTCGGTAATAGTAAATCCGAGTGTGAGGGGTGCGTGGATGGCCGACGCGACAGTCCACGGAAGGTGGGAAGGTTATCATTTTGGATGGTTGTGCAGTATGTTATTGGCCGAGGGCCAATATCGATGATTTAGCATCGGATCCGCGCTGGTTATCGCGTGGGAAAGGCGCACGCGCGCGGTCTCATTATTTACACGTTACACCGGTTACTTTGGTCGTATATAGCGTGTATCGTGTAGCGCAGGAAATAAAGTGCCGTTTTCCCCGTTGCGCCGTTGCGACGATTCTCGCGAATCGTTCCCGCGGAATCGACGACGCGCGAGCGAAATCGATCTCTCGCGGCCTCGAATCATCGGCGGGAGCTTCGTAGAGCGCGCAGACTAGGCTGATAATTTTTCGCTCACGACTGTTGATTTTTGCAGTCTCTCAACACCATCAATACCATACAGTTCATTTGAAGAATCCGCAGATGAAATTATTTTTTAATAATATCACCGAATAAAATTACTTGATTTAAATTGCTCAAGAAGTTACCTAAATTCTCGATAATGTTATTTAATAAAATTATTTCTTCATAATTATATGTACTTGTTCGTTTGTGATTTCAATCAATATACGCAAATCTCCGCTCTCAGTCTGTGAACGATATTCGTGAGACGTTTGAAAAATATGGAATATTATCGAGATGTATTATCTCAATTGCATGTCCTCGCACACGTCGCGCGCGCATTTGATTCGCGCGCGTTAACGCACACAGAGGATGGTGAGGTCTCACCTGGCCAACTCTCTCTGAAGATGATGGACTCTCGAGCGCGCTCTCTCAGCCTCGGCCGTAGCTTCGCGTACCCGAGCTTCGGCCTCCATTCGTTGCCGGCGTTCTCGTTCCACATCTCGTTGCGTGGCCTCCCTCTGCAAATACACAATTCGAAATTGACATTTATTAATGACGGTCAGGTAGACGGAAAAAATAAGGGTGGCCGGCGGGCACGGCTTGGGAGGGATGAAGGAGAGGGAGGATAATTAACGCGACGCTGGCACGACGGCGATGTAAAATTCAGCGTCGCGCTCGAAAAATCGACGTCGTTGGCACGATCGTGAATAATAGATCGACAATAATGACGTCGATACGAGCAATCGCGTCGCCGAAAAGGTATATCGCGGCGGCCGGGGCGGATGGTGATTAATTAATGGCGGATTTAATAAAGTGTTCGTGTGTCGCGGCGCAGAGACACGTCGCCCGTGTTATTTTGTCGTTCGTTTCACCGTCGCGTCGGTCAGTCGTTAGGACGGACGAGTGGACGGACGGATGGGCGGACGATTGGCAGGGACGTTAATTGACTTGTAATTAATCAGCGCGTACTCGTCATAATTTATTCGGTAACATGCAACGAGCGACAATTAATAAATCACCGTCCGGTCATTCCGCCGCTTTTCGTTCTCCCGATTGGGAAAAACGGCGCCGCGGTTAATTGTCGGGCCGATCGGCGGTATCCTCGGTGGGAATCGAGACTGGTGTTGCAATTTGTTTGAATTTCCCACGGAAATTCCGTCGAAACGACGGATGGAAATGAATTCATTTTGCGCGCGCGCGCTTATTGTGTGCAAAAAGAAGATACGCGTCATTGTCCGTCGCGCGAATATCCCCAATTGAGATATTTCCGCGTGGCGCGCGATTTGACACAATCGTTATTCCGCACTATATTCCAACGATGAATAAACGATACGTCACAAGTGACGTTGCATCCGAATAAAGCGACACTGTTCGCATTATTCATCGCGAGTTATTCGAACGTCACGCGAATCGTGCATCATCGTCATTTGTATGATCGATCAGCGCGTGGATAATGAATAACAATCGATCGTCCCCCCCCCCCCGAATCGATTATTTCAATAGAAACGGTCTCACGCGCTCGCTATATTTTCTGGGATAACGCCGGCGGCCGATGTCGAGCGGTAAATCTGGACTGGCCGAAAATTTAGCGGCGGCAATAGTCGGCGAGAGAGCGCGCGCGTTCGCACCTGCAGGCCGAGAGAGGTCCTGGAATTCGATGGATCGATGGCCGTGAACGGGCCGAGGAAAAACGCGCGAGACGACCGAAAAGCTCGTCGATCTTCGGCCCGCTGCGGCCGAGGGGAATTATTCATGAATTTAAATCGAAGCGGCGCACGCTACATTGATTGCGCTCTTCCGGATCGCGGCGAGTGTGCCCCGTCGGCGCGTAGCCTTCTTTGAACGAACGAGCATAGGCAGCCGTTCTCTCTCTCTCTCTCTCTCTCTCTCTCTCTCTCTCCCTCTCTCTCTCTCCCCCTGCCTCCGAAGTGCCATCAATAATTGTGCCGGACCAATGTGCCGAAAGCAGTATTTCACGCGATTTAACCGGCCGGGCAACCGCGCGACTATCGGGACCGGCCGTAAATTGTCGTTTGTCCCGGCTAGGAAGGGCGGAGTTTCGGACGGCGCGAGAGATAATAATGCGCAGATTCGCAATAGTGGCGCGATCAGCTCCGGAGGAGGAGGACACGGCCGGCTTGCGAAATTTATATAGATTCCGGAATTTAAATCCTGGGATCCGGATTCTCGAATCTAGACACTCGTCCTGGAACGCGGCGAATGGGCGGAGAATCGTTAGAAAGTTAGGTGAAGATTGTGGAAATTTGTGCAAGAGAGTACAGTAATTTTACCAGAGGGAGGAGGAACTACGACTGAAAGTCGTAGCAAGCAAGAAAATTACTTTTTGTCGGAGGGAAAAGATACTTACAATCGTAATAAGCAAGTATTCGAGTCTCGTAGTCGGAGATGGAAACCTCCTAATAACCGCGGTAAGAGCGCGGTTCTCCACCGATATTTTTCATTCCGCGTCCCCTTAGTTCCCTATTTTAGCTTACGAACTCACTTGTACGCACAATTCGTTGCAAAAAAAAAAAGAAAAAACGCATAGCATTACTCATTCTCCGTGTTAGCGTGTCCAGTAACTACGTTCACAGCGTTCCTAACTTTATATGCACTCGGTGCAGTCCGACTATCATCCTCGCTCATTCTCACGCGCGTGTGTGCCGACTTTTCGGCTCGACGCGTTCGGACAATCAAATGTAAAAATTCCGCCGACGTCGGCGGATATCGTCGCGATCAGCAGGAGGAAGTTCGCCGAAGGAAAGGACGTGGGTGAATTCGAGGACGGTGGCTCGAAAGGGGAGATATCGTGGAATACAATCTGGTAAAAGCCGGGCTGACCACCGCTCTCTCGCTCGCTAGCGCACGCGGAGGGGTTTAAGGAATGGCCGGGGCGGATTTATGGCAGCCTTAAATCCTAACGAACGCTCTTTTCCTCCCCCGTTGCCGCGCGCCACCGCCCGACGTATCCTCGCGGCTGCTTTCCATCGAGAATGTCGTATGCGCGCGAGGTTACTTCCACTTGGAACGCGATTTCCGACCCCTGCCCACCCCCCGCGTCGCCTCTCGTCCCGGAAAAGCCGCGATTCCCGTCGCTTTTTACTGCTCGAATCGTGCGAATGGCGAGCAGCGTATCGCGCCCGGATCGCGCGATGAACGGTCGCAGATTTTATGACGGGTGTCCCATCCGCGAAATCGATAGAACAGGCTTCCGTATTTGCGTGTGAAATGACACAACAGTTGGCAATTGTTTCTCCCCCTCGGAAAATAAATAGCGATCGTGCGCCAGACAAAAGTGGAAAAAGAATCATTCTGGGATCCCAGGCTCCGTTCCTTTTCTCTCTCTCTCTCTCTCTCTCTCTCTCTCTCTCTCTCCCTCTCTCTCTCTCTCTCCCTCTCTCTCCCTCCCCCCCCCTCTCTCTCTCTCTCGTCCGTGGCGCTACTAAACACGTTCACCAACGCGGTTTATTCGGAGAGAACTTTCCCCGCGCACAGACCACCACATTATACTGACTTTTATGTAATTGTACAAAATTCAGTTTTACAATTCCGTTTGCCGTTGCTGCGCGCTCGTTACCATCACGGCAGCAACGGCGCCTCGGCGTCGTCGAATCGACGCTTCGTACGGCGGAAGGGCGGAAGAGAAGGAAAGAGAGAAAGAAAAGAAAAAAAGCTGATATAATCTTCAAAGACGCCCCACGGAGAGGGCCAACACGCGGGCTCGTCGCGCACGTGCGCGCGCGCGCGCGCGCTTTCATTCGGGGCACGTGCAGCGTGCAACGAGCGAAAGACGCGAGCTCGCGCGCGAGGAGAAGTCGCGTCCAATCAACGTGTAGCCGCGCATGGGGGTTGCGCTGCATCATCGGGAGCGGCAAATAATTAATGAGCGGCGAGATTCGGGGACCGTGTTGGCCACTCGCTCGCGCGAAAAAGCCCGCTCAATAATTCAGCCCGCGAGTTCGCCGACTCGTCTCGTGGTCGATCGAGACGCCGCCGCCGTCGTCGGTCGTTTCTGTCGACGTGGGGGGCACGTGATGGTCGCGACGCGCGTGAAGCACATCCTTCGGATAAGAGGATGGCTCAAGGAGCAAGGAAAGAGACGAGATCGAAGGGAAGGGGAGAGAGAGAGAGAGAGAGAGAGAGAGAGAGAGAGAGAGAGAGAAAAAGAGGAGAATCTCCAGCTGGAGCAGCAGCTTTCGCTGCGGATTGATAGCAGAGTCACGCGCCTGCGATCCCCGATACTCTCCGTGCGAGAAACGGAGCCGCAATAAATCTTTCAGGCCGACTCGCTTTCGCACCTCCGAGAGGGAGGGACAGAGAGAGAGAGAGAGAGAGAGAATCTCCTCGGCCGAGAGAATCGCACGCGCTCTCCGCCAGCGCGACAAGTTACGAGGGAGAAACCGGCCAGGGTGGTTGGGCGACTTGGCGGTGAGAGCGCGAACAATGAGACATCCCGCGCCAGCGAGCGAGAGAACCGTCTCCTGGCTCTCCGCCGGTCGTTACCGCTCCTCGCAGTGGTGATTTCACCGTGGAGCGCGCGCGTTGATGGCTGTTTGAAACTTGCCGCCGCTATCGATTTTGGCAGCGGGCCTACGTAAAACTGCGAATAATGATCGAGTCATTCCGCGACGCGCGCCAACGAGATGGAAAGTGTCTCTCTCGTCGGGGCGCGCTTCGCCCTCGAAATTTGGCGTAGCGAATATAACCTCTCACTCCGGAACGCGAGAATGAAAATAGCGGCGGTCATTCTCGCGATCGATCCGAGTGAATTCGTTCTGTGAGCACACAGTGGCAAGCGCGATCACAGATTCGCTCTTGAATTTTGGGCGAGCATACATCGCCGCTTTCGGCGATTCGGAGGGGAGAGTTTGCTTTGTGTGACTGAAAAACCGCTCGAATCGGGACACGATTCGGCCGTTGCTCTACTTTCAGAGGAGAGAGGACAGAGGGGAGAAAATATTGCCGTGTTCATGGAAACGGCCAACCGGCCGCGCCATTATTGGAGTAAATCCTGTCGACTCGATGGCGATGGTTATTGAAAAATCAATATATTAGACATTATTAAAACCACGTAAGCCGTTTATAGCTTGAATAATATTGCCATTAAACAGAGAATTCTTTTACTTCGCTCACTTCACATTTCCTCAGTCGTTTGCTCCAATTACGCCGCTGCTGCTATTAACGCCAGGCCAGGTTTCTACTGACGCAACAGCCTCTCCTTCCGTTACAGTACTTTGCGCGATACGCGAACTTTCGCCGTGTATGCAAAGCGGACGGGATAAGAAAAAGGAACACGGGTCTCGCTGGTAACGCGATTCCTCCGTATTTCATTTCACAAAAGCAACGCAGACGGGGAACGCCTGTCGACGAATACAAAAGGGAAAATCAGCGGGACGCGCGCGCTATTGCGGACACGGAAAAATCAGGCCGCTAATGCGCACGGCAGGCAGGAGAATTGATTCAACTCGCTTTAGCCAGGGTTATCGTCGTGATTTAATACTCGCCGTTACGTTGATAACGAGCACGTTTCGGGCGCAACGCCGCTGCCACGTCACATGGAGGTGGTGGTTGTTATCAACGCTCGCGCGTGTGCATTGTATTCGGCCGACGTAATGCGCCGCGCTCGTTGCATATCAATAAAACGCTGGAAAAAAAATCTCTCGCTCAAGCCCCGGAATGTTGGACGGCGCGCCGCTATGCGGCACGTAGGTAGGTATTCGCTTTTGCCGGCGGTATCCGCGAATCGGATACACCGCCGCGCGCGCTGTTTCGCAACTTTGTAACCGAGCGCGGTAAACGGCGCTAAACGCGCGTTTACGCTGCGCCCTGCTTTTCTATGCACGGCCAACTATGCGCCTATCTAACGTCTCTTTCTCTCCCCCCCCTCTCTCTCTTTCTCTCTCCCCCCTTTTTTTCCTTCTCGCGAAGCAACAACCGCCACGCTCTCGTCTTTTCTTTCGTACTTCCCTCCTCTGTGTTTTCTCTCTCCATTCTCTTTTATCTTCGACCGTAGTTCTCGTTTCTGTCTCGGCGCACGAGCAAGCGGACGAGTCTTCGTGAACTTTACTATCGCGCGTATTGTCGTATAAGCGACAATTCGTCGCTCATAACGGCCGCTTTATCTCGAAGCGAGGCAGTTTCGCGATATTACGCGGGCGTTTAAAGCCAGCCCAAGGGATGGTAGCGTTTCGACGAGATGCGGCGTGATTTCGGCTCATTTGCAAGCGAAACTTGCGCGCGAGGTCGTTCCCTTGCGCGAAATTTTCGCGATATCGCGATATCCGGCAGGCGTCTCAACGGCCGAGGAGCTGTCTCCTCTTTTCTTTCGTTCTTTTTAATCATTCCTGACAACAACCCGCGAGATGCGAGGGGACCGTTCGGACAATAGCGAATCGCTTCGGCGCGGACTCGCGCCTGGCGATCGACGGAATCCACAGAAGGTCACGAACGCGGGCGAAAGTGCGCTTGAGCGGGCGAGCGGGCGAGCGAACGAACGAACGCGTGAATGCTTCATTCATCGGCGACGGCGGGAGATGCCCGTGAATGGCTGTCTCTCACGAGCGCAGATATCCACGGCCGGATACCTGCGAGCGTTTTAATGGCCCGTGAATTTCCTCGTTGCTTTTTTCCTCGCCCACGTGTCTATCACAGTACCGTTCATTCAGTCTACCTACGGCGCGCGTAGTACGTCGCCGCCGCCTTCGCTCTCTCAGGCCGTCGTTATTCGTTGCTGCTGCTGCGCGCGGGGCGAACCGCGCTATCGCTCGGCAACGTTATTAATCCGTGTTATCCTTCCGCGCGCACTCGCTGGGACAACGTGAACAATGAGAGCATGAGATCGCGTATCGCTCCTGTCGTGGACTTATTCATTGTAAAAAGGAAAAGAGAAGAAGATCAGATCGGTTGCCTGGGATGCATATCCGCAGGAAAAGTCGCTCTTTTATCTCTCTTTTGTTTTCTAAGAGTCATCACTTACCTTCTTAACGATATCTCTACAAATATCATCGGAGAATCGCGTCGTTTCCTCGCGCGCTTTCTCTAAAATGCACCCCGTCTGCATCTGCATGCGCGCGACGAAACGATGACGCCGCCGGCGGCGGCGGCGACGGCAACGAGACTCCCCTCGAAAGTCACGCGCCGTGAGCCGACTCTCGAAGAGAGAGGGAGAAAGAGAGAGAGAGATAGAGAGATAGATAGAGAGAGAGAGAGAGAGAGAGAGAGAGAGAGAGAGAGAGAGAGAGAGAGAGAGAGAGAGAGAGAGAGAGAGAGAGAGAAAGAGAGAGAGAGAGGACTCACCCTGCTCTGCTTAGTGAGATTGGCGCCCATCGGCCGGCGATTCCGCGTCGTAGCGCCGACAGCGACGTTGCGACCGGGGACGCCGTCGGCCGCGGGACATGCCCGTCCTGAGGGTGCAGAGGGACTCACCCCTCTCGCGCCCGTTCCCCAACTCGGGTGCACTCGCGCGGCCACCCTGCTGCTTTCCGGGCCCTCCACCGGTCCCTTTATTACGAGTCGCGTCGAGCCACCCTTACACGACAGTTTTCCACTGACACAAGTACTACGACTACCACCATCGACTACGACGACGTTACCACTGCTATAGCCACCACTACCATCACCACCACCACCACCACTACCACGATCACCACTACTACCATCTGCACCACCAACACTAGAATTGCAGCTTATGCTGTCGCTACTGCTGCTGCTGCTGCTGCTGCTGCTGCTGCTACTGCTACTACTACTACTACTACCGTTACTAACACTAGCGTAGCTGCAGCAGTCGTTAGTAGCGTTACGACTATTGCCGCCGCAGCTGCTCTCTCGACCGACACGACTGCTACCACCACCGCCACCCACCCTCGTGACCCTTCTGAACCCTGCGTCTTCTTTCGAGTCAGGCACCTCCGACGACAACGCGAAGCGTTCGACAACCTCCCCTCGGCGCGATGTTGTCGCAGCTGTTAGCGTGTCGTCGTCGTCACGGCCGCTTTTTAATTTTCCGAGCTCGACGTGACGCTCCGTGATAAAAGGTTCTCACCCTCGAGCGGTCCTTTCTCGCTCTCGCCTTTAACCGAAATGAAAAGTTGCCGCGCGCGTTCCCGAGAGTCGGTCGCGCGCCCGAAATAGTCGGCTGATCTTCTCGCTCGCCGAGGCCACTGAGATGATCCGAGAAAGAGGGAGAGAGAGAGAAAGAAAGAGAGAAAGAGAGAGAGAGAGAGAGAGAGAGAGAGACGGTGTTCGTGTTCGACACGCGGCCTTTACAAGATACGTACAAAAGATATATCACGATTTCGAGGTAGAGGATTCCGCGGCCCGCATTCCCCCCCGCAGGGCTAAGGCAACGTTCGCTGCTCCCTGGTGCCGTCTCGCAACGACCTTTTTCCTTTCGCGGCGTTCGCGAGCGCGTCGCGTACTTGTTCTTCAGCGTCGAGCCGAGCAATCGGTCATCTCTGCGCGAGGAACATCCTCGTCGTCGTCGTCGTCTTTGTCGTTCTCGTTCTCAAGGCAACCGTCGTCACTCCTCCTCGACTTCCTCTCGTCCTCGTCAACTTCCGCTCCGCACTTCGCCGCCGGACATGACCCTCCTCGCGTCTTCGCTCTTGTTCGTCATCCGAATCGCGCGGCGCCTACTCGCATCATGCTCGCCGTGGAGTATCGCCCGCCGCGCGACAGGAAACGCCGACGTCGTGGTCGCGGTCGCGGTCCTGGCTGGCTGGCGACTCTTCGTGGCTCGTCTTGCGACTCTTTGTGCTCGGTGACAGGAGGGGAGCGAAAGGGAGGTAGCAGGAGAGTGCAGCGAGAGTGCACCGAGCGCCGCGACGCTTTCCGACCGACTGACGATCCCGTCGTCGTCGATTAACCGGCCGCCGGCGCGACCTTCTCTCCTCTCTTCCGCCGTCCCTTTCGGTTCTGACTCACTGCAACCCTCGTGAGCGCGGCCTCGCGCATGTGCACGACCGCCGGTTACATAGCACGCTCGTCGTCACCCCCGCCGTCCGTTCGCCCCTTCGTTGGTTGGTTGGTTGGTTGGTTCGTTCGCTCGCTTACTCGTTCGTTCGTTCCTTCCTTCGTTCGTTCGTTCGTTCGTTCGTTCGTTCGTTCGTTCGTTCGTTCGTTCGTTCGTTCGTTCGTTCGTTCACTCGCTCGTGCACGCATATCTACGCGGTCGCAACGTGCGTTCGAAGCGGACTTCCGGCTGCAGGTTTGCGCGCCGAGTCCTCGCGACGTGCCGAGTCGGACGTGACTGGCCTGCGGGATTTTCCAAGCGAGGATACGAGTGCGAGCGAGGACGCGGCAAAGAAGAGCGACGGAGAAGCGCGCGCGCGCTGCAGCGGCTGCAAGAGCACGTGAGATTTCGCGGGAGAAGATTTTCTCGAAAATAAGCGCAAGGTCGTCCGCATTTTCCGCTCGATGTTCCCGGAATGCCGCGCCGCGCCGCAAGCCCAGCCCGAAATTTGGATATTATTTCCGCAAATGCGTCTGCGAACTTTGTCGACGGGATAAGGAGGAATCCCTCTCTCCCTCCCCCTCTCTCTCTCCTCCCACGTCGACGTTCTTTCGTCTAACGAATCCGACGTTCCTAATCTTTCGCTCTTTTTGTTCTTTGTTATCCCTCTCCCTCTTCAATTATTCGTCTCACAAGGACGCCGTACGTAGAGTACGTAGAGCGATCCCTCACAACGGGAATGTCATGCAAATTCCGGCCCTCTCCCAAATTGCCCCGAGAAGCATCAACATTCAGACGACATACCGGGTTCTGCGGGATCCTGTATCGATAATACCCCCGCGAGTGCTCGCGAGGAGGACAGCTGGTGGGCGGTAGGGGATGGGGGGAGAGGGTTCTCCTCCTTTCATCGCGCGCCTAGGGTTAGTCGATGGCAGAGCTTTCCAATAAACGGAGAGAGATCTCGGCTTTGTGACTGCCAGAAGACAGATAAGGTATGCCGGCGGGACGTAGGCGATGCGAGGGAGGGTCCTCGGCAAGGATCTCTCTCGTGCCGAGGAGGCTCCTGGTCCCGACCGCGCATATTAAATTGTTCGCCTCACAATGTCGGCCGGTCTCTCCCCCGAGCCGTCGACATCGCTCTCGACGTCCGCTCGTCTCGACTTTCCGCGATATTGGCAACCTGTTAATACACTTTGTACGGGAGTGACTCGCCGAAAGCCGAAAGCGGGCGCCGATGGCCGCGCGGCGAACGAGAATGTGAAGTCTCACGATCGCTATTAGCCCCGGACGTTTTATATCGATACCCTGGGGGGGATTGAACGATCAACGTTATTTCGGCTGGAAAGCCAGGCGAGGGGTGACGTTATACTATATTTAAATGGGGGACGCTCGTTTTTCTTGGCAGCCGCGATTCCGCGCACACGCGGAGTTGCGCAACGTGCTGCTCGCCTATCGCGTTCCGCTTGTGGTTCTCGCGACGTAACCCCTAGCGAAAGTATTCTTTTCAACAAATACCTCGCGAACGCTCTTCCACATCCCCGAACGTCGTGGTCGCTCGCGCAAGTATTAAGCGACGCGTAATGACGGCGTGTAAAAGTACGGCGCGTAATTGACGTAAAATTCCGCTGAAACGAGCCCGTGCTTTTTGTCCGCCACCGTCGTTGGAACTTGTCCAACGAGCGGACCTCTCAATCTTTCACGTCGCGCGTCGCGTCGCGTTCGAAGCGGCGGTAAAACGCACCCGGAAGGTACTTAAAAATGTAGAAAACGAGGAAGTCGATAGCGCAAGTTGATCCCGGCTACGGCCCCGATCATCCTTCCCCTTTTCGTTACGTCGACGTCGCGTCGTCGTCGCGAGCAACTGTCGTTCCTCCAATTAATTAAATCGCGCCCCCGCGTGTTCACTTCACGCGAGCTACGGCGTTACTGTTAACGGAACGGTCGAAAGGAGCCGTCGCTTTAGCTTTGATTGGCTCAATAATTACGACGAGACCCGGACACGCGATTACACAGCACCGTGTTACGATCACGTTAACGCGATCGCGATCGCGAACGCCGACGTGATTATTCGGAGTTTCTTTTATTTTTGCGCTCATCTGCTGCACCGTAATAACGATATCGCAGCAAGGTGAGCCAGGCGTCACGGCTGTATCAGATAATCGAGATCGCGATTAAGCCGGCCGGGGCTGAGCGAATTAGCGGCGATTTCGGCCGGCTGGAACTTTGACCGCGACTTTGTAATCTCGCTCACCTGCACGTGCGCTCGCCTAATGAATTCATAACTTCGATTGGCTCGTAATATTCCTTACGGCTAATCCGCTTTATGGTGTTTTAAAAGTGATTAGGGTCAGTGCTAAAGCGAGTAGGCATACGAGCGAGCGAGTAAACGAACGAACGAGCGCGGCGCACAACGGCGGCGGGTATCTCGGAAGTCTTGCACGTTGCGGAAATTCGACGTCTGAAAATTCTCTTAAGTTGATTTTACGCGGGAGGGAAAGCGAGAGAGAGAGAGAGAGAGAGAGAGAGGCCGATGCCGACTCACCCCCTCGGTTTCCACCGCCAAAGAGGTCGACCCCGCATGGTGATTTATCCGCGGCCGGATCCGCCTTCGAGGACCGTACTTTCATTTTTAACGTAATGCGAAAAATATCTGACCGTCGTGCAGCGGCGCTGTGAAAAAGGAAGAAAAGGCAAGGAAAAAATTCATAGCGCGCATTAAAGGATGCGAGAGAGCCGACATACATAAACATGAGGGATTATTTCCTTAACGCGCGCGCGCGAAAGTGGTGCGATACACAAAAGGGGATTATGCGTTAATACTCGACGGGGGGTGATCGATGCACCTCCGCCCGAGCCCCGGCCGAGTGTGTCTCTCGTGAGGGAAATTTTTATTTTCAGACATTTCGATAGCTCGAGCGCGCGCGCCACATGATTAATTCGTCTCGTCGCTTTCACCAAAGTGGCCGCGCGAGAAGTCTGTCGCGTATTTCCGGCTGCCGCGGATTTCCCATCATCGTCGCAGCGAAACAGCGAAAAAAATATCTAGCTTCCATTGTTTTTTCTTCACGCGCGCGCGAGAGACTCGAATGCCCACGTGTCGCGATCTGCTTGAATTTGATAAATCTCTCGTCGGCGTTTCGCGACAAAGCGGCACTTCCGGCGAAATTGAGAAAAGTTGGGCTCGGGCATTAGAATGATCTACAGGATCAATCCCTGTCTGTGATCCTTCGTCCCCCTCCCCCTCTTCGCCGCCCTTCCGGTATCCGCGCGCAGCCCTTGCCCTTGTTGCGTGTGTAGTCGCTCGTCTGTTCATGGACTGCGCTATTTTCGTGCCGCTCTCGAAAGGATGTCTATAGGGGTGGATTTCGCCATCCCCTATTAACCGCCCCTTCCTTTTTAAACACGAGCACTGGCAGAGCACGCTCGTGTATATATACATCTTCCCACGCAGGAAAGATACACGGGGCCGGGGCATGACGCATATATACATGGTGCCCCGAAACGACAGCATCTAATTTTTTTTCTTTCTTTCTATTTTTTTCCTTTTTTTTTATACCGGAAACGTAAACGTGCGAATCTTCGCAATCTCCTTCGAGGAGGACGCGCGCGAGGCTGAAATTTCGTTCGAACCGGCGAAACCCGCGGCGGTTCTCTCGCGCACTCTCCGCCGTCTTTGCGACGTCGCTGCTCGCGAGCGGGGCGCGAACGGGGAGCGTTATCAATCCCTCGATCTCCCGATACGTAAAGTCGAGCTCTGAATTAACAGCGCGAAGAATTCGTCGCTACGATTGCGATCGGGATCCGACATCCGGAGGAGGACACCCTGTAGATTTTACACGCAAGCTACATGGATGTGTGCCTTCACGGCAATTAGCATGCATCCAGCAGAGCTTAGGGATCGCCGAGGGTGTCCGAATAATCCTGCGTGATCTACGCGCGTTTCCGATACCCATATGCAGTGTGCTTATGGTACCGCCTGCCGGCCTCCCCCCCCTTTGCCCGCCTCGCCCTCCTGTTGCCCGTACAACCCCGTATACAAGCGGCCACTCGCATTATGGCGCTCGCGGGAGAGGGACGCGAGCCCTTTGAATAATTTGCCTCTCCCGTGGGGCGGGGGGCGGGGGGGGGCAAGCGAGGGTGTACGAGTGGCTTTATTTGTTTCCCGGAAAAATCGATGGGCCGTATCGCCATAACCGCCGTTTAATAACGACTCGCGTTTTCGAGAGCTGGATAACGGATTTACCGGCGATCCGGGGAACTCGACGGAAGAGCCGCTGCAACGGTTTCTCGTTGCGGCGATTTCTCTGATGATTAAATCCGGGGGATGAACGACGTGTGCATCGCGCGTACGAGAAGAGACGCGTCGCGCGCGAAGACGTTCGTCGTGAGCAGCAAAGTGTCGTTTTCTTTTCCTTTTTTCCCCACTTCTTTTCCGTGAAGCAGATCGTGAGATCTGCCTGCCAGCTGATGACGGAAAGTCCTGTTTGCGAGTTCGAGGAAAATTTCATATATTTTTTTATATTATTTATTTATTCGTTTTATTTAGTTATTTATTCAGTTATATCGTTTTATTTAGTTTATTCCTGCAGTTATTTAGTATTATTTAATTATTTTTTTAATAACGCGCTAATGTGTAATGCTTGTTCCAATTCGATATGTTATTCATTTATTTCCATGTTTTCGGGACAGAGAGTGTGAGAGAGAGAGAGAGAGAGAGAGAGAGAGAGAGGGAGAGAGAGAGGGAGGGAGAGAGAGGGAGGGAGAGAGAGAGAGAGAGAGGGAGAGAGAGAGAGAGAGAGAAAGTAATCTTCTCTCGTAACGGCTGTGAAGAGTATTAATTTGTCAAAATCATCAGCACGTATCACTCGATCGAGCGAGTTGGCGATAAGCCGAATGGCAAATTGAAACACGCCGGG